GTAGCACTCTTCGCCAACAAAGTGCAGATTTCGTGAGTTGCGAAGAGGAGCAGACCATACGCCGTCGATCATGGATCCACAACGACTTGGCAAAGGAAGCAGACCATACGCCAGGCTTCAATCCAATGGCTTCAGCTTGGAACGCAACTCGATCCAATCGGCTTCACGAGCTGAAGCCAGCGCACATCGGTCTTCCAAGTGTCGCATTGGCGGCATCACTTTGGCTTCACATTGGCATGGCCATGGATCGAAAACAGTGGCGTCAACGATTGGGCGAAGAAGCGACAGAGACTCCATGACCAAAGCAGAGATGTGGTTCATTAGAAAAGACAGGATCGCTCCGCCCGACGAGTTAAAGAAAAAAATGTGCCGTCACACGAAGAAAATTGATTTTCCCCTTGAGTTGTTGATTCCCTCGATATAATATATTGATGTAATACTATCTAAATAATTCGTATAATACAATATGTCAATCTATATTATATATGCATATTTATCTATATATTGTAGGGCTTCGCACACCGGCCATGTCCCAAGGGTTGCTGTTGTTGCCCAGAAAGTCGCCCGCTTGCTCTGCTGTTGTGTTTGTTTCTTTTCATGGATACTAAAGGGGGTCTATGGGGGGGGGGTCTATGAGCTTATCATATAAGGTCCTGATAAGAGCTGGTTAGTATAAGCACCTATTAGGGTCTTATTAGACTCTTATTATGGCTGGATAAGGGCTTATTAAGGCCTTATTAAGGGGTTATCATCTAAAGCCTTATTAAGGTCTTATCCCCCATGGATAGCTGAACTTCCTTATCCACTGCTTATCCAGGAAATGTGGGCCACAACCAATATTGTAAGATTGAGAGGGGAATGGCACTGGGAGATCAGTTTTTTCCTTTTCCAACCAGCCAATTGGTCGAGATCTCTAGCCCCACCGGCTCAACCCTGGAAGAGCTCCACAGTGCGTTTGCACATGTCCAGTGTGGGCCTCGGATGGCTGGGACCAGTCAGGGGACTTGGAATCACATAATTTCTATTAGTGTAGAGTTTCCCCCAGTACATTGGTGCAAAACACCCAAAAAAGTCAAATGCAAAGAATTGATTTAACTTGGCTTAGGGTCCTCGTTTGACCGGGAGTCCAATTGCCAGCATTTTCTTCTTTCTCATGGACATCCCAAATCTTCCCCAAACATTCATATAGGGCTTGAGATTCAGAGAGGCCTCTGCGAATGCCTCCCCACTTCGCACAACGGGAAATCTTCTCAGCGCCATCACTGCCTGTAGTGTGGTTGGCATGATATGGTTAACATACTGCTGTTTGTAGGGGCCATTCTATATTACCAAAATCATGACCCAGAAATACTATACCCCAAGAAAACAAAAATAATTTTGTGGGTTTTCACCAAGAATCCAGCTTTGGGGTAGAATGCCTGATAAGTTTGTAAGCCAGCGTTTCTTTGGATGAAACAACCATGAAGATCACCTTTGCCAGGGATGAGTGGTTTCCTGAGTGGGCCAATGGTTCAAATGACATTGTAATAATACTTTGGGAAATCCATATAATAACAATTAAATTGGACGTTAAAATCAATTATGATATGTGCTGTACCCCAGTTGTATTCGGTGTCAATTTGGGCAATGAAATTCATTGGTTTGGTGGTGTATTAATCTTAGCTAATGGGAAAACTTGCCAAACCCAAGGGACCTCAAAACTAAAATTAAATAGGGTTTGAAAGTTGACATGTCTGATTTTAATGATATCCAAGGGGCAACTCGACTGGTGTGAAATATTTCTTGGCAGCGTATGGTGCTGCACTGGTACCTCAGTCAGTTGATTGAGTGTAATAAGTCTTAGTGTTATGGTTTGTAAGAAGTACAAGGGGTCACACCACTCAGATAAATTCGAATGAATGAAGGTTTAAGTAAGTACAAATGAATAAATAGTAGTCGAATTAAATAATATAACCACCAGTCAATGACTGCTGAATTAAAAATTCGATGTATTTATAAAAGTGTTTCGTGGTAAGGCCTATACTATATTTTATTGATTGATTGCATTCTAGTCACCTCGTCCTTGGCCTTCAATCTCCTTTCTCACATTCTCCTCCAAAAGTTTCGTCCTCACCTTGTCGGCCATGCCTTTCAGACCTGCAAAAGCATGTTGGTTTTCCTCGTCCAGCAGCTCAAGTTCGTTGCACAGTTGATCAACATCCTCCTCAGAAACACTGGAACCACGAGTTCCCATGATGCCTCTCACAATTCGTTCCTGTTCCTCTGCACTGTCGTGTGGAAACATCTTGGCAACAAGAGCTTTTGCCCAGTCCACCTTCAAAACACTTTTGACTCCTCTTTTGTTTGCCCTCCCAGATCCCTCGGTTGGTGCGGCTACCCGATTGCTCGCTGCAATAACTCTGATCTCCTTGATGGTGAGTAGGCATCTTCCGGACCGGAGTGCGGCCAGGACCAATGGTTCAATTGGAGAGGAAGGTTGGAGAATGCAAACATGGTCTCGGCAATCTGATGGTAGAAAAAGTGGTGCCACAGGCTTCACACTGCAAGCAAGATAAGTATCATCCTCTGCACTGGCCGACCTGTTGAACAACCAATGGGCTGAGCATACTTCGGAGGAATCTGGTAGCTCTGGGACAGTGAAGAACACCTTCCAAACTGGTTTTGAAAACTTTTTGTCAACAAGTGGAACCCAAAACTGACTTCCATGGTTGCAGCATGCAGGTACAAGTGTTTGCACCCGACTGAAAACCTTAACTTGGATTCAGTCGCCAAACATTGCTGTCAAGTATTTATTCGCTTGAGTGTGTGACATTGCCTCCAAAACACAAGCATCACAGTAGGCTGGTTGCCTTGCATTAAATCGAAAAAAAACATGTGGAATTACCACTGAACTAAGTTTGAACACATCGGTTGCATCCTATCCACCAACTCTAGCCTAGTGTTGCAGAGTGTCTTTAAGACCCCGCCTGGTTGTTGGGCCCCTTGTGAATGTCCAGTGGCACAGATTGAGCAGCCCATGTTCTGAACCCCAAGCAAAGGGAAGCTGCGTCTTGCTCCCCGTTCATGACCACCAGCCCGGGAAGGAAGAAACACCCTGCAAGGTTTATCATTTGTCAAATGCCCTATCCCCACCCATGCTCTTGGTTTTGCACAAAAGTAAACACTATTGTCAGAAACTTTTGGGGGTCACAATTACAAACCCCATAAATTTCAAACTTGGATTCAGCAAGATCGCACAAAGGACTTATATAAACAAGTGTTGGCGCCAACGGACCTGTCCACAGGTCTTGCAGCCGATCAAAATCGTCAGCTTGACATCTCAAAAGGGTGGCAGTGGCAGCGGTCATCCTCATGTCTGCCAAAGTTCCTGCTGTGCCCCAGTGCTCTTGAACCTCAGAAATCAAACAACAAAAAAAATACAGTAAGTATCCACTCAGTGCCATCATAAGCACACATATGGTTAAACCATCTTAAAGGTGAAAACTACGCCAGGTACAAGCCCAAGTGCTTCTGTCAGCTTGCCCAATCTTAATGCTGGGGGCAAACTCAGTTCCGGTTTGAAGTACTGACCATATGAGGCTGTCTGTGGGCGGAAGGTCAGGTAGTCATCAACACCACATGTGATGTGATTGTAGCCATTCTTGAGTGTCGACTGGCACGTGGTTTGGTAAAAGAACCTTGACCACCTTAGTGGCTAGAACCACACAAATGTAGATGTAAATGACTTGAAGCACCAGTAGTCGATTTTATCTGGGCACAGAGAAAACATATCCAAAACTCATAGTGAGCAAATGCGAGCAACTTGTTCATTTTCTGGTACCCCTTGTTGCTTCGGGAACTCACATGCTGTAAATGTGCAAACACATCTTCCGCTGTGAATTTGCTATTGGAAGGCCCAGCAAAAAGAGCAAACGCCTGCATCCTCATCTCTGGGTCATCACAATCAAAACCACAATTTCTGCCAACTTGGATGGTTTCCAAAGGGAGCTGCAACCTTGGCCACCAGCAGTCACTCAACATGTCACTGACCGCTCGCCCCCTTGCACCCACCGGGTTTGCATGTAGGACCCTGTGAGCAATGGCGAGCCCAGAATCCAAGTCCCGCAAGACATCCATTCCCCACTTGCGCACATTCACTTCGAGTGAAAACACACTGGAAATGACATTGGGGTTGCAAATGCTGTGAACACTTTGAGACCATGTCCTGTCAGGGATGCAAAAAGCAGCTCTAGACATCACTAGTGACAGTGAGACCACACAAAGAATTGTTTGATCATGTAAGGCCAGGCATGGCTCTCTATTGAGGTCTAGAAAATTCCTCCATCCATCAGTGGTATCCAGTGAAGTGGTGGATGGGTTAGACAGGTGTTTATCCTGTCCATGTCCAAAGGAAATCCTTTAAACATGTTGTCTCATTTGAATCGAACCCGCTTTGAAAAGGCGACTGACTGAACTTGAACTTGTTGCAAACTTCCCTTTGAAAATATGTTGTGTCCTGAAAATGTCCTGTCCCCCAGTCCAGCCTGTGACTCACATAAAAAGCAGTGTTAAATGACATCAGTATTTAGGACTTTCTTTGTCTAACATAACAGAGTATTAAACCCAGTAAACAAGACAGAATCGTAAGTAGTAATTATAGGTCCAACATAATAATCTAGTTCAACATCGTGTGAGCTCATAAACTATTATCTTAACTAACAGTGAATGGGGATTAGTTTGTTCATTGATCTTGCTGCTTCTGGTTCATGTTCAACTAGTCATATCCCATGTTTCTAAGGGGAATGGGAACAATCATTGGTTAAACACCCAATGGGTCCTTGCAGCTGCGAGTTGGAGCAATACTTCCCAAGCTTCCTCAAGCAATCTCTGCTCCTGAATTGCCCAGGTCGCTTCAGCATCAATTGGCCCTGATGGCAAGGCAGGGGTGAGCCGCATTTGGGAAATGAACTCGGCTGTGTGGATCATGCGTAGTGTTGACAGAACTGTTCGGAACCAAAGGCCCCCTGCATGGGAGGCTGCCCATCGCAACTGAGCTTCCTGTAAAATGACAAAACAGTCATCAGTGTCGCAAGCTCCAGAAAGATCACTTCAGATTCCGTAAGATGTTGACTTTGGATAACTTGGGGAAATGCCCACAAAGTATTCAAATCAATCAAAAGTTTGCAAAACCTGTCATACCCACATTGAATCATTGAACATTGTGACACTGACTAATGATCATTTTAAACCCTGGATGTCCTGACCCTGTCGTTGAATCTCCAAGTACTTGTAGAACTCACCAGATACATACTGGCTGGTCACCGCCAACATGTTGATACGTAGCTGGAGGTCCCTGGCCAGGGAAAATACCCATGAAATTCGATAAATAATATATTTATATATATATATATGTAATATATATATATATATATATAATATAATATGTTTGTGTCAGTGTGATCGTCACCATCTAAGTAAATTTTACAATCATTGATCAGGTAGTCTAAGATAGTTCAACATTTTCTGTGTTTATCATGATAAAACTGATATTATTATTGCAATTGAAAATTAAGATGAATTCGATTTGTTCTTTTGCATTTTGGGTGACCCTAGCCTGTCATCATAGAGAGCAACACAGCAGTGGACAGTGTTTTTGAACTTACTTCGCCAAGCATTGAAAGCTCTTTTCGTTTGGGGGTTGTCGCCATCTTCGCCCCCCTCTTCTCCCTCCATTTCAACATCCTGGCCATCGTCACCAGGCGGCTCACCACCAGCTGCACCCTGATTGGCCTGCCGGGATGGGGTGTGGAATGGAAAATAAAGTAAGATTGGTGGATTGGGACCTACAGTAATATAATAGTAGTAAGTAATAACCTGAGGCCTGGGTCTGGGGTAATAATATAATAAAAGTAGAATGGAGTCTTATCTAATAATAAATACACTCACATATTTGATTGGCCGTCACACTCTAAAGAGTGTGAAAAAGTTTTCAAGATTACTACAGCTGAATTGTTGTTTATTTATGGATGTTTTGGTGATGTTTTCTCAACTCAAAAAATGACAATGAGGTTTCAATGGTTACTTTCTTTGATAGGGACCTGTAATAACGTAATGATAATAGTGGAGAAAAATAAATAAACAATAGCCTTCTATTGCTTATGGATTATTAAAATTTATATACACTAACAATATAATGAACCAAGTAGTCAATAATAACCGGATTAGTTGTTATTATTAATTATTGTTCAGTATGTTATTTGTAGTGGGTCCACATCATCAATTTGTCAATAACAAAAAACAATATTTTTTGAATCTGAGGTTGGTTATTTCCGACCCTTGGGGATCAATGGGTGATTGGGACGAACAACAGTAGTCACAGGACTGACAGTTCTGACACTGTGTGGAAATAACAAAGGTTTAAAAAAGTGGTTTCGATAAACAGCACTGAGCCAAGAAACTTTGAAATTGGGATCAAAATCGTCCTGATCATCTCTGACCATTCTCAAAAGTTCCTCATTGATGGTCCACTCAGATACCAGGCTGCGGCATCGTTGTGTCAGCTGGAACCAACCTTTGTTTCGTACCTGAGGGTGGACAAGGTCTTCACGACCACGGATGGAATGTTAACCCCATGAACAGTGTATTTAGTAACCGATTTCTCCTATATAATACTTGTTATGTGTTCTGTATGACTCACAATATTTAAATATGACGGTCAGTCAATGTCATTGGATGGGACTGGGATGATCTGGATGAACCAAACCCACCCAAAATCAATAATAACCCCACTGTTGACATGAAAACTCGAATCATTTAATTTATTATTATTAAATAAGCTCATTTCAATTCTGTAGTATATTGAATGAACATGACATTCAAACTGTCAATGAATGGACTTTCATTGGTCTGATAGTAGAAATTCAACCCGGATTAGATCAGATTTTACTACTTACTGACTGGGGATATAAAAGTATCTATCATATTATTATAAGATGACTTTACTTTAGTCAGTAAATAAATAATAAGTAAAGTCATATAATAAGTAAAGTCATCTTATAATAATATGATATTTGTAATCATTCTATGACCGGGTGTTATTATTAAAACTTAAAATCCTCCAGTGGGCATTCTGGAGGTGAATGGAACCTTTGGCCTTTCTGCTACTACAAGGCGGGCTGCGTAGTCACCACGGGCTTCCACTGCACTGGAAGATGACAATTCCCGGATAGTTCCCATAATGTCATCGGAGTCCAATTCTTTTCCACTGTCATGGGCCATGCTTTCAGAGAGCTCACGCCATTTCACCTGATCATTTTGATGTTTGGCAATGTAGCGGTTGCAGGCCTCCTGCTTGGCCATGAAATTGGATCCCCCCAGATACCTGAGCCAGAGGGTGAGCGAGGGTTATTTTCAAGTCAAGTGTTGAGGGTCACCTGGAATTTCTGGATATGGAATCTGAAAGGTCCTTGCAACAAAGAAATTCACAGATGTCTGAATTTCCAGTGCCTTTTAAATCGGTTACTGGTTGTGAGGCCATGGATAAAATCATAGTATAAATCGTAATAACAGTTAACATATTTAAGCCCCAGTCACGGGCCATGGCTTGCTTGGCTCAGAAGTGTGGCTTTCAGCAACGTCACCATTTGGCCAGCCCGGTCAAAAGCATTTCCTAAGATCTGCCGGTATTCTTCATGCCATACCGTACCCCTTTGGACTGATTATACTAATTGATGCAGCTATTGGGTATAATTTTTATCATAGGTTGAATTGATGGATGACTTAATTAAATCAACTAATCAGATGATGATGTACAACTATGATATCTCCATTGTTGTCAGTGGCATCATCCCCTTGTGACAGACTGCTTGGGTCATGATGACCTTACTAACTACTGAAAGATGAAATGAAGAAAACATTTATATTCATTCCCAATAATGGCTGTCTTTGTTGTTCACTACTCAAACCAACGACACACCTTGAAACATCCTGGAATCCAGAAAAAGAAATCTGAGGTGATAGTAGAGTTATGGACAGTCCCAGATTCGACAATCATTCCATAGATGGTGGCACTGGTCCGAGTCGAACCAAACCCGCAACTTCAATGCCAGCATTTTCCAAGCCTTGACTTGGACCTTTTCGTTGTCACCAACCTTGGGGAGGCGTATTGGCGGCAACGCACGGCAACTGCCAGTCTCTACCAGGACCAAGGCCGGAGTGGCCGAGACGGGTTACCTTTTAAAAATTATTCATCAACCACAGTCGCTATATTGTTTTTAAGAAACAAGCATTCCCACTTTTCAAATGTCTATCGGTTATCGTAGTGTTTTTATTTCATTGTTAATATATAGCCAGTAGTGCAGTGCCCAAATGCTTGTGAAATTGAAAATATTATATGAGCCAAACCACTGAAAATATGTTTGTTTGGGGCTCACTGTTTAGTGTGCTGTGTCATGACAGAATGAATGCCTTACAACTTACAGTGCCACAGGGTAAATAAATAGATTGAGAAGAGGAACCCCTTTCAACAGGCAACGGTCCTTTGCTGAGATAGGGTTCAAGGTCATGTCCTCTGTTGTGTAAGTCAAACGCTGTGCTGGAGCATACATAAGCAGGTCCCTGTCCAGAGCTGCATTGTTGGCGGTGTTGATGGCCTGCAGGTAGACCTGAAGCGCTGAGCAGCTGGCCACAAAAAGGCCACAAGGAAATACACCGGGTCGGGAATTACATGATTAAGATAGTTAATCATAGATTCAGATAACCGTTCAACCTAACTGAAATAAGCAATAGTAGTAAATAATTCTTTGGGAAATTTGACCTAAGGAGGGACCTTAGTACCATTTATTTAAAATTAGATTGAATCTGAGGAGGGGTATGATTATAAATTGTGGTAATTGATGATGTCTAAGTCTATGATAATTGATACTGATCATGAGTAAGGTGATGAGGATCCTGATATTTATTGCCCCAAGCAACGATTAATGATTTTAATTCCAACAATAATTAAGGCCGTTGAAATGTCTTGGAACCCAAACACTGACTATTGACAGTTGGATCCTGGCTGGCGACAACAGGGCCCATCAACCACAAGAGTGGGTACAGGGTCAAGGTCGGATGCCATGGTTGGCATGTTCTCACACCTGATATGGCGTCATGCAGCGTTTGCGGTGGCAAGGCACCATTGTGGCTGGCGAAACACCCAGTGCCGCCAGTTTGTGGGCATATCGGTGCATTTGCAGCGAGTGAGTGCGGGACTGCTACGTGCTAGAAGAAGGATCGAGAACTTCATGAACCCACTTTCGTGACGCTGTGGCTCATTGTTGGATTGATTGGATGATTGATCAGATTGATTGGTTGATTACTTCGATGATTGGTTCATTGATTGTGGTTGAGTGATTCAATGACTGATAGACTGGTTTGGTTACCTGGTTCGTACTGATCTGGATCTGATTGTTTAAAGGCCCCTGACTGAATTGTCAAAGTTGTGGATTGATAGGGTTGTCCCAGTAGTACATTTTACTTGTTTTATTCAAGATAATTATTTTTATGGTTGGTTGACCCCGTCACTATTATTTTGTCTTTCAACTATTCAATCATTGCCTGAGTGGGTCGCATTACTGACATAAAGCAAATGATGTGCTGATTAATTGGTAAGTAACTGCAGTAGTGCGGTTCACAACCACGAATGAATAGTAATGAAAACACATACGTACTTACAAGTAGAAATCTAACCTAAGTTCAAGATATGATCTGATTATCAGCTGTTGGGTTAGCTAGCTCCCAACCCCACAAATTCAAGCTAAAGAACACGGACATTGCAAAGATTGATCTTGGTTCTCCTGCAAATCCTTTCCAGAACCTGATTGTGTGCTTCGCTCCTTAGGGGTGCTGGCAGTCCAGTGTCGGAGACAGAGCATGAAAGTTTTGAACACTCCTGGAACCATATCTGTTCCAGCTCCCAACTTCTTAAAAAAGATGAATCCTTAATACTGTTGCTTACATTTCGTGGAACATCATTTGATAAAGCCAAAAGTAACCCTGGACATGTGGCTTGACTTTAATACAGGTTTGGATACCACCACTGGTGACTGTTTCTCCCAGGCCCAAGTCATGATGTTTGACGGTAAAACCTAAACAACACTGCTGACCCTTTATTGCCTTTGTAATGCAACCAAAAAATGATACCCACAATGTTTGGTTCCATTGCTCATGACATTGCTGCTTAAAAAGCGACTTGGGGGGCCACCTGCTGCCGCAGGCCCAGGCACTCTTCACCGGCAAGTCCTTGAATGTGCCTTGACAAAGCCTCAGTGCTTGGTCGTCTGTGGATGGGAGCCTGTTTTGTTTTGGGGATTAATGGATGGTAGAATAGTAATTTGAAGTAGTATTTAATTATTTATAATCAGCAATTTATTGTATTATAAGGATCCCACATGACCAGTATTAAATACCAATCAAAACAATATTTTTTTAATTATAAGTATCAGTTATTATTTATTGTTATTTATGTTATTATTGTCATCCCGATAAACTACGACGACTACGACTACTGGTTCAATGGTTCAAACATAAAGTAGTACTGAACTGTTTGTCCCAGACTAGCTCCATGACATTAAAGCTCCAGTACGTGGTGGCCAAGCACAATGTTGTGATGGGGAGATCAAGGCGTGAAATGCTACTGAGGATAACAGTGTAACAGTGAATGAAATAATAAAGCCTAAAAAGCCCCAGCTGTAGCAAACATAAATAACATTGTTAATTCCAAGTTGATATCCATGTGTTTTTCATTGGAAACCCAGAGTTGACTGCACATGACATGACATGACAGTGACGTGTAACAAACTGTTTGTTTATTATATTATAAACAAACAGTTTGGACTTATAAACACGGCCATGTCATCATTCATTATATTTTATCAGTAAGATAACAATAATAATTAATAGGGATTCCCTCACTGATAGTTTATTTGTTACTGAGATTCACCCTGAACCATCATCAGTTATCTATAACATACTCCACAGCATTGATTCGATTGTTTGACCATTTGAAACAAAATGACTGGTGATTGGCGGCTTGAAAACATTGAAACAATTGTATAAAAACCCCATTTTGTCCCACAATTTGACAATGCGCATGTGAGATCCCTTTTTGGCGCGACTAACTGGCTGGTTGTTCCCCCCTTCGCCCTGGGCTGAGGCATTCCAGTGCTGCCAGTGATGTCAGATCCGAGCAGGGCAGGTGCAAATCCCCAGATCTGGGTGAATCATGCTTGACTTCATTACAGGGGGATCCTAAGATGGCATCAACCAAAATGACATAAAAGAAATCGTAGTGTATCTAAAGATGATCATTTACAAATATCGTTCATTGGATCCCAGTTCCACATTGTCCCTAACAACTCAAGTGTAAAACGCTAAACTGAATGGTTTTAGTAAGCAAGTTCGAATGCTGCTCTATTACCATCACTGATGGCAGCACCCATTCCATTTCGGCAGTTGTGCCTCAAACTGCACCTGCTCTTTCTGTGACCCCAAGCTGCCAATAAGTAACTGGTTTAACTGTTTAACTGGTGGTGACCCTATGGAGATATACGATACATGTAATTGCTGCATTACTTTGTAACACGTTTGTGAGAAGTAAAACGAGATTACATTGTTGATGCGAGGTATTGAATGTTGGAGCTATAGATATTCTGGTTGAGTTCTCATTTGACAAGATAAGATGTGTTTCAACCAATCCTGAAGTTCACAAGTCACACTTGGGATGACCATACCAGAATGACCAGTACACGATCATGTTAGTTAAAATCAAAGATGATTGATGATACATTATGACCTGAGCTGATTCTTCAGTTTGCTTGGGCCCCACAGCTGGAGCATCGGAGTGCACAACAAGAATCGGAATGTGGATTCATCTCAGGCCCCTAATGGACCCTGGCACACACGCCATGAATTAGTGTATCCTCATGACATCACTACAGGGACATGTTGCCAACGTTTGCCAGGTTTCAAGCAAGCCAGGGCCCCCACAAAATGAGATAATACTGAGATACTTTTAATTGCAGTGTTTGACCCATCATCATGTATTCAACCGTCATATTGACTCATAATCTGAAGGATGTTTGTGGAGGTGGAATTTGTAGAAACCAAAACAAACAAGTAACATTATTAAGAACTCCAGTGCTACAGTATTAAAGGTTTTTACTAATAGTCACAGTCAAGGCACTAAACCACACAGTTCCAATGGACCTCTAGCCTGGCCAGCCCGGCAGTTCAAAAAGCAATGCCTACTTAGGCATGTTGACCTCGGCAGCTGTTGCGCCGAGCTTCGGCGCAACAACTGACGAAGCTGCGCCGGTTGCGCTTGCCTTAGGAGTGGCCTTCATGGTGGCCGGGGTTGCCTTCGGCTCTGGAGTGGCAGCAGTAGAGGCTTTCCCAGAAACAGCTGAGCTAACCTGTGATTTCACTGATGCCCCCGAAACAGAGGGGGCCTTTGTCGATCCACCATCAGAAGCAGCATCACCACACTTGGCCTTCTTAGCCGGGATCTCACTCACCAGGGTACCATCCAATGTAATGGTTGGCTCATCCATTGCCTCCACGGCCTTGAATGGAACAAGAGGGGACGACTGTACTAAGATCATATGATGGGGTTAATTTCAGAGATAGACTTTATTATTTATTATGAAAAACAATGATTATAATCCAGGGGACTGTAATAATAATTAAATACCAATAATAATATGAAGGATTCAGGATTGACTGTTTGAATTCGGCCGGCTGGACCATAACCAATAGTAATAGTGAATTTTAAATAGTTACTCCATGACATTTGCCAGCATATATTATTATTATCCATATTTGAGAGATTCAGAATCAATAGTACAGTACAATTGATCGAATGGAATTAATTCTGTTGATAAATGAGTTTTGGCCAGTATTGATTACTGTATTATTATAGAATTATAGTGACTGTACTCAGACAACTTCTTCACCTCGAGACCGACCTCCAGACGACGGACCAAATCGACCAGCCTGTGCCCAACTCTGTGAAAGTTGGTGAGTGGCCAAGCGGCGACTATCCTATGGACCAAAGGGTGGATGCCACTACTACTGGTCACAAACATGACAGATTGGCAAGGCATGAGGTGCTAACCCGGCTTGTCAAGATATTTCTGCCCTGGAGGCTAAAGACAGACCCGGATATTGCCGCAGATCTTCCGGAGAAGATCGAACAGGATCAAGAACCTTGAGATTGCCTGAGTGGTGATCCTGGAAGAGGAGCACAGTGCACTCTCATGTCATGTCATGTCACTGAAATTTCAATAGTACCCATTGATCATTGAAAAACAATAATAACAACATGTTTGTTGTGGGATGATGAACTAATACCCATAACTTCTAAACAACCCTAAACCGTTAAACACCAATATATAAATTGTATAATTATGGGACATCAACATATTGTTTATTTAAATTACCCTCTGGTGAACTAACATAGCAATGGAAAATCACCATTTTTAATAGGAAAATCCACTATAAATGGCCATTTTCCATTGCTATGTTAGTTCACCAGAGGGTATTTATATTCTATTGCCCCACCTGCCAGGTGAGGGTTGTTAGATTTTACCAGAGTTGTTCTCCTCCTCCTCGGCTAGCTCTCCTCCTCCTCCTCCTCGTCCTCCTCCTCCTCTAGTTTCTCCTCGGCCATGTCTGCATCAACTTCCACCTCCACTTCCGCCTTGCCAACTCTTCGCCAAGCTCTTTGCCAACTTCCCAGCTCAGTGTGCACTGGGACCTCAACCTGGGACCTGCCCAGCTCAGTGTGCACCGCTGGACCTCAACCTGGTACCTTGCCAGCTCAGTGTGCACCGCTGGACCTCAACCTGGGACCTTGCCAGCTCAGTGTGCACCGCTGGACCTCAACCAGGGACCGTCTCAGCTCAGTGTGCACCGCTGGACCTCAACCTGGGACCTGCCCAGCCCAGTGTGCACCGCTGGACCTCAACCTGGGATCTGCCCAGCTCAGTGTGCACCGCTGGACCTCAAGCGGGGACCTTCCCAGCTCAGTGTGCACTGCTGGACCTCAACGGGCAGATAGAATGCCAGAAGATATGCCAGACAGAATGCCAGATGGAATGCCAGAAGATATGCCAGATAAAATGCCATGAGGTATGCCAAATAGAATGCCAGAAGATATGCCAGATAGAATGTCAGAAGATATACCAGATAGAATGCCAGAAGATATGCCAGATAGAATGCCAGAAGGTATGCAAAATAGAATGCCAGATGAAATATCTGATAGACTGCCACAAGATATGCCAGATAGAATCCCAGAAGATTTGCCACATAATACGCCAGAAGATATGCCAGATAGAATGCCAGAAGATATGCCAGAAGATATGCCAGAACATCTGCCAGAAGATATGCCAGAAGATATGCCAGAAGATATGCCAGAATATATGCCAGAAGATATGCCAGATAGAATGCCGGATCGAATGCCAGAAGATATGTCAGATAGAATGCAAGAAGATATGCCAGATAGAATGCCAGAAGATTTGCCAGAAGATATGCCAGAACATCTGCCAGAAGATATGCCAGAAGATATGCCAGAAGATATGCCAGATAGAATGCCGGATCGAATGCCAGAAGATATGTCAGATAGAATGCAAGAAGATATGCCAGATAGAATGCCAGAAGATTTGCCAGATAGAATGCCAGAGGATATGCCAGAAGATATGCCAGAACATATGCCAGAAGATATGCCAGATAGAATGCCAGAAGATATGTCAGATAGAATGCCAGAAGATTTGCCAGTAAGAAAATGTATAAATGTCATGGTGGGGATCACACGAAGTAAAGGCATTTTTTTATATTCTTTTTGACTGACCGGGGATGCTGAACCCAGAGCAGGGTCATCAAGAATATATTCCTTCTAACCTGGACCAAGGACCCACCGACCAGGTGCAACAATAAGATAAATATCACTTCAAATTACCTCTGGTAATTTGTGAAAAATCATATAAAGTGAAACTGTATCGTGGGTAAGTTTACCATTTAACAATGCAATGGTCCTAGTGTGTGTCCATATTGATTGCATAATGATAGGTTTGGAAATTGGTGTTGCCAACTCTAATGTTGGAAGTTTTGTTTCGCCCAAATTTATCATCCATTATCCCCAATGTTCACCCATGTTCCCCAATTACTTCAATTTTCCCCAAAATTTCCATTGTTTTCCTCAATTTTTCTCATTTCCTTCAATTTTCCTCTATTCCTTCAATTTTCCTCAATTTTCCTTCAAATTTCCTCATTTTTCCTCACATTTCTTCATTTTTCCTCAATTTTCCTCATTTTTCCTTCAATTTTCCTCAATTTTCCTCATTGTTCCTCAATTTTCCTCATTTTTCCCTCAATTTTCCTCAGTTTTCCTCAATTTTTTTCAATTTTTCCAAAATTTTCGAATTTTTTGGTGATTTTCCAGATTCTGGTGATTTTGGCTCCTGGAGGTCAATTTTGGGGGGGGGGTCTATGGCCAAATCGGTTGGGAAAACTCGCTTATCCACTGCTTATCCACTGCTTAACCCTAAGCAGTGGATAAGCCCTTAATAAGCCCTTATTAAGCCCTTATCCAAGTCAAGTTACCCTCTTGCGGTACACATTGTCCACCTCCGGGGCTGGTGGCTTGGGCGTGGCAATCAAGCCCTCTGCCGCTGTGCTCTTCACAACCAAGGGGCTGTGGACCAAGGGCGACTTCTCAACAGGAGTTGGCGTTGGGGCCGATGGAGTGGATGGTGCCTGTGGATGGGCTTCGGCTTGGGTGGCAACAGATGATAAGAAATAACAACAAATTGTTGTTGGGATGTTAATAAGTATTGTATCATCTGTTTGAGGCTGGGTTACCGGGTTGGTCATGGGTAATGTATTGAAAAGTTTATTAATTGTCAAATCGGTAGTCTAACTACTAAAATATGACATGATTCTAATGACGAATGATTGATGTTTTCTAAAGTATAAGAACACATGAGATCAGGTGATTGGATTGACTGACTGATTGATTGATTGATTGATTGATTGATTGGTCGATCGATCGATTGCTTGCTTGATTGATTGATTGATTGTAAGCTGGTGACAAATTAAATCACACTTTCATGGGTTCCCTTGAATCATCCCGGGGAAATGGCACGTACAGTTTAAAGGTTTACCTGGACCCACATTATTGTTGTTAAGGAAAATACGTGACCATTTATTGGATATGATATATCAGATAACCAATGAATGGCCCCAATCATTGGAATAGAATACCAGAGCCATAACTGTTTTAGTCTTACACATGTATGTTTATTTATATTACCTGGTCGGGCTGACTGACTGGTCATTGCTCTGCCTCGGCAATGGTAGACTTGGGCGATCCAGGGACCTCATCCTTCTGAGTGAAAATCTTGTTGACCCACTGCGGCGAACACTGGTTGGATTGGGAGGCCACAAAGAATTCACCATAGTGCTTCGAGCTTGCCTGGGATACCAAGGTAAATGAATAGGGCTGGTACACTATATGTACTACATTTGGTCCAATTGGGAATGATGGGATAAATCCGATGAACCAATAATAGTAAATAAAGAAAGGTAGCCAATTTAAGTATGATACTGATATTGTATAAGTATATTTGTCAGTAAATAAGTCTGTATTAAATATCAAGATCCCCGTGGATGGATATCTGCCGGTTACCTCATAGCGCATTGGTATTTTTTAGATGTGAAAAACTACTTTGGGGTATTGTTTATTCTTATTATTCCAAGTGGCCATCATACTGACTATTAAATTAATTATTAATTAATGACGACTGACATCCCTAAATAATTTTATTATAATTATGACATTAAGACATGACATAACACACGATTCATCCTAGTGACACGTTTCTCCAAGCCCAGCACCCAATCATCGGCTCCACCACTTTCCCGGCGTGCAAGGACCCGCTTCAGTCCACCACGCTTGTCAAGCAACAAATGGGCTTTCACCTCAGAACTCCACTTCACACTGAAGTCCTGCGAGGGATGACTGCATGAGGGCTGAATTCTGGCATTGGGGAAGACCAGTGTCATTTGCCTTACACGACAGGCCAATGGTTTTGACCACATCAAATTATTGGATAAAATGAAAATTTGACCCTGTACTCTGACTGATTACTGGTGTGGGGAGATTTGTGGACTTTATGACGGTCATGGTGATGACTAAAAAAAGATGCTTATAACTTTAGTGATCTTAATGTTTTTTACACACTGATAATTTATCATTGAGTGATGATGCCAACCTTGCCTTGCCATCATCCATCTCTTCATCACTGCTCTCTGGTGGGGCTGGGCCTGTTGCTGCTGGTGCTGGTGCTGGTACCGGTGCTGGTGCTAATGCTGGTGCTGGTGCTGGTGCTGGTGCTGCCGTGGGCGCCGGAGGCAATGGGGCAGGGGCTGGAGTTGGTGTGGCTGGGACTGTGTGGGTAGCAGGTCCAGGTGTGGGAGGAGGCAGTGGGAGTGGTGCTGGAGTCGCTGGTGCCGGTGTTGGTGTTGTAACCCCGAGGCGCTGATTGTAACCCAGCCCACAAACACCACAAGTAGCATTGGGAAGCCCACATTGGCAAAGAAGTGAAGTCGCAACCATTCCACCTATCAGCAAACGGTTTAATTTAGGGCACAGGTCGGGATAGACAGAGGATACAGTTTTGTATAGGCATTGATGCTTGTCGATTGAACTCTCATTATCCTAGCCTCCATGGTGAACAAATAAATGTGTTTGGAAAACCAACTGTACATTCTCAAAGTATCTGAATCTAGCAATGTGCACTCCTGATAAGTCAAGTATTAAGTATTGTGTCTGAAGTGGCTACACCTAACCTAACAACTGAAACACCAACTGTCCTTGCCTGGCATGGACATTCCTGGCATTGGATATGCGCCAGCTGTGCCACTCAACGCAACATTGGCTGGAACAGCAGGTCTGGCTGCCATAGGCATCGTCAAGGGCACAAGTGCTGCAGGGGCTTTGGGCACTGCAACTTCGGTCCCCATGGAAATGGGTGGGTGGTAACTGGGAGGATGAGCATGGCCAGCAGCAACAGCCAAAGGGCGTGGGCTCAGGATACCTGTCACCACCTGACGTCGCATCATCACATTGGGCTCCTCATCCAAGATCACAGGCGGGAGGTGGAGGTCACAGAAGGTCATGCGTGGGTTCACACGGTCCACGCCTCAGACTCTAGCAGGTCTATTTCCCATAAATGTAAACAAGGTAGTTGGGTCACACCAGGTTAACGTCACACACACACACACAATCTTCATCATCATCACCACCATCATCATCATCGGCACCCTCCTCATCCTCCTCCTCCTCATCATCATCATCATCATCATCATCATAATCAATCAATCAATCAGCCAATCAATCAATCAATCAATCCATCAATCAACCAATCAATCAATCAATCAATCAATCAAATAAATCAGTAACATTAACATTATCATCATCATCAGCTTCATCATCATCACCATCATCATCATCATCATTAATCATCATCATCACTCAACCAATCACCCAATCAATCAATTAATCAATAGTCATTCTATTCAACTAATCAACCAATCAACCAATCAACTAATCAATGAACCACTCAATCAACTAATCAATCAACCAATCAATCATCATCACCACCATCACCATCATCATTATCATCCTCATCATCATCATCACCATCATCATCGTCATCATCGTCATCATCACCATCATCATCATCATCATCATTGAACCATCGAATCATTTTCATCACATCACCATCATACACACCAATGACCCCCTATCCACACCCTCAAGATTGTTTGGACAAGTAACTCTTTTGCGACACCATGTATGCACGGCCAGACGTCACCTCAGCCTTCAAGACGTAGTGGTCTGAGGCATCCTCCAGCTCCTCTGTGATGTCCTTCTCATTGATCCCATTGTCCAACATCCACTTCTTTTCCCCGTTGGTCTCCCGGCATTCCAGCCGGTAGCACGTCTGCCCTGTAATGGCTGCCATGGCGATCAGATGAATCTCGCCAGCTGACAACCCATCTCCAGGCCTTCCCCGTCGGATGTACTCACCCAGCAGCATGTCAGGCAACTTACCAGGGGATTCCTTCCTTAGTGGATGGAAACACAGCATTGAGATACTGAAATTGCAGGTCAAGTCCCCTACCATTAATTTAAATCATTCCCATTCCAGATGGTCAATGTTGCTTTCATTTCAAACCCTGGTTGAAATTGAAAAAGCAAGACTCCACACAATTCAACACTTCCCCAATAATTCCTGGGTCCAAATGATGAACCACATAGTAGTGTAAGTAAGTCAACAGGGTTGGGTTGCACCAAGTTTCTCCTCTGGAGTCAACCGGCTGGCCTTGGTCTTGCCCCAGTACAACCAGGCATAGGCGAACAAGGTATCCACAGTCAAGGTGTCCAGGTAGGTCTTGTTGGCATAGTCGCCCTGAAACAGTGCAGGGGATGGTCGGTTAAACAAGGGGATTATAATCTTTGGTGATGATGGGTGGTGTTTCTTAGGAACTTAAAACACTTGAAAGATTTGTGATTATAGTGTTGCTGAGGGATGTTCAAAGTGATGTCTACAGGCTTAATAGTTTATTAAACATAAATAAGTAATATATAATAGTAATGCTTGCACTGGAATCGTCACAACACAGGCTGAAGGCAAGGCACTCCAGATTTAGCCAGGCAGTTCTTGAGGATCTGCTCCTGAGGTTGTGAGCATTCATGTTGAAATTAATGGGATTAAATTTCAAAGTTCAACCAATATTAGCGTGATCATGTTCAGAATCATAAATTTTAAATGTGATGTTTCTTTAGAACAATCATTTGGCTAGTGACAGGATATGACTTAAGACAGCGGTTGTCACACTGACCTTGCAACTACTCTTTAAATTTTGAACTAGCAACCACAAGATTGAAAAACAAAGCTATTCATCTCAATTGCCAGCTAGTGAGAGCACACAACAACAGAACATAGCACACACCTGTCCTTAAGCTGTCCCCAGAAATGGGCATAGATCTGTTGTGCTTCTCGGCGACGTCCCCCCGTCGAGCTTGTCCCGTTACGGCTTCCACCCTTCCCTGTTGGACGTGGAACTGGTGGTGGGACATCGTAGGCTTCATAGGGGCTTAACATTGGCATGCTTGGCCATGGAATGCCGGGTGGTCCTGCTTGGGGAGGCTGAGGCGGTGGGTGAGCTGGAACCATGGCTCCACTAAATCCTGGGTGACCTGGGTGAACAGGAGGGTGACCTGCGTGAACAGGAGGTAAAGGCGTAGGACCTCCACCCATTCCGACCGGTGGCAACGGAGTCCCACCAGACATGGCTCCCCGAGAGTTAAATCTCACCACAAACCACTTCCTGTTAACAGAGCCAATGGTGACATTGATACAGATCAACAAGATAACGTCTCCAAATCTCAGTGTCTGTTGTTTGCTTTCTATTTTTGGGATCCTTCTTTAGTACAGCAAATACGTGTCAACTAATTAGCCAGAGTAACCCCATGTCAATTGTTAAAAATAAGCAATGAAATTGACAGCACCCTTCTTTGGACTTGGACTACTTCATTTTTTCCTAAATTGGCAGGAATGCGAAATCTGATGCATTGATGTGTCGCCAAGTGGTAACTTGATCTGTCAGCCCACCTGGGACATCCTGGGCTACCATTGCCCTAATGTACATTGTACACTGTGCTGATCTGATGGTGAAACCGTTTGATGGATGTTCGGTATTGTGGTACCTCGGGTTCAACAAAAAGCTCTGACGTATGAAACTGTGGTTGTTTTCTGATATGGTTTCCCTTTCCATTTGTCCAAGGCCACGTGGTTGTCTACTTCCTTTTGAAGCAGGACAGGGCTATCATGTGGATCAAGGCCGCGTTTGAGAATGCCATGCAATTCCCAATAAACTGTGCAGCTCTTTTCGGATCCCTCACACCCAAGCTTTCACATTGCATAGCGATACCCATGGCCTTTCTCACTGGGAAAGACAGCACCGAAAGCCTTGGATTGCAACAGGGCTGACTAAAGCACATTGTTACTAATGGGGACCCACCCATAAATTTAAATGTTTGAAATTGTTATAATACACAATTGACAATGATAACCAATTCAACATTGCTCATGGTCCTGGTCATGGTAGCAAATCATTTCACTGTCACTGATCCACCAAAGGGTAGTTCAAATCCAAAATAAAATTTAGTCAATATCAAAACCAAATGGCTTCTCCGAATTGGTCATCCACCTTTTGTAGTAAGGGAACCAGAATTTCCCACTTGCAGCGTTTCGTCGAAATGTCGGCACACGACCCGACGTTGCAGACCATGTTTTCATATGGCATGGGTTGTCGCCCAAAAAAAAACATAGATTGGGATTCTGATCAGCCTTTTCCCCTGGGAAACGTGTTTCATAGGCCTCAGTGTAGCCCTTGATGTATGCTGCCTCATTCTCTGACAGGAGGTAGCTCAAGTCGGTGACGTTGGATCGGAAGAGTTTTCCCGATGTACCTGGGCTCTGGGCGCTGGGGCTGAATAATAAAGAGTCGTATTTACAAACACCTAAAATATATTATTCTGATTAGTTAATAAAATTACAATTTTACATTTGATTCAATGATCCTGATCAGATGAATGTGGATTTTCCCTTGGGGTATGAAGCTGAATCAATGGGTGTATAGTGATGACAAACTAGCTAAAAACAAATGATAAATGTCAATTCAGCAATCAGCTTTACCAGCTTAGATTTTATTTTGATAGATTGATTGGGTTCACATAACATAATAATACCTTTGCCCCATGAATAATATTAGTAAGTAATTATTATTGGCCATGGGAACTTGAGAAAATGAACCAAAATGTACTAAATAGTAATCAAAAATACGGGACGTCTCCATTGCATCCAACTGAATTTCAGTGGCATCCGCAGTGAGGTAATCAGATGGGACTGTCCCTCCACCCCAAGACTCCATCAAAGTATTGAGGAAATCCACCACCTCGGAATACATTTCTATGGGATTTTTGATGATGTCAACTGCCTCCTTCAAGGCAACAATTGTGTACACACGGCGCCGGCTCACCCCGGAATGGCCAACGTCCTGCATGTCCACATAGATGGGAAAGATGTAGAACATGTCACCCAGCAGCGAAATGACCACGGAGATCTTCAGGTCCTGCCGAAAAACGTTGCAAGGAGATCTGTTACGGTCGGGGGCTGCGACCAGGGTTTGTCAAACATGTCAACTTAAGTAGTGAGACTAACATCAACAATAATAATATTATTATTGTTGATTGAATACTAATAATAATAATAATATATAATATAATATAATGATAATGATATAAATTCCTCAGCCACTTTTTCCCCACCTGCCAGGTGAGGGTTGTTAGATTTTATCAGAGTTGTTCTCCTCCTCCTCGACTAGCTGTCCTCCTCCTCCTCCTCCTCGTCCTCCTCCTCCTCCTCTGGTTTCTTCTCCGCCATGTCTGCATCAACTTCCACCTCCACTTCCGCCTTGCCAACTCTTCGCCAAGCTCTTTGACAACTACCCAGCTCAGTGTGCACTGGGACCTCAACCTGGGACCTGCCCAGCTCAGTGTGCACCGCTGGACCTCAACCTGGGACCTTGCCAGCTCAGTGTGCACCGCTGGACCTCAACCTGGGACCTTGCCAGCTCAGTGTGCACCGCTGGACCTCAACCAGGGACCGTCTCAGCTCAGTGTGCACCGCTGGACCTCAACCTGGGACCTGCCCGGCCCAGTGTGCACCGCTGGACCTCAACCTGGGACCTTCCCAGCTCAGTGTGCACCGCTGGACCTCAAGCGGGGACCTTCCCAGCTCAGTGTGCACTGCTGGACCTCAACGGGCAGATAGAATGCCAGAAGATATGCCAGATAGAATTTCAGATGGAATGCCAGAAGATATGCCAGATAAAATGCCATGAGATATGCCAAATAGAATGCCAGAAGATATACCAGATAGAATGTCAGAAGATATACCAGATAGAATGCCAGAAGATATGCCAGATAGAATGCCAGACGGTATGCCAAATAGAATGCCAGATAAAATATCAGATAGACTGCCACAAGATATGCCAGATAGAATCCCAGAAGATTTGCCAGATAATATGCCAGAAGATATGCCAGATAGAATGCCAGAAGATATGCCAGAAGATATGCCAGAACATCTGCCAGAAGATATGCCAGATAGAATGCCAGAAGATATGCCAGAATATATGCCAGAAGATATGCCAGATAGCCGGAAATGCCAGAAGATATGTCAGATAGAATGCCAGAAGATATGCCAGATAGAATGCCAGAAGATTTGCCAGAAGATATGCCAGAACATATGCCAGAAGATATGCCAGATAGAATGCCAGAAGATATGCCAGAATATATGCCAGAAGATATGCCGGAACATATGCCAGAAGATATGCCAGATAGAATGTCAGATGGAATGCCAGAAGATATGTATATGCCAGAAGATATGCCAGATAGAATGCCAGAAGATATGCCAGAAGATATGCCAGAACATATGCCAGAAGATATGCCAGATAGAATGCCAGATAGAATGCCAGAAGATATGTCAGATAGAATGCCAGAAGATTTGCCAGTAAGAAAATGTATAAATGTCATGGTGGGGATCACACGAAGTAAAGTAATTATTATTGTTTATTATATATATGAAATTACTCTTTGGGACTCATTATTCTGATTTTAATAATAAGTTTAAAAACAGTGGCTGAGGAATTTTATTATTATTCTATACGTAAGTATTGAATGGGCCAAGGATGCGAAACCATTTGAACATGATTCATGATGTGAATTTTAATCCCCCACTTATCCTCTACGTTTTCCAGCACTGCAAGGGGGACTCGGTACCTTCTGAGTCTCAGGGCCCACAGTACGAAAATTGGACCCGAGGGGCCCTCTTCAAACATCCGACCTTTCTTGGCCTTGGAATTGTCGACGCATGGCAGCCCCGACATGTCATAGTCAACAACAGGGACTGGACAGCTGCAACCGTGATGAGTCAAGCAGGGCTGCAGAGTGCAGGTAGGGGATGCATAGATTTTGAACTTTTTCTCCGCAAATCCTCAGTGAGTTTTGCGTCAAACTGTCCCCAGAAAGTGAAAACCAATTCAAAATTATCTACAATGAGTCAGATTTACAGTAACATTTTTGGAAGGGTTCATTGTTGTTGAGAATTGAGGTACTCCATCAACATTGTTCGTTCATAAAGGTGGTTTTGATAGTGCCTTTTTTTATCTTGTCAAGCCTGTTCAAAGATTTGGGCTAGGTAGCATACACAGTTGTATCTTCATTAGTCAGTGGCTGGTCAGCATGCTAAGCTAAGTGACTATCGCTGTTTGCAAAAACCCCTGGGGGGCACAGTTCCAGCACGTCCAGGAAGACGCAAGGCAGCTCATGGTCTGAGTCGGTCACACGGTTGGTCCACCAGTGGTTGTCGTAGATGGACTGGTGGCACCGTGTGTCTCTTTCCTGAGTGATTCCAGCCAGAGAGAAATAATTGGAAATCGGAAAAGAACCTAACTCCCCATACAAGACTACAATGAGTAATGTGGATTTACAAATACAGAATTCACATGATAAACTATTGTTGGTTTAATGATAAGTCGAATGAATTTTGACAGGATTTTGACAGGAATAGCTCCCACAGTTCAATGGGGTGCTCAAGGAGCTTCTCACGACTGACTGGCTGTGGGCCACTCTGTGCGGCATCGTCGAACATTTGAAATTAGACCCGGTAAATCCCGGTAGCGTATCAATCAATTGAATTGGAAACTTCTGTAACAGTGACAGTGTTAAAACACTCTCACTTGGATTGACAGGATAACGTGGTGGAGCATTGAAAAGGATGCAATTAAATCAACCCTGTGTAGCCATAGTTTGTTTGTTGTTCTCTAAGGCCCAGTCCCAGACAGCTGCACATCTGATATCCACCCGGAAGTCAAGTACTTTGGACCTGTTGATGATGTTGACAGCTGCGGCCAAAGACATCTCTGCAGTATAGACACCAGTGCACATACTTGATGTCAAGCGAGTGCTTCGCCACATCGACTCCTGCATTCAAAGCTGCACCGTTTCAGCATTTCAGCATGAAAAGGGCAGGTGGACAGAGGGATCCGGGATGGGAATCAAACAATAATAAACCTTTGCAAGATTCAATAATAAGGTTCTCAATGTTTAGTTGATAAATATAATTGCTTGAAATCTAAAGAGCTATTATTTAATAATAGCTCTTTAGATTTCAAGCAGATATAGTTCCAAAGGAAAGATCACATGCACCCTGGCCACACAGTGCCACCGGGGCACATTTAATGCTTTTGCTCCAAGAGCTCGGGCCAAGTACTCCCATGCAGCCTTGGATTGATAGGAGGGTTGTGTGTGAAAGTGGGTATCAATGGGAATGAATAGGTTATGGTCCCCTGGGCAATGTACATTCAGTAATTCTGAAACTGTAACAGGTTTTGATGTTTCAATTGTCGCAATCATTAACTTTGATTCCGTTCTCAAGGGGATTGTTAGTTGTTAAACCAAATAAGTTCGATTATTAAGAGACATTAGTAACCGATGATTTGGTATTAAATATATAATTGTGCTATTGTTATTGTGGAAGGTCCCTTTGGTATGACCCAGCAACTGGAAGCAGCGAAGACGCTTGCGCCAACTTCTGTACTCCTGGCGCTATCTCCTTGGCTAGGTCAGATTGCAGGGGGAATTTAGTGAAAGAATTGCCCATCATTATCATTGAATCAAATCAATGTAACTAAGTAGTCAACGATAAATAATAGTAGTGCTGCTATTTATGATCTGATTCTTATGATTCCAAAGCAGGCTTTTGATCATTTGCAAATAAAATAAAAAGTCAGTGACTGTGGGTGTAAGTAATGATAAATTTCATGTTGATGGGATATTCGGATTCGGCTTTGGCCTGATTACTATTACTGATGATGGCATGAGGTCATGGTCAATACATAAGGCTCCCAAACAATGTAACCATGCAGTCAAGACTCCTCAGGGCCTGTGGGAGGCACAGCGCTTTCAGGGACAGTTTCAGTCACTAACGATGGCACATCATAATCAGTTGCCACTTCTGACCATGCGCGTTTTGCCATCTTGGCGACACCATTAGGTCCAACGGCTGCAGGTAATGAACAATTGTAATGTGTGTGTGTGCAAGTACCCAACAATTTCTTGGTGTGTTACTCCATGCTTGATCATTTGTTGTCACATCATTTCACTGAGATGGAATGAATATGTCTTAGTATTAAACAAAACGGTTGTCGTAGCTATTATTACTAAATGTCTATTTATGTGGGGGTTAGTACTACTCCAATTCCGTTTTCACTCACCTACATTACATAGATTACTTTCTACCAAAGCAATCAATCTCATCAGATTCAGATGGATTCTGATCCTTATGACGTTTTTAATTGATTGATTGACTTAATGATATTTTATTATTGGATGTACCCCACTGTCCCAACAAATTATTCTGGGGTCTAACCCAACCGGTTAGGGGATCAGCCTGCCATTGACTGGGAGCCCCAGGCAAGAGGGGCGACAAAGCCACCCAAAGCTTTCCATGGACCTTGGTGTCCATCCAATGTAACTTCAAAACACCCCATGCCAGTCCTCACTACCGACACTCAGACAAAATAAAAGGGGTCTATAGAAACTATTCCACTAATAATCTTCCGGTCTCAACCCTGTTGTAGAGTTGTGTGTGTGTGTGTTCACTTGTGTCTATGTCACTGCAGATGTCTGTCAGTCCCTGTCTTTTTGTCTCGTTGTCAGTCCCATCAAACTGGGGATCCACACAGAAACACCAAGCCACTTCGGTTGGGATCTTGCAAATGTTGGAACCGTCCATCGTCATCTCAGCCAGCGGATTGATTGGCACCAATGAGTGCAATATGTGTTTGTGAGACGTTTCTGATGACTGATACCTTTCATGTGTTCTTTAAACTTAAACCGTGAGTTGTTCATCCAAAAACCTGGCTGCATTGAATTCACACGTAGACTGTAAGTTGTGTAACATCTCAGCCCCACGCATGCATGATTTTCTGGTCGTGGAACTCGATGCGCATTCGGCTTGCATAGGCCACCTAGGACCACCAACACTCTCTCAAAACTGGACCCTCTACCTTTCTTGTGCACTTGCACAGCTTTAGTTCCCACTAACTCCCTTTGATTGTATTCAAAACCAATTTTATCCATAAGACAACTTTTGGGGTAAACCTGATTGTGGAAAGAGTTCAGTTCACCTCAACATTCCCCCTATGGCAATTTCAAAACGAGGAACCATCGCCCTCATAGCAAAGTCACAGGGATATATGTTTCGATCAGGAGGTATGGCACGAGAGATCAAAACCTCCTGTGACAGTGTGACTGACTAGGAATAATCTGATCAACAGTAACAGGGGATGGCAAGATAACCAATATTGTCATTGTGTTAATGGTCATAATAGGGTTCTGCCTTAACTATGTGTCGAGATACGTTTTTTAATCAATGAATCCAGGACTAGTAGACCCAACAATGACGACATTGGTTGACCCTAACACACAAATAGAAACTATTTTGAACATGATGCCAGTCATAAGCAAACAATAATCTCAAGTAGTTGCTCCTGTCAAATACTATACCCCTTTCTGCACTTTAAAATGTCAACAGGTGGAAGGTCGGGTGAGTCCTGCATAGTTCGAAGCTTGTCAACTACTGACATGAACTCAAACGATGAAATTCTCTTCGTAGCTGCGAACCTGCGCTTTGGCTTTGTTTTGCAGATCTGCTCAATGGACCTGTCCTGGGCTGTGTACTAGGCCCCCCTGTTTAATTATTTTAATTGACAATATTTCATGGAAGCCTGGGGGGTCTATGGGGGGGGTCTGTGGATAAGCCTGGATAAGCTATGGATAAGCCAATGGTGATGATCTTCTGCTAAAAGGTGAATTTATGGTGTTTCACTGTGGTTGGGAAGTGCCAGGGTTTGGCTCGAGGGGGAGGAGGGGCTTTGTGGTTCAATTCAGTCAAATTTGAGCAGTGTGCATCCTGAGGGGTGGAGAAAAGGATTACCAATGCATGACATTGTCAAAGACTCACAGTCCCCCGCTTCAAACCCTACAAACTTAAGTACCAAGTGTCAACAATGAAACAGACCTGTGACAGCAAACTCCTGGCAATGGGCAGCAATGCTTTGCCTTCAGCAGAGCCATCCAACTTCCTGCAAGCTGAACGCAACAACTCAAACCCTGGCAACACCTGGGTCCAGCACCAACCCTGACCCCCACTGTCTGTACTGAAGCGTACATGTTAAATTGGTGAATTGAATCAGTCAAAATAAGTTGATGCTATTCCCAAACAACTCACACAGACATTGAGCTTCATTGAACCCAAGTCACGGATCCGTGGCAAAGCAAATGAAATCAGCCAGAGAAGGACGGTTTGGGTGTGAGGACACCACTGGAGTTGCATCTGCATTGCCAGGTGCAGCACTCTCATCCTGATGAGGCTTGCAGTAAACCCGGGTTGAACTTTAGTAAACAGCTAAGTGGGAGCCACACAACAAAACAAATTCTGAATGGGGTGAAATACAAAGGAATTAAGCTGACGGGTCATTGTTCCTTACCCCCATAGACAAACACACACTATATAGTACAGTCGGGTATCAAAAGCTTTGCGCCACAATGCTATGCAGGAGTGTGCCAATGGACTGCCAGGACCCCACACAGCCAAACCAGGTAAGCACCCATCATCTGAAAGTGTTTCCCTTGAAACAAGGAAGTTGGTAACATTGACGATCATGAGGTTGATGCCCGGCACGGAAGACACCATGAGTCCAACAATCTGTCTAAGGAAACGCCTCGCTGTCACACGGGTTGAACCATAGACCTCTTTGTTAGCTAGATGTCTCGCAAGTGTCGCAAACACTACCGAAGAAGCAATAGTCCGTTCTGGCATTGTTGGTGTCACTTCACGGCCGGTTTTTCGGACAGGTAGGTCTTGTGGAACCTGAGATTGAAAAAAAAATGTTTGAATTGAACCCTGGTAAACATTGGTCCATTGCTGATTGAAACAATACTATTATACATTGCAACATTGTCGGTTATTGTCATTGATTGTCGTTTTGCCTTAACTTAATCAGAATATCTTTGAACTGAACCCATCAATTCCCAATACATACAACATTTAAAACCAATTCAAACCAAAGCAACTGGAACCCCTGGCCACATGGAAGCATGCGCATCCTGGATTTGCTTCTGGTGTTTTTTCTCGGTAAACCGTTTTTTCAAGTTTTTCCTCCTGTCTGCTGAAGCCTCGGCCTCAGCACTGCCACCATAAAGCAGCTGAAGTAGCCTCGCCAAGCCCCATTGACATTGCTGATCCTGGCCAGTGGCTACTTGCCCACATGCTGATTCCACTACTATTGTAGGCACCAACAATGACAAAACAATGCCACTAAGCAATGGCCCCCACTACTACTATGCATCGCCCTGAACATGTGAAACTGAAACACCAATAGGATCACTCCACGTGTTCTTTGCCCTAATTTAGGCTATATGTCGCACAGGCTCCCTGTCCTGCACTCGGTAGACTGGTAGCTGCTCATCACAAATGTGCAAGCTGCCTGGGCTAGCAAACGGTAATTATCATTGAACTTTACTTGTTTCACCATTCAACACACTGAGGAAACTGATTTAATTAACTATTAATTAATGTTGTCCAAACATATTAATTATTATATAATATATGTTCAATCAATGTCAGTATATTATACTATTACACTTACATTAGTTTAAACATACTTTGGTTGCAAACCTCCCCTTGAAACAACTCCAAATGTTTTCAAAGGTGAGGCCCAGACATTCCCCCAGCAGCTTCAATGAAGCGCCAGCGCCATGACCAGCAGCCAATGCCATGCCCCCAGCAGCTAATGTGACATTGTATGCAGCTGATCCGTTTGTTGATTTTTGTTTTCTGTAATCGTTGTATCCTTTTTTCCACCCCTCAGGATGCACACTGCTCAAATTTGACTGAATTGAACCACAAAGCCCCTCCTCCCCCTCGAGCCAAACCCTGGCACTTCCCAACCACAGTGAAACACCATAAATTCACCTTTTAGCAGAAGATCATCACCATTGGCTTATCCATAGCTTATCCAGGCTTATCCACAGACCCCCCCCCCCATAGACCCCCTTATGAGCCCATGATTGTTAATAAATGGTTAATATATGGTTAATATATGGTTAATACATGGTTAATCTATGGTTTATATATGGTTAATATACGGTTAATATACTGTTAATATATGGTTTACATATGGTTTATATATTGTTAATATATTGTTAATTTACTGTTTATATATGGTTATTATATGGTTTATATATGGTTACTTTACTATTAATATATGGTTTATATATGGTTAATATATGGTTTATATATGGTTAACTTACTGTTAATATATGGTTAATATATGGTTAATAAATGGTTAATATATGGTTAATATATGGTTAATATATGGTTGATATATTGTTAGTTTACTGTCTATTTATGGTTAATATACTGTTAATATATGGTTTATATATGGTTAATATACTGTTAATAATGGTTAATCACAGCTACTGGTTGGTGGTGCAATAAGCATCTTGAAAAATGATGGAGTTCGTCAATGGGAAGGAATATCCATTCATATTATGGAAAAAAAGTTTGAACCACCAACCAAATGAAGAACCCACAATCTTTTGTTGTTCCCCACCTGCCAGGTGAGGGTTGTTAGATTTTATCAGAGCTGTTCTCCTCCTCCTCCGCCTACGCATCCTCCTCCTCCATCTCCTCCTCGGCCTCCTCCTCGCAGTCCAGATCCCAGTGGGCACAGCCGGACCTCCACCGCGAGCTCCAGATCCCAGTGGGCACTGCCGGACCTCAACCGCGAGTTGCAGATCGCAGTGGGCACTGCCGGACCTTAACCGCGACTTCCAGGTCGCAGTGGGCACTGCCGGACCTCAACCGCGAGCTCCAGATCCCAGTGGGCACTGCCGGACCTCAACCGCGACTTCCAGATCACAGTGGGCACTGCCGGACCTCAACGGGAAGAAAAGAGGTCAGATAGAATGTCAGAAGATATGCCAGATAGAATGCCAGAAAGAATGTCGGAAAGAATGTCAGAAGATATGCCAGACAGAATGTCAGAAGATATGCCAGAAAGAATGTCAGAAGATATGTCAGATAGAATGTCAGAAGATATGCCATGTTAAATTCGCACTATGTAAAGAAAGCTAAGACATATGAGCAATATTCGACATTCCGAATCGATCCCATTGTACGGTTGGTCAAGAGGTATTTCCAGCTCATGTTTTTTGATAATATACAACCCCCGAACTAATCATCAACCAACAGGGGTTTAGCAGCCATTGCTCATTGCTCATATCATTTTGGTGTGTTTAAAAATCCATCCTTGTCCAGTCTATGTGGTTGTTCATCGGTACATCTCTGCTTTCAGTGGTTGCCGTTGGCTGCCACCATGTTTGCTGGCTTACCCGCTGGTAATTTAACATGGCTATTGAAATGGCTATTTATGGAATTTCCCATTAACAATGGTGGATCTTTCCATAGCTATGTATGGTAAGTGACAATTTTGAATGTGAGAATCATCAAAGATCACGTTTGGATGCACGTACATTGACATCCCACGACAGGTTTCATGTGAGTTCCTACTTATATACAATAGAATTTCCTATGGTATGTTAAAACAATGTCAATTGTAACAGGTGGTACAACCAACTATAACAACAAATCAATCACCATTTATCAATCATATACCCATTTGTTGACAAGTTAAAACCCCTGTTTGTTTTGGTCACAAGCATTATTATTGATGGTGAAATCAACAAAACCCTCCTTCAATGACGAATTCACGACTTTCTTTTGCACCTCCTTAAAAACCAACAAGGGAACAGGATGGGCCCCCCCAGATATAAGTTGGTTTATATATAAACCATTATAGTCACCATTAACTATAGTTATATCTACCATAAACCATTGTTAAGCCACTTATAAACCAACTTAGCTACCTTGGGGGCCCCACCCTGTAGTTCAACCCTGGTTCTTGGAGTCATCGGTTTGTAATCCCACTAGTTCGATGTATCAATGATATATTTGCCAATAGAGCCTAAGAAGACGTTCGTTATAGGCATAGGCCAACTTGGCTAAGTATACCGCCTTGTATAGGTTAAGCAGGGTTTATTTCAATTCAACTAAATCCATAAACAGTCCCATCAGGCTAACAAAAAACCTATCCATTTCAGCTTTTCTTGATCAATTTCAATTCTTTAGGTCAATTCTTGATTTCAGGCTAAAAGCTAACTAGATCCATAAACAGTCCCTTAGCAATTTCATCCTCATATATCCCATGAGATTTCCATTGAACCACCATATGCCCGTATTCAAATCCCATTTTTTTCAAGGACACACTTGGTGATCAGCGTCGCCTGTGGCACTTGTGTCACCAAAACCTCTGCTAGTCGGGGCTCGCCCGGCTCGTCGCCATCCTACTGAGTTTTGGCGAACCCAGTTCACTGATTTAACCATTGAATTAATATTGACGGGAACAATACCAAGCAAATTTGGGTCGGAAATAAATATCGATTCAGCATAGTTTTTTGGATGTTCTTGTTATACCCAGTTTTAAGTTGGTCTAGTGGGAAATAATGAGAATTTCATAGGGTTTGAGGGCATTTAATAGGGCTTACATAATGGGCTGTAAAAGGGAAATCATGAAATGTAATAGGGCTTATATTACGGGGCTTCAAGGGCTTTACAAACTGGTTTCCATACAAGGGAGTGCCCCCCCAGTGATGGAAATGTTGGTTTATAAAGCCATCTACTGTAGGTAGTTAAGATAGATCTACCATTGTGGCTAATCTAGTTATAACAAAACTTAGCTATCACTTTGGGGGGGCCACCGAATGTAGGTATTGGCATTGATTGAAAATAAGGATTTAACCATCCAACATGAGAATCTACTCCAGAAACCAATGGTCAATAGCCGGCTGATACTGCAATTGGTTGACACACTTGGGATAGTGAGGATATAACTGATATAAAGGGAAACTTATCAAATAAATTTCAGATATCATGGGAAAATTAGTATGGTTTCAGCATAGTCATTGGTTAACAGCGAGGAAAAACAATTCATAGGTAGTGTCTTGCGTAATCTTGATATATTTCACTATACACGTGAGGACTTTAAGGCGACTATGAGGATATAAATCAATATGAATCATATCAAAGCTACCATCACCAACAAATTGGGAACATGCTCCGAACAAATGCAAACAAAATTGGGAATATAACCTGGACATTCCTGAACATTATCAACCACTTGTGCCTAAAGGATCCTAAAGGGAAGAATTTAAAAGGGGGTTTAACCATATTAGAAATTTTAATGGTTTTATACTTATAGATATATTTATACAATGAAAAAAATAATACCATAATAGAGATTTATACCTTTATAGAGGTTTTGACACTTGATGATATGGCGATATAGCTCTGGCACATTGAGATTTGATATATATTTATTTGTTGGATTTTAGTAGGGTTCAAGCATTGCTTTGATCATTGCGTGACTTCCAGCTTTCAAAAAACCTCCACATTAGTATATATATATATATGTAATTTAATGTATGTGTATATATATATATGTAATGTATATGCATATATTGTGTAGAATTATGATATCCCAAGAATATATACCCACTTTATCACCATTGATGGCGTGTTTTGATCCCAAGAACATGTGCCCCCGGCGACACCTTCGACTCGCTTTGACCTCGGCAAGGCATCCCATGGGAAGAGCTGGGGAACTTTGGACAAGAACCGTGACATGTCCTATGAAAAAGTGAACATTACATGGAGGAGTGTCAAAACATTCAAAGGGATGTTTTTGTACCTGCAGTTATAGCCATTTATGAAAGTTATAACTGGTTATAAGTTGGATTATACATTTTATGAATGGGGTTATAAATACTTGCAACTGGTAAAGGGCTATAACTGTGGCCTATAAGGTTGCTTCACCTTTGAAATTGTCTCACTGCCAGGAACAAGGTGATTTTTTTTCACCAGCGGAATGTGTAGATCAAGCCAAGAAAACTGGGGACGGAACCAACCACAAAACAATGGGTCTGAATCCTCGATACAAAGCAGACATGTTGGTTAAATCCACCAAATTGATCCAAATTGTATCCAGATTTTGCCATAAGACAGCTTCTTATAAGCAACCAGCGAAGCCAGCACGGTCAATGAAGATTAGTTTGAGCCTTTGGCAACCAGAACTCAGGAAGATCCCACCAAGCACTCACAGTACGCAGGTTGAAGCAAGAACCAGGAGGTATACAGGAGAATTGTGTTGCAGCACCAGCTGCTCCCTTAGCTTCAAGCGAAGCGTGGCCAGTCATGGACATCGCTGTTCATCCTCTTCCCTATGCTGCGCTCCACACATGGCGTCCCTGCAATGTGGACGTCAAAAGCGGACGTGTTCACATTGGCAGTGGTGCGTATGGCAATACGCCGTGATCCTACTTATGGCTATTAAAACCGACAAGGTGGTGCCTAGCCAGTTATGTTTGCTGGTTTATAAACCATGATAATAGTATAGATATATCTTACTTATACCTTGTTAATATCTAGATGCACCATGTAGGGTCTATGTTTAACCATACAACTATAGTTATGTATATACAAAATATACGTATATATAATATATATATATATAGATAGGGCTTATATCTGCATATACCTACCAAAAAACAGAGTTATTGGAGTTCTAAATCAACTTAGCGATTCCGAACTGGGGCAGCACCTAGCATCAAGACTAAGCAAATGTCTGAGTCAGAGATGCCAGCACCAGGGCACTGGGAGCCGATCTTGGAACTGACAGAAACAAGCTTATCCAACGCCAAAGGGGTATGGTATAACCCAAATTTGCCCAATTGAGTTGTGTTCTTTTTCCTTGCTAAACTGCAATACACAAATTGGGACACCTACGCGGGGCCTACGCATACCACTTCTCCCATGCAAAACTGCCTACGCGAGGGTTACCGTCTAAGAAGTATTGAATTGGAAGGAATGCTGTATAGCCATGTATAGCCAACAAAAGATGGAGATATGCCAGGATACCCTCTGGTATACAAAAAATCTATGGTAAATCATCATCTTCACAGGGAAAACATCGAACTAAATGGGCCATGGCTGAAAAAAATCTGCAACCATCAGTGCCTCATCCAGGGATCTGCTGCTCGTGGCTACGGTGGGAGTTCCAGTAACAAACACAGAGAAAGGGTACATTCCACTGTATGGATCCATATTAGGTGCTTATTACAATTTATTGAACCGTGATTGTAATAAAACAAGGACATACATGGACCATGTAGTAGAGATTACATCCCACCTTATACCCATTACAGCTATGGCCATTTATTAGTTACAACTGGCTATTTCATTGGGATTATACATGAACCATTTCTATGGGGTGACTTGTTAGTACTTATAACTGGTAAAACTCCAGTCACAACTCTATTAAATCCCATTAAATGACTATTCATATCCCATAAAAAAGTGACTATTTCCATATTCAATGAGTAGCTCCATTCATTTATCCCATTCATATCCATTAAATCCCATTCAATTATCACATACAGTATTTATCACATTCATATCGCATTCATATCCCATTCATATTGTTAGTACTTATAACTGGTAAAACTCCAGTCATAACTCTATTAAATCCCATTAAATGACTATATTCATATCCCATAAAAAGTGACTATTTCCATATTCAATGAGTAGCTCCATTGATTTCACCATTATAGTGGATTTTCCCATTAAAAATGGTGGATCTGATCTGTTAGTTTACCAGGCCGGGTATTTAAAGGGCCAAAGTCCTGTAGACTTCTTCGTTCGCCTGCCATGGCATTGAACTGATTCCAACACCGGAGTTTTCATCATCGAAATCCCAAACTCACGCTGTTTAAAAAAAGTTTCATTGCTGTGATATATCAATGGTCGAAAACTATATTTTTCTATATCTGCTTCGAATATCTATATTATACATACGTACAATATATATATATACGTACATACAATCAATATATATATATATATATATACGTACATACATATATCATAGTATTCAATTCACCAGCAATAGTGGTTCGAATATAAAATAATCTGGTGGGTTCGAAATCAACCGTTCAACGTCACGTGGTCGAGTTGCCATGTGCGCTTCTCGCTCGTCGCTTGGACATTCTTGCCACCTACGCGGATGTTATGGCCCTTCACAGGGACTTAAATGGTCTGATAGCCTAACATCAATAAACATACAAAAACACATGTTAAAAACAACAGTTCATCATAAAAAATCACAAAAAAAGATCGGACAGGACTATGTATCGTTGCCTTTCTAGTAAAACATGTAACAAAGAAATCAGAAGACATGCGCCCTGGGCGGAGACATAAACCAATCTTTCAAAGGACGGGACCACCTGAGTCACCTCCAGTAGTCATCTATTACTAAATGATGGTTACAACTTAAGGCCCAAAAACAACGGAGATATTGTGTTTTTGTGAGTAACGTGGTAAACCCAATATAGCGAAGGACATATACTTAGAACATCAATTTTCCAAAATTTCGGAACCTTTTCTTAGAACATCAAAATTACTATACTTAGAACATCAGACGCACTTAGAACATCAGAAAAACAGATACTTAGAACATCTCCTTCGATTTTTTGCATACTTAGAACATTAAAACACACATATACTTAGAACATGTCCTGTTACTTTGGTAAATCTGCATATATACACACAAATACCTTGGTGAACACCATACTTAGAACAGTTTCTCCCCTCACTGCTGCAGCATTCTATACCTTTTCTTCGGGAACAATATCCCAAGCAGTCTTCGCTGCAATGGGAAGGTCTCTAGTATATAATTTGTGGGTTTCCTACAGGGGGTAGTCAAAAAGCATAGGTTTCAATACTAAAATGAGCTAAAATGAATTATGTATAATTTTGAATGTTTTGGAGATGCCTCATGTATACAATGGACAACTGTGCCGTGGAAACCCACATTGCGAACTGCGCTGTGGAAATGTGCGGAACTATATGTATGGTTCCCATTGGTTCCCCACTGGGATGTTCTAAGTATAGCTTGGAAATGTTCTAAGTATAGGTTTTGGGTATGTTCTAACTACTTTTTTTTCGAATCCATACTTAGAACATCCCCGCTGTGACGACCCTCAGATTTTTTTTTCCAAATGATGTTCTAAGTATTTGTCCGTCGCTATAATGCAATAACGAACCATTCCCCAAAATCACCGTAAACGGGTCCTATGAACCATCCCCAGTCAAGGTAGGTTCGTTAGCCTTTTAGGTCACCGTGCAAGAACGACCAAACACAAGTTCTGAAGTACCCAAAAATCCAAAACAAGTCGCCTCCGATATGAATGTTCAACTCATGTTTACAACTCACAAATGCTCCGAACCTGCATGTTTCAACTCCTAAACATGCTTGGCAGTTCCAAAAGTCCTTCACTACTCGTAGACCCCCTACCAAACATCTCACAGTTTGTAGTTTTTTTCCCCATTTGAAACACAATACAAACAAATCCACTACATTGACGATCTTTTTCTTACACCCCAGCAAAGACGGTAGCTTCAAATCTTTGATCAGATGTGTCCAATGTTTTCCATTGTTTTCCCATGTTTTCGCAAAACTGTCCCAATATTTTCCCCATTTTTCCAACACATCATAGTTTCCCAAATTTTCCACACGTTCTAAAAAATAATCCCATAAATCCCATATAGGATTTTTCACATGTTTCCAATGTATTTGTCCAGCACTTTCCATATGTTCAATAATGTTCCTGTGTTTCCCTAGATGTCCTACATTTGTTCCATCTGAAAAAAAGTGGTGCCGCAGTTTGGAATCGCAAACTTGGTGCAAATAACTCCCATTTCACAAGGGTTTATGCTAGATATATAATGTATCTATAGTTACTATGGTTCCTAAACCAATTTCAAACTGTTTAGGGCAGATATATCTATAGTTTATGTAGACCTTTCATTAGTAAACTACCCCTAAAAACTAGACCAACGTAGCCATCACTGGGGGGCGGCTGCACCACTGCACCGCTGCGCCTCGCGTGAGGAAGAACGCCACTCCGAGAAGCGCACGCTGCTGGTGGTGGGTTGAAGGTCCAAAGCCTGGAGCGCTACAGTTATGGCCACGGCTATTAGTTCGTGGCCATAACCATTAACATGAAATGATAAGATACAGTTATGGGTCATTTATTAGTTATAACTGGTTACAGGTGGGATTATACATTTTATAAATGTGGTTACTGAACAATGGGATTATAGTTATAAGTAATAGCCATGGAATAACAATGGGATTGTAGCGCAATGGGATTATAGTTATTGTGCATCGAAAGGACTTTATTGAACAATGGGATTGTACAATTTAAAAATGGGGTTTTCTTAGTACTTATAACTGGTATTTCGGGCCATAACTGTCAAGACTGTAGCATCGAAAAGCGTAAATAATGCTCCAAATTTGGTTCATATGCCAGGTGGGGAAGCATCAAAAAATGCTGGGTTCATACAGTTCATGAAAATTTGGTTTTATATGGTTTACCCTATGATAAAGAAACAGTTTGCTATTGAAGCCATGGCCCAGTCGAAATCGTGGATTTACCTATTAAAAATAGTGATTTTCCATAGTTATGTTCTATTATACCTGGTATAATTGTACCTGGTTTATTAGCCTTGGATCTCGTGGTGCCGTGATCCATTTTGGCCACCAGGTCTTTTCGTCGATATGGGACAGAACAAACCGACACTCCGCCATAATGTAGCCCATGTCCTCCAGGCAGGGGTACGCGCTGATGTCGTCTGCTAATTTGCCCGTCTCTTTCCATGAAGAGAAAAGATCTGATAGCGATGCCCTGGATCGGGAGTCGCCGAAGCGTCGTGGAAGGGCAGCATGCAACTGCATGAAGCCGCAAGCAGGGCATGGATAGTCCTTGCAAGCAGCTGTTGATGGGATGGTGCCGCTTCTTCCGATGCAATGGTTATAATATATAATAATTACAATAATGGTGCTATAACTGGTTCATAAATAACTATTCACAGTGCTATATAATTCTTGACAGCCATTACTGGTTGGTGGTTTAGCAGCGTTCCCGCCTTGCCTCTGGAACTCAAGCGTGTGCCTGCGGATTCCAACATTTCTCAGGAATTCGATGCGGCCATGGTTGCCCAACGGTTCCAGTGGAATGAAGAGGCCGTCCATGCGCGTTGAACATGTCCCACGTTCCCTGGCTTCCAAAGGCGATCCTGCGGGTGCGGGTTCTTCGGATGAAGCCAATCATTCGACCATACCGCGGATGCACCGCCAACAAAAGCCACTCTTCGTGACGACCCGAGTCCGTGTGGTAGTACTTGAACACGAAGACTCTGGAAGCCATGGTGGCAGCGGTGAGGACAGCGAATATATAATATGGAAAAATAAAAAATGTTCCAAACCACCAACCAGATTATATCTATAATTATTCACTAACCTTAATAAGTGCCCTGAATCGGAGGGGTTTAGATCGGAAACAAAACTCTAACCAAAAGTAAGATGATAAAAACGAACAAAACCGGAGGAAAATGATATAATATGAAAAAATGGAAAAATGAAAAAAAACAAAGAAAATTGATTTTTATCGTCTAAAACCATATGCACATGGTCATTGTCATAATCCACCAAACGTGTTATTTCTGGTGATGTTTTGAGTTCATTAATCACATCTTTATACGTTTCGGTGTTGTGTGCATTTCTGGTAGGTAACCTTAATAAATCATCTAAAATGTCTCTGTTTATACTTCCATCTTTTCCACCCGTTCCTGATATATAAATAAAGTGTCTTGCCTGTCTTATATCATCCCGATGGGCTTCTGTATGCATTTGTCAATCCGTGTCTGTCTTCTGTTGCTTTTTTGTTGGCTATGTTCCTTTCTTCTTTATACAGTGTTGTATTTTGTCTGAATTGCTCATTAAGATTTCTTGCAAAGTTGTTCATCTTCTCATCTAAGTCTCTTTGTTTCTTGTCCGTGTCGTTCATCAACTCTTCTCTTCCTTGACGCATTAATTCATCAAATGCTACTCTACCTATTCTTTTTGCGAGTAATCTCATCTCTTCTCTTGTTAATACATTTTCTATTGCTTCACCTCCCATAATTCTCTGAAAAACATCTCTCCCAAACTGCCTTCCCACCTGTCTCAATGCATTAGTCATTGCTATTCTTCCAACTCCTGCTACAACTCCAAGCATCTATTTTTATTTTAATTTTTGATAACAATCATTTCTAATAAAAGATATAATCATGAGTCATGAGTAATAGATAAACATATAAAAATATTTTTGTAGATAGTAAGTATCGCAATGCTCAATCAAAATTTTCATCTGACTTTCCAGAGGAAACGAAAACTCAGAAACACCAGAGGAAACAAAACTCTATGGAACTGATATTTCTATTCCAACGGTGTGGAAATCTACAGAGGTGGGCTTCTATGAATATATTTATGTTGTGGTCTTCAATGGCGATACATTAGTCAAAAATTTTAGGGTATATTTAGGTAATATTATGGTAAACTGTGATTAAAACATGGAACAATCACAAGAAAAAAATCAAAATGAAAATAAAAAAACTCAAAAAATCTCAAAAATCCCAAAAAAATTAAAAAACACAATTTAAAAATAGCAAGAAAGTAAATTATGTTTAACAAAAAATCTCAAAAAAACTCAGAAATCTCAAAAAAAACAAAAAATCTCAAAAAAATCAAAAAAAACTCAAAAATCTCAGACAATCTCAAAACATCTCAAACTTGATGATAGCATGAAAACATAAAGCTGCAAAACCATATTTTTTGTTTTTTGTTTTTTTTGTTTTTTTGATTATATATATATATATATCGCATGTGATTGTTGAATTTATTGCTGCAGTCATTTGTCTTTCAGGGATTCGCAGGACGCAGCAGCCTCCTTTGCTGAACCCGTTGGCAATGAAGACCACAACATAGGTATATTCATAGAAGCCCACCTCTGTAGATTTCCACACCGCTGGAATAGAAATATCAGTTACATAGAGTTTTGTTTCCTCTGGTGTTTCTGAGTTTTCGTTTCCTCTGGAAAGTCAGATGAAAATTTTGATTGAGCATTGCGATACTTACTATCTACAAAAATATTTTTATATGTTTATCTATTACTCATGACTCATGATTATATCTTTTATTAGAAATGATTGTTATCAAAAATTAAAATAAAAATAGATGATTGGAGCTGTAGCAGGAGTTGGAAGAATAGCAATGACTAATGCATTGAGACAGGTGGGAAGGCAGTTTGGGAGAGAGGTTGTTCAGAGAATTATGGGAGGTGAAGCAATAGAAAATGTATTAACAAGAGAAGAGATGAGATTATTCGCGAAAAGAATAGGTAGAGTAGCATTTGATGAATTAATGCGTCAAGGAAGAGAAGAGTTGATGAACGACACGGACAAGAAACAAAGAGACTTAGATGAGAAGATGAACAACTTTGCAAGAAATCTTAATGAGCAATTCAGACAAAATACAACACTGTATAAAGAAGAAAGGAACATAGCCAACAAAAAAGCAACAGAAGACAGACACGGATTGACAAATGCATACAGAAGCCCATCGGGATGATATAAGACAGGCAAGACACTTTATTTATATATCAGGAACGGGTGGAAAAGATGGAAGTATAAACAGAGACATTTTAGATGATTTATTAAGGTTACCTACCAGAAATGCACACAACACCGAAGAGTATAAAGATGTGATTAATGAACTCAACAAAATCACCAGAATAACACGTTTGGTATCACATGTCCCTCAGATAATCAAAGGAAGTTGGGAAGCAATACTTCCGAGTTACGAATGACTTTTACTTGATGAAATTGACTATGATGAAGGGTGGTACGTGATCTAACAATACATAATCTAACAATACATAACAAAAGAATAAGAAGCTATGAAATTGACTATGATGAAGGGTGGTAGATCATGTGACAATACATAATCCAACAATACATAACAAAAGAATAAGAAGCTATGAAATTGACTCTGATGAAGGGTGGTACATCATGTAACAATACATAATCTAACAATACATAGCAAAAGAATAAGAAGCGATGAAATTGACTATGATGAAGGGTGGTAGATCACATAACAATACATAATCGAACAATACATAACAAAAGAATAAGAAGCTATGAAATTGACTATGATGAAGGGTGGTAGATCACATAACAAAACATAATCCAACAATACATAACAAAAGAATAAGAAGCGATGAAATTGACTATGATGAAGGGTGGTAGATCACAAAACAAAACATAATCTAACAATACATAACAAAAGAATAAGAAGCGATGAAATTGACTATGATGAAGGGTGGTAGATCACATGGCAATACATAACAAAAGAATAAGAAGCTATGACACAGGGTGGTGACGAAGGGATGTGGTTACGATGGGAAGTGGTGAGGAAGGGAAGTGGTGAGGAAGGGAAGTGGTGACGAAGGGAAGTGGTGAAGAAGGGAAGTGATGATGAAGGGGAGTGGTGACGAAGGGAAGTGGCGAGGAAGGGAAGTGGTGGAGAAGGAAAGTGGGTACGAAGGGAAGTGGTGAAGAAGGGAAGTGATGATGAAGGGGAGTGGTGACGAAGGGAAGTGGTGAGGAAGGGAAGTGGTGAAGAAGGGAAGTCGTGACGAAGGGAAGTGGTGAAGAAGGGAAGTGGTGACGAAGGGAAGTGGTGAGAAGGGAAGTGGTGACGAAGGGAAGTGGTGACGAAGGGAAGTGGTGGAGAAGGGAAGTGGTGACGAAGGGAAGCGGTGACGAAGGGAAGTGGTGACGAAGGGAAGTGGTGACGAAGGGAAGTGATGATGAAGGGGAATGATGAGGAAGGGAGGTGGGGACGATGGGAAGTGGTGAGGAAGGGAAGTAGTGAGGAAGGGAAGTGGTGACGAAGGGAGGTGGTGACGATGGGAAGTGGTGACGATGGGAAGTGGTGAGGAAGGGAAGGGGTGAGTTGGGGAGGAAGCCGGACCACGAAACCTTGTGTTTTTCCGTGTAAAGTGGCTGCAGCCGGCGATGAAAGGTACCTCGTCTGTGCGGCGGTTGCGGCTGGGGTCGTTTCATGCGCGAATTGTTCCTCCTATGTGTTTTGCAACGAGTGGTTGTTCCTGTGTGCGTAGTTCTATGCGCTTCTTGAAGCTGTGGTGGCAGATCGCATTGGAATGGCTGCATGATTGTTGTCATTTGGTGTTGCCACGTCTGTAGATAGGTGCAGGTATACTACGGGATGCTGCGAAACGCAGTGTAGTGGCTGCATGAATGTTGCATGGGCTATGTTTTGAGGAGGAAGCCGGACCACGAAACCTTGTGTTTTTCCGTGTCAAGTGGCTGCAGCCGGCGATGAAAGGTACCTCGTCTGTGCGGCGGTTGCGGCTGGGGTCGTTTCTGTCGCGAATTGTTCCTCCTATGTGTTTTGCAACGAGTGGTTGTTCCTGTGTGCGTAGTTCTATGCGCTTCTTGAAGCTGTGGTGGCAGATCGCATTGGAATGGCTGCATTATTGTTGTCATTTGGTGTTGCCACGTCCGTAGATAGGTGCAGGTTTGCTACGGGATGCTGCGAAACGCAGTGTAGTGGCTGCATGAATGTTGCATGGGCTATGTTTTGGGGAGGAAGCCGGAGCACGAAACCTTGTGTTTTTCCGTGTAAAGTGGCTGCAGCCGGCGATGAAAGGTACCTCGTCTGTGCGGCGGGTGCGGCTGGGTCGTTTCATGCGCGAATTGTTCCTCCTATGTGTTTTGCAACGAGTGGTTGTTCCTGTGTGCGTAGTTCTATGCGGTTCTTGAATCTCTGGTTGCATGATCGCATTGGAATGGCTGCATGAATGTTGCATGGGTTATGTTTTGGGGAGGAAGCCGGAGCACGAAACCTTGTGTTTTTCCGTGTAAAGTGGCTGCAGCCGGCGATGAAAGGTACCTCGTCTGTGCGGCGGGTGCGGCTGGGGTCGTTTCATGCGCGAATTGTTCCTCCTATGTGTTTTGCAACGAGTGGTTGTTCCTGTGTGCGTAGTTCTATGCGGTTCTTGAAGCTGTGGTTGCAGATCGCATTGGAATGGCTGCATGAATGTTGCATGGGCTATGTTTTGGGGAGGAAGCCGGAGCACGAAACCTTGTGTTTTTCCGTGTAAAGTGGCTGCAGCCGGCGATGAAAGGTACCTCGTCTGTGCGGCGGGTGCGGCTGGGGTCGTTTCATGCGCGAATTGTTCCTCCTATGTGTTTTGCAACGATGGTGGTTGTTCCTGTGTGCGTAGTTCTATGCGGTTCTTGAATCTCGGGTTGCATGATCGCATTGGAATGGCTGCATGAATGTTGCATGGGTTATGTTTTGGGGAGGAAGCCGGAGCATGAAACCTTGTGTTTTTCCGTGTAAAGTGGCTGCAGCCGGCGATGAAAGGTACCTCGTCTGTGCGGCGGGTGCGGCTGGGGTCGTTTCATGCCCGAATTGTTCCTCCTATGTGTTTTGCAACGAGTGGTTGTTCCTGTGTGCGTAGTTCTATGCGGTTCTCGAATCTCTGGTTGCAGATTGCATTGGAATGGCTGCATGAATGTTGCATGGGCTATGTTTTGGGGAGGAAGCCGGAGCACGAAACCTTGTGTTTTTCCGTGTAAAGTGGCTGCATGCGTAATACTATTGCCTTTTGCAGCTGAGCATCGTAAATCGTATTGGAATGGCTGCATCCACGCTGGGATAGTGATTTGTCAGCAGATTTTCTCAACTTTGGCGCTAGCAATTTTCCTTTAAAAATTCCTTTTGAAAAGCGCTTCAAAATTGTCTTTTTGTCGCTTTGGCGTCGAGATCCGGTTTTGGAGCTGCAATTTCCGACGCCGTTGCGCGTAGTTCTATTGTGTTTTGCAACTCAGTCTTTGCAGATCGCATTGGGATGGCTGCGTCAGGGTTGCTTGGAGCAGCGGCTGCATGCGTAATACTATTGTCTTTTGCAGCTGAAGATCGTAAATCGTATTGGAGTGGGTGCATCAAGGCTGCGACAGTGATTAGTAGTACTGGGAAGTGATTCATGAAAGCTTAGATGACATATGAGAAGAGATGAGATGAAAAGAGATGAGCTGGGATAAGGTGAGAAGGGCTCAAGATGAGATGAAGTGTGGAGTGTGAAGAGTGCAGTGTGAAGCGTGGGGCGTGAAGGGTGCAGTGTGAAGTGTGAAGTTTGGAGTGTGAATACAGTGAGAAGTGAGAAGTGTGGACTGTGAAGTGTGAAGTGTGGACTGTGAAGTGTGAAGTTTGGAGTGCGAAGAGTGCAGTGTGACGTGTGAAGTGCGGAGTGTGAAGTGTGGAGTGTGAAGTGTGAAGTGTGGAGTCTTAAGAGTGCAGTGTGAAGTGTGGAGTGTGAAGTGTGTAGTGTGGAGTGTGAAGACTGCAGTGAGAAGTGCGAAGTGCGAAATGGAGCTTCAAATGTGACATGTGAAACAAGACATCAGTTCCGCAGAGTGCACGCACGCACCGGCTTGGCTGGCGCACGGCGCAGGCAAGTTCTATAGATGAGAAAGGTCTATATATATCTTTAAGGCAACTTCCGCCCCGCCTCGTGCGGGTACTACTGGTATATAATCCACCAATTTTTATTTGTATATACCCATTTGTACCCCAACCAAATAAAAAATGAGATAACATGAAAAACTGATGAAAAATGCGTTTTAATGGGATAAAATGCTTAAATATGTGAAAAAGTTTTTTTTTTATGCGTTTTTAAGTTATTTTGAGTTTATTTATGCGCATGGGGGTTCACAAAGTCTTCTGATCTAAACCCAGCTGATCTAGGGTACTTATTATTTTTGGTGAATTATAGAGCATTATTGATAAAGGTTATCAATGTAGCATTTTTGAGAGGCTATGTAGTTAGCTACGGTTATATATCTTCAATCGTTATATATCTACATAATTAACACTGCATAAACCACTATAGATGTTTATTATATGTATATACACATATATAAAACATATATATATATATACATACACACACACCAGGCATATTATATGTATTTCTATCATTTACGTATTCATTTACTGCTACTTACTTACTTATCTATATATTCTATATATATATATATATATCTCTCTCTCTCTCTGTAGCCCATGCTTTATATCTTTATCATGGACCAGCTGAAGAGGTGGACCCGAGCAGCCGGGGACCTCTTTTGTCACAAAAAAGGTGCTGTTTTTGAATGCTGTTATAGCCTAGAGAGAGAGAGAGAGAGAGAGAGAGGGAGGAGGATCTATTAATAAACCATTTAGAATGACACATCCCCAGTTCTACATAGGCCCAGAAAAACAGTTCTAAATGGCTTAGAAGATCTCACTGAAGTGATTTTTTTCCACCAACCAGTTGCAGGAGTAATTTCGTCCCATGGCCATAACTGTTAAGGGCCATCACTGTGGGACTAAATGGGGCTATAATGGGATTAAATTTGATGCCCTCAGGAAACTAACATAGCTATTGAAAATTGCCCATTTATAGTTGATTTACCTATTATAAATAGGTGATTTTCCATAGTTTTTGTATGTTTACCAGAGGGTACATCTGAGAATCATCCAATCCATCTGGGACCATCGTGGCACCTCCGCGCAGCTCGTTCCATGGCCGCCCCAATGCTCCGCCCGCGGCCGCGGCAGAGCTCCGCATGCTCCGCGCAGCGCGCCGAAGGCGGCGGCAGAGGCAGAGCCCAAGGGAGGCTCGGAGGTGATACGCGCAAGCTCCAGCCCGCCCCCTGACTTGGAGGGGAGATGTTTTTGCTGAGGATTTATTGGGATGATATCTGAGATTAATGCAAATGAATCACCATTGGAATGGGATTACTATGGGGATTTCTATGGGATTTGTTTGGTGATTTAAAGGGAGTCCTATGGGATTTATGAAATTTCGATGGGATTTATGGTGATTCATGGGGATTACTATATGGGATGAATAGTGATTGATATTGATTGACCATCATGAATCATGATTAATGGGACTATATATGGGATTAATCACCAATTCATAGTGATTAATCGTGAATAATGATGAAATGGGATTACTATGGGATGAATACAGAGTATACAAGAGCGATATTAAGAGTGATGATGCTCCAAGTGGGTTACTTGGAGGATCATCGTGCAAATCGCAGGTGGCTAACCCTGGCGATCGGATTCGTCCCCGATTCCGAGGGTTATATAAGTTACATCCCAATTTCTAAGCGGGATGATCATCCAAGTAGACAAACATGGAGGGTTAAACTATCCATGGTATGGGAGGTTTCTTTGGGGATCTAAATATGAAATAAAGGTTTATGGAGATCATTTTCTTGTGGCTGACATGGAGGGTTGAACTATATTGGTTTTAACATGTTTGCATTATCAAGAAGATTAGGTTTTAACTTTTAACCTTCGACATAGCCCAGTTACCCACCAACTGCATGGGGGGTTGTGATTGGAATGTAATGGGATATGTTGAGATAATATCAAATCGTAATGGGCATATGGCAGGGATGTAACCAGTAAATCAAGGTTTTAACGAGGATTTAATGAATAAATAGAAGTTCTTAATTATCAAAAATATGATGATAGGGTGATGGTTAATGGGATGTATTCCTGCAAATCACTAAAATCCCATGAGCTTGCCATGTGTGCGTCACCCAAAATCCCGTGGTAATCCCTATTAATCACCATATAAAACCCATAGTAATCCCTATCAATCATCATAAAAACACACACGCACACACACAAACATACACACACACACAGAGAAACACCCCGAAGGGAGAGGATGAAATGAGATGAAATGAGAATTTGGTTTTCCTCCTGCTGGGTATCCGGCTTAGCCCAGTTGCCATTCAAAAACAATTCCAATTCTCTTCCAACTGATTTCCGTAGCTTCCTTGGCACGGATACAGTTATGGCCCTTTACCAGTTATAAGTACTTATAACTTATAACCCCATTTATAACATGTATAATCCAACTGGAATAACCAGTTATAACTAATAAATGGACATAACTGTAGGAAATCAGTCTCCGTGCCCCCTGCTCTGCTAACGAAAGCTGATTCGAAACGAAGGATCAAAACTCGTTCGTGCTGCCCATCTGAAGATGCAAGAAGCGCCGGATTCAAACACACACACACAGACTAATCCCTACAGTTATGGCCATGGCTATTAGTTATAACTGGTTATTATTTCAATGGGATTATACGTGTTATAAATGGGGTTTTCTTAGTACTTATAACTGGTATTTCGGGCCATAACTGTCTAAATCCCTACTTAAATCCCTATAAATCATCACAAATCCCTCACTAATCCAATGATAATCCCTATACATCACCATAAATCCCATAGTAATCCCATGACATCAGTAGATCTCTTCTCCAAGTCGTGATGTCGTGATCCTATAGTAATCACCGTATAAATCCTCATAAATCCTATAAATCCCGATAAATCCGAGAGTAGTCCCATAGTGATCCCATAGTACTCCCTATAAATCACAAGACAAAACCGTAATCTCCATAAATCACCATAAATCCTATAGTAACCCCATAGAAATCCCTAAAAATCGCTATATAAATTCCATTCCAACCGCGGTTCTCCCGGCCTACGCTGGACCAGGCCCATGGGGAGATGGAGGGCCACAGCGTGCCTGGTGGATTTTTTGTTGGGATTTCTATGGGTTTTTTACAGAGATTTGGTGGTGATTTTGTAGAGATTCTGATGGGGATTTAAGAAGAGAATTTATGGTGATTTATACAATGTGAGGCCCCCAAGATATAAGTTGGTTAACAAAAGCCCCAGTAACTATAGTTATAAGTACCATAAACCATAGTTTTTGGGTTTTTTTCGACCAACTTAGCTATCTAGGGGCCCCACTTTATATGGATTACTATGTTCTTTTTTGGTTCATTGGTAGCGATTTATAGTGATTTATAGTGGATTTATAGAGTTTACTATGGGATGTATAAGGGTTTGTAGTGGTTTGTGTGATTTATAGTGATTAACCAACTTAGGTGTGACTGAAAATGGTGGATTAATGGATTGATGGTGGATCTGTGGTTGATTGATGGATGATTTATGGCGGCGGATATGTCTTACAGTGGCAGGAACGTTGTTTTAGTTGTGGGTGCGTTTTTTTCCCATGGGTTTTTACGGGTTGATAGTGAATGATGATGGACAATAACGGCTAACCAGGGTGGGCTATATGCTGTTTCATGTCGAACACGCTTTAATCAATTTATACTGACTGTCCTTTCTTTCAGATACGGTTAGCCTCCGTCAAATTGTTAACAATGGCTCAACATGGGTATAGGATTATCAGAAACAAATGCGAGGGCGGGAATAGAAACCAAGAAACGGCCGCATTTGGCTGACACTAGATGCCCTCTATATCTTTAAAATGGGAAATCAATGGGATATAAGTGATGTAATAATTACCATTGTATATTGGATGTGATTGGATGTGGGTGTGCATCCCAGGAATCAAAATGGGACAATAAGCTCTCGTAACATGTAAAATGTTGTAAGGCCAATAGGAAACCACCCTGGCAAGTACATTTTTCCTCGTCGTTTTACATCATCCCCAATAGGGGAAGGAATAAACTAATAAACACCCATTGAGGGTGGTTTATTCTTGAGTTGACCTCCCAACCCCCTAAATCCAACTATATATATATATATATATACATATATATATATATACATATATATATATATGTACATGTATGGAATATATATATATATAACTGTATGGGTTGCCTACATTTAGTGATGGCCATGCACACAATGTCTCTCTGCTTCGTCCACACTTTCTCATTGATGTTGCTCTGCCAGGACGGCCCTTTGAGGTGCTGCCCAACAATAGATATATCATGAGCTACTCAATGTCGACAGTGTCTACTAACTTCTGCTGCCAGAAAGTGCTGAACTCCTCCAATACAGGGCGGAGGGTGTCGCGCATATTCAAGCTGCACGCAAGTTGCTGCTGATTTTGGCTTGGGAGCCAGGGGTCCTCGAACTTTGACGGGTCCTCTGACTGCAGATCTTTCCAATGCTGTGTCTGGATGCGAAAAACGCAAAATCCAGCATCAACAAAGTCGCGGGCGCTCTCTAGCCCCCACTCCAGCCACTCATGATCCATGCATTGATGCAAGATCACGATTGCCATGGCTGCAGGAACTATATAAACCAACTTAGCATTTCTTCTCTATTAAAATGGCAATATTGGGTTATAACATGTTATAACCCAATGATCAGAGAAACACACATATCATAGTCGTGTTGGTGAATTAGTTGCATCGTTATATCCCATATGTCATCCCAATACCTATATCCCCATCATGTCCCCATTAACTGGATTAATAATATACCGACGGACTGAAAGTTAGAATGCCTGTTTGGAAAATTTCGGCCACACGTGCAAAACTGGAAAATTGCATTTTTACCAGCATTTCAGAAGTTAGAATGCCTCCCCCCACCTAGGATGAAGCTATTCGGCAATCAACAGTTAGAATGCCTCCAAGGGCATATGTTCTTTTCCAGGCAGAAACGCATATATATATATATATATATATCCTAGACCCTCCAAGTCACCATAAAAAAGGTAGTTTACCACATAATTTTCATAGTTTTAGCAATTTTTCAGGGTATTTGGAGGTTCTGGGTATATGAATGTACCTGTTTGAGAATATCACATTATGTTTCGTGCATTTTGCAGGTCTGGGTAAAGATTCCATGAAAAGTTTCAATGAACCAACAGGCAGCCGAAAGGCACTTTTACTCGCTTTCCCCATTCGATAACCTTGACAAAAAGTGAGTTTCCCGTACAAAAATTGCGATTTTGGACGCAGACCTGAGGTAGATAGGCTTCTGGGAAAAGAGGACACACCCAGCCACTAATGGTGTTGAACAGACAGTTAGAATGTGGCTTTAGTAAAGGATCCCCATCATTGATAAATACCTTTGTTTTATCTCCCCCCCCACCTAGGATGAAGCTATTCGGCAATCAACAGTTAGAATGCCTCCAAGGACATATGTTTTTTCCAGGCAGAAACACATATATATCCTAGACCCTCCAAGTCACCATAAAAAAGGTAGTTTACCACATAATTTTCATAGTTTTAGCAATTTTTCAGGGTATTTGGAGGTTCTGGGTATATGATGAATGTACCTGTTTGAGAATATCACATGATTTTTTGTGCACTTTGCAGGTCTGGGTACTTTTACTCGCGTTCCCCATTCGATAACCTTGACAAAAGTGAGTTTACCGTACAAAAATTGCGATTTTGGACACATACCTGAGGTAGATAGGCTTCTAGGAAAAGAGGACACACCCAGCCACCAATAGTGTTGAACAGACAGTTAATGTGGCTTTAGTAAAGGATCCCCATCATTGATAAATACCTTTGTTTTACCTTCCGGAACCCTGTCGGCGCGCACGGGGGAGAGCGCAAAACTGCCTGTGAGGGCGCGTTTATCTTCATTTCGCTCACTGTGGGCAGTGTTTCGTGGTGGTACGTTGAAGTTGTGCCCGTCAGTTAGAAGTTGTGCCCGTCAGTTAGAAGTTGTGCCCGTCAGTTAGAAGTTGTGCCCGTCAGTTAGAAGTTGTGCCCGTCTGTTAGAAGTTGTGCCCGTCTGTTAGAAGTTGTGCCCGTCAGTTAGAAGTTGTGCCCGTCAGTTAGAAGTTGTGCCCGTCAGTTAGAAGTTGTGCCCGCATGACATGTTATTATTTTTGGGGTGGGGAACAGGGGAGGTGGGGGGGGGGGCACACTCACACACGCGTGATGTTACGTTGTAAGATCTTCTCTTGCACTTGCACACACGCGTGCTGTTACGTTGTGAGATCTTCTCTTGCACTTGCACACACGCGTGATGTTACGTTGTGAGATCTTCTCTTGCACTTGCACACACGCGTGATGTTACGTTGTGAGATCTTCTCTTGCACTTGCACACACGCGTGATGTTACGTTGTGAGATCTTCTCTTGCACTTGCACACACGCGTGATGTTACGTTGTAAGATCTTCTCTTGCACTTCTCACATAATTCCTTTGGCGATGCAAAAACTTTTAGATTCTCCCGGATTAGAAACAGTGTTGCAGGCCATGGCTTTCTACCGGCAAGCCAGAATGTCTCAGGTTGGATGCGATCCCAAAAAATTTGGGAAAGTGTCAGATGACAACGCATGGCTGAAGATATGAATGAAAAAGTAAACATGTCGGCGCGCGCCCACAAGGTTCCGAAACGTTCTTTTATCTCCTAGATGGGGCGCTAGCTGGAATGCCTGTAACTGTCACTGATTGGAAAAGATGTTTATATGTTTTCTTAACGGCAAAACTGGAAAATTGCATTTTTACCAGCATTTCAGAAGTTAGAATGCCTCCCCCACCTAGGATGAAGCTATTCGGCAATCGGCAGTTAGAATGCCTCCAAGGGTATATTTTTTTCCAGGCAGAAACGCATATATATCCTAGACCCTCCAAGTCACCATAAAAAAAGGTAGTTTACCACATAATTTTTCATAGTTTTAGCAATTTTTCAGGGTATTTGGAGGTTCTGGATATATGATGAATGTACCTGTTTGAGAATATCACATGATTTTTTGTGCACTTTGCAGGTCTGGGTACTTTTACTCGCTTTCCCCATTCGATAACCTTGACAAAAAGTTAGTTTCCCGTACAAAAATTGCGATTTTGGACGCAGACCTGAGGTAGATAGGCTTCTGGGAAAAGAGGACACACCCAGCCACTAATGGTGTTGAACAGACAGTTAGAATGTGGCTTTAGTAAAGGATCCCCATCATTGATAAATACCTTTGTTTTATCTCCTAGATGGGCCGCTAGCTGGAATGCCTGTAACTGTCACTGATTGGAAAAGATGTTTATATGTTTTCTTAACGGCAAAACTGGAAAATTGCATTTTACCAGCATTTCAGAACTTTTGAATGCCTCCCCCCCACCTAGGATGAAGCTATTCGGCAATCAGCAGTTAGAATGCCTCCAAAGTTTTTTTTTCCAGGCAGAAACGCATGTATATCCTAGACCCTCCAAGTCACCATAAAAAAGGTAGTTTACCACATAATTTTCATAGTTTTAGAAGTTTTTCAGGGTATTTGGAGGTTCTGGGTATATGAATGTACCTGTTTGAGAATATATATATATATGTATATATACTTGGTTGTGCAGACAATTGTACCCCACAACCCATGCGTTCCCTCAGCGTTCCCTGGTGTTTTTCTGGAAACATACATATATACTTGGTATGTACAATATATAGGTATGTCTCAAAATGAGGAGTGCGGCCCGGGAAGTTTGACTAGGGGGTATGATTCGTGGGTATGATTCGGGGTATGATTCGTGGGTATGATTCGTGGGTATGATTCGCGGACCTTGATTTAGTGTTTCCCTGCATCCTCCGCGTATAGTTATTTACCCACACTTACCCCGAAAATGTTTCAACTGTTGGTAATTATACCATACGTGGAGCGCTCTGGAGCTGGCATACTGTTGACGCTGTGCGTGCTGCTGTCAGAGTGGTGTGCGCGCTTTGGAGCGGGCATCGTGGTGCCGTTGGAGTGCCGCTGCGAGGTGCTGGTGCAGGGTGTTGCTTGCTGTCAGAGTGGTGTGTACAGTTTGGAGCGATGCTGGTGGCGCTCAGGGTGCTGCTGCAGGTGCTGCCTGGTGTGTGCCCTGCTTTGGAGCGGGCATGCTGGTGAGCGGATGCCGGTGGAAGGTGCTGCTTGAGGGTGCTGTCGAGCTAGCTTGCTGGTGCTGCTGCAAGGGGTGATGCTTCAGGGTGCTGCAAGGAGGGTACGTACTGTACCCAACTCGTGCTGCAAGGGTGCTATGTGAAGGGCGCTGCTGCACGCTGCAGGGTGCAGCTGTTAGAGTGGCGTGTCCGCTCTGGAGCTGGCTGGTGGTGCCGCTGCAGGGTGCTGCTTCAAGGTGCTGCAGTTAAAGTGGTGTGTGTGCGCTTTGGAGTTGGCATGTTGGTGCCATTGCAGGAGCTGCAGGGTGCTGTTGTCGGATTTTTCTCAGAAGCAGCAGGAGGCGTAGTCTAGCCCGTGGCGAATGGTTACAAAGAAAAGAGCTCACAAATCACAAGTTCTGATCTTGCAAATGTACCAAGGTTCAGAATTGGGAAGTTTGAGGTATGATTCGGGTATGATTCGGGGTATGATTCGGAAACCCATCTTTTTTTGAATTCAGGAAGCTTTGTTGCTTGAATCTCTTTTTCCCACCGTGAACCTACTACGATTGCTACTCAATGGCTGCAATGGCTCGACCTGCCAGACGACCTTGGACAGGACCTGAATATGAAGAATGTGAAGATCTAAATGCACATCTATGATTTATATCCGACGGCCTGCCGGCGTCTCTTCTGGATGTTCTTCTCATGTACCTTTAGTTCAGCTACGCTTAGGCTTATGTTCCTCTTCGACGGATTTTTGGTTTGGTTGCCAGCCAGCCAGCCAGCCAGCCAGCCAGCCAGCCAGCCAGCCAGCCGCACACAGAGTCATCCCGCTCATCAGCCTCATCAGCAACACAGCAAGCAGCCAGGCACGCAGCCAGCCAGCTGCAACTAGCCAGCCCTATACCAGCAGCAGCAACTGAGCCAGCCACCTAGCCAGCCAGCCAGCCACCCAGAGCCAGCCACCTTAGGGATAATGATGAGACTCTGTGCGCGTGGAGAAGATTCGCCACTCCGTGAAGGTATGTGAAGGTAGCCAGGATCATCGGGTCTGGCCACACTGGTCAATTAGCTTGTCAGGTTCATTATAACAGGTGAGGCCAATGCAATCCCAAACGATCCCAAAAGAAACATTCATAATAATGATTTTTTGGGGTATGATTCGGGGGATATGATTCGGGGTATGATTCGGGGGTATGATTCGCACAAATCGAACTTCCTGCCTTTACTAAAAACTGCACCCGTTAAAAAAAGACACAGCCATATATATATATATATAGAAAGTTTTTTTGAAAACATGATGCCAACCCCATCCATGCTAGAATATGCTAGTGCCAGGCCATGTACCTTGCACCCAATGAGGTTCCCTGAGGCCATGTTTTTTTTGACACGTATCTACATATATATATATATATATTGATATTGATATGTTTTGGATATATACACATATCGACGGACTGAAAATTAGAATGCCACATTCCTTCTTAAATTAGTTCTACAGACAGTTAGAATGCTCCATGATGCTCCATGATGCTCCATCCGTCATTTCAGTATATCTTTATCTATCTAAATCTAAACATTTTGGTTCAGCATTCTAACTGTCTGTTCGCCGTCCGAGGCTGCGCGGCATTCATCGGCATTCTAAGTTCACAAAAAAAGAGATGTGGAAAGATGGAGCGGCATTCTAACTTTCAGTCCGTCGGTATACTATTATTTCAACCAACCATATGTGTGGGTCTTGTATAAACATATGGTTGAATCCACATTGTTGATGGTTAAAGCATCTATATTGTATCACCATATTGTTGATGGTTAAAGCATCTATTTGATTATTTGATGGTTAAATCCACATTAAGGACCCTTATTTCGTAGTTTACTCCTGGGTTATCCTCTGGTTATTTAACTTAGCTACAGAAAATAACACTTTTTAATAGACAAATGATCATAACTCATCTATAAATGGGCCATGGCTTCCATAGCAATGTGAGTTTACCACAGTTTTAGCCCTTAACAGGCAACTAACAGTTCAAACCAGCTCAGACCTCATCAGTGGAAAGCACCTGCCTGGCGCGCGCCCGGCCAAGACCTTCGAGGGAAGCGGCACTGCTGATGCCTGGGGAACCAGGCAGTTGGAGGCAGGGTGGAATGGATTTGAAGTGGTTAGTATCAATGGAAACTATGTTTTTTTTAATGAAATTTAGAGCTGTTTCATGGGATAATGGGAGAATAATGGAACATATAAGTGACCAGCAATGGAAACAATGGAAACCATCAATGCTTCGTTGCTTCTTTCGGATTTATTATCCATCAAAAATTCATGAAATTTGGGACTTCACCAGCAAGGTTTAACGGGATACAACAATAGTGGCATTGGTTGGCGTTTATAAACCACCTTACAACGGGGCCATCAAAACATGACACACAAAATTAGCGGATTCTATATGGAAACCATGAAAGATCTATGAATTGATTAACCGGAAAACCATGAAGTTTGAGGTGTTTTATGGAATATTCTTAGCTAGGTGTTTCCTGTTTTTCTTCCTATGAAGGTTTCCAGTTTCAAGTGTGTTCATTTTCCATCACCAAAAAAATGAAATAATAACTCTGGTTAGCGACTCCAATGAGACTCGAACAGTGGAGTTAACCTACCACACCATAGTCACTTCGCAAAAAATCCATCTGTTTCGGTGTTTCCATCGCAGCCCACAAATAGAGAGTTGAGTTATGGCCATTTATGAAAGTTATAGCTGATTACAGTGGGATTATACATTTTATAAATGGGGTGACTTCTTAGTACTTATAACTGGTATAACTCGGGCCATAACTGTGGAAACATTGCATAAAACTGCCACGTGTTTTTCCCCAAAAAGATGCGCAACTTTTTTCTGTTTCCAGCTGGTGATCATCTTGCATGTTCAGGCCAAGCTTTCTGGTCATCTTTTCCGGCAGCAGCGTTTTAACTGGCTCAGAATACTGAAAGAAAAGTGGCATATAACCAACCAGTTGCAGGACTTATGTCATCCCAAACAAAGAACTGTTAAGGGCCATAACACAGGTTAATGGTGTCAACTATTTGTTTATTAGGCTCCTGCTGGAAATAGCGACGTGCCAAAAAACTACCAACGCGTAGTTCAAAGTTAGTTTATGTTCACACATTCAACTACCTTAATGTTTTGTAACTATATTGCATAGTATACATATTATATATTACATATGTGACTATATATAATATAAAATAATAAAATATATAATATAATATAATATAATATAATATAATAAATTTAATATTATATTATATTATATAATATGATATGATATAATTATAATATAATACAATATGATATGATATAATAAAATTATATAATATAATAAAATATCATATAATAAAATTATATAATATAATTTAACATAATACAATATAAAATAATATAATATAAATAATACATACTTATATATATATATCATAGACATATCATAATTTCAACACTTGTGGCAGTGTTCTTTAAAGACACATGGATCAAATCTCCAGCTGTGCCTCCAGCAGAGCGTCCATGCGCTTGAAGCTGCGTTCCAGCATGGAAATCCCATGGAAATCCTGCCAGAAATCCCTGGTTGGAAGTCCCCAGTTGGCAAATCGCAACAGTGCAGTTTTCAGTTGGCAAAATATGTACAGTTATGGCCATTTCTTGGTTATAACTGGTTATTTCAGTGGGATTGTACATGTTATAAATGTGGTTAAAAGTACTTAGAACTGGTGAAGGGCCATAACTGTAGGATAACCCATGAGTCATGATAAATGATCCTGAAACGCTCATTTGCCAATCGCAAACAATATAATTATAAAAAATAGACTGCAAGAAAACAACCATCTAGTAAATTTCAAAGATATTTAGATGTTCCTATTGAAATCGCAACAGGTTTCGACTATTAAACTACCCATCCAATTGGTTGACCCAGATAGCAGCAATTCTTGAGTTGAAATCCTCGTGGTGACGTCGTTGCTGGTGGAAAATATCCAGTTATAAGTTACCCTCTGGTAAACATACAAAAAATATTGAAAATGGCCGTCGAAATAGCGAGTTTTCCCATTAATAGCATGGTGATTTTCCATAGCAAACTGTTAGTTTACCAGAGGGTAGGAAAAATAAAGCCTATAACTATATAGCTGGTTGGTGGTTGAGTTTCTACCCCTCTGAAAAATGATGGAGTGAACGTCAGTTGGGATGATGAAATTCCCAATATATGGAAACATAAAACATGTAATGTTTCAAACCACCAACCAGTTAGGTATTTTACTGTCTTGCAAACTGGAACGAAATGCCGCTGGACTGTACGGAAGATGATGCTTATACACTGGACTTTCGGCATACCCAAATCACTCATGATGGTGAAACTGAAAACTTGCCGAAAATCAAGTCTAAATCACATCTACTGCCCATTTCTGCTGGTGAAATCTCCATTTTAACCGTCACTTTCCCTTATTTTAGAAGGGGTTCACCCTAACGTTCACAGCGGGGCAACACCATCCATCGTCCCTGATTGGCGCCTCATGACCATGTTTCAGCGCTGGCATCTGGGTGGTGCCGGGGGCCCGGGTTACGATTGCTGTCTGTTGGTATCTGATATCAATTGATGGGAATATGATTGGTATAGATGGTACTCCATCTACTATTAATCCATGGGAATATGGTAGATGGGAATATCAATTGATGGGAATATTAGATGGAGAATATGATAGCTATAACTGGGAATATCAAGAAAACAATAGGATTTATGTTATTTCCCAGATGCTCCATGTATATAATATTTACCTACATTTACCCCAAAAATGGCCCAAATGTAGGTACACATTCCATACTTGGAGCATCTGGGCTATAGAAAGTCTTTGCTTTATGGTAGACATTGGTAGATATATCGAACTAGTCAATGGGGTGAACCACCAAGTATGATCAAAATGGCTTTCCATACTTGGATACAATATACAATGTTTAATATATTCACAATGACTATCCAATGATATGAATAATCCGATATGACACAATCATGATACAGAATGTAGATATGTGTATGATTGGATGGTGATATCCTAATTCTTCTCTCCGAAACAAACTCACTCCTCTTACTCGGACGCGGAAATGAACAGATCCACCAGGATATGTTGGGGAAGAGGATGCTGAAAGTGACCGGTGGACAACTGCATTACACAATTCATGTGCTGCATTTCCAGCATCAAAGTGCAGGATGTTAATAAGTGGTACCCTTAAGTCAATGGCCATTTCAGGATCCTAAATTGGAGGTACTGTACCATATAAGGCCTATGTAAGGGAAGTATCCCCACAAAATATGGCCTTATATGGTACAGTACCTCCATTTTAGGATCCTGGAATTCCCATTGATTAAGTCGAAAGTTGGATTACAGACCCAATATGCCCCAATATAATGATTATGTCACGGTATTCGATACCAGATTCCGAACTGCAGCACCACCTTTTTGGAGACGCTGTGGTATTTCTGGGAAGGTAAAACAAACAAACATGGAGAAAAAACATAACCACTGCCTAGTGGAATCCCTACCCCTAGCTAACCATTATACCATTGTGGTGAGCTCGATAGAATTGTTCCCGATTGATGGTTCCCTTCCAATAAATGGTAAATGTTCTCCAGGTAAATGTCTATCATTCTGTTGATATTTTGTCCAGTTTGATTGCAGTTGGTCGTTAAATCCATGCTTTGCATCGCTCCTTTTTTATATTAACGCATTCAAAAAGATCGCATTCTCCCATCTATTCTACAATGTGGGGCCCCCCAGTGATGGAACGATGGTTTATAAACCCCATTAACTATAGTTATAGGTACCATAAACCATAATTATTGGAGTTATTTGCACCAACTGAACGCTATCGTTTGGGGGCCCCACTTTGTATGTATACCCAATATATTTTCCCCGCAATTGAGCCATGACAAATACCCCGGGACCCATTCCATACTGGTCAGTAAATGTTCCCAACTGGGTGAGTTCGAATGATCCCCAATAAGCCGGGTACGTAACCAGCAAAGTAATCCATCAACAATCAACAGACAATATACCTACCATAAATCCTATAGTTTTCTTGATATTCCCAGTTATAGCTATCATATTCTCCATCTAATATTCCCATCTATTGATATTCCCATCTACTATATTCCCATGGATTAATAGTAGATGGAGTACCATCTATACCAATCATATTCATTGATATTCCCAGTTACACCAATAAATAATCAGATATCTCCATATGCATATTCTCCATCTATAGAATCTATATACATTTATACCAATAAATTTTCTAATGCATATTCCCAATCATATTCCCATATATATTTCCCAATCATATTCACAATCATATTCCCATCAATTGTTGCTTTCCGATGAGATTCCTGGGATCGGTCTGAGGCTCTGACCAAGCTCCATTGAAAGTTTTTTTCCTGGGTAACGGATATGGACTTGGTAACGGCACCACCCCTCCCAGTGAAATGTGAACGTTGGTTTATAAACTAACAGGGATCATAGTAACTATAGATCATAGTAACTATAGATCATAGTAACTATAGATCATAGTAACTATAGATCATGGTTTATGTTGTATCCTAGTTATGGATCATAGTAACTATATAGATACAACTACCACCCAACAGTTCTTGGAGTCTCAAAACAACTTAGACTTAGCTAACATAGCTGAGAGTAACGGTGTATAAATCCTGGCTATTGGAGTTACAAAACCAACTTCGCTAACATAGATGTGGAATATCAAACATGAATGTAGTAAATTTTCCTGGGTTTTCCGCAACTATTTAGTTGTTCCCAAATAGGGAAACTGGTAAAATATTGGCTTTACAACATGATATACTGACTTGAATTGTGCTTGATACTGGGTTGTGCTGGGCTCTTTGACCATTGAGTTTGCGTCAAATACATCTGGTCAGATATGCAAATGCTCGAAAAGCCTTTCCAATGCAGGTGTTCCAAAACAATGTTTGGTTTGTAAAATCACAACCGGAACTGCACAAAAGGAAAGGTGCAATATGATATTCAGTTTATAGAGGAACGTTGCGGGATGCCAATGCTACCCAAACTATCATCCACAATCGAACAGCCCAGGGCTGTACTGTATCAGTCTTTATTCATCCACGACGTGTCAAGTCGGCAGAAATCTCCCAGTCCTAAACCTATCTGGAACCTCAGAGAAACACCTTCCAGGATGTTGGCGGCTTTGGCTGTCAACCTGTGTGTTTTTTGCTCTACTCCTCAAATGGCAAAATGGTCGGGGGGTCAACAGCATTTCATTTTGCCAAACAAATTACACAATGCTTCTCTTATTCTTATTATAATTTAACAATATTATTGTCATTATTATCATCATTATTACTATATGTATTTTACATATATATATATACATATTGTATGTTTATATATATATATACATATTGTATGTTTATATATATATATATACATATGCATATTGACAATCTAGGGTCATCACTAAGAATATGGGTGTGATCTATTTGGCATCCTCGTTGATCAACGGGCCGCGTCGAGTATCAGAGCCCAAGGGGACTGAAGTCCACACCACGTCCTGGCGTGGGGTCACCTATGGTGGAAAACCATAGGAAAATTGTGATCTAACCAAGAAGGATGGGGAATTCATGAGATTCATAGCTGGTTTATGTTAGCGTTCAGTTGGTTTATAACTCCAATTTCACTATATAGTTTATGCTACGCAAATAACTACATATATAGTATTCATGGGGTTTATAAACCAATTTATAATGTTTGAGGGCACCACATTGCAGAGTAAATTATAATAGTTCACTTCACTACTCTGAGTTCAGGCCATTTGGGGATGATTTCCCCTTACTATAACCATATTCCAATGAGGTCGCTGTGGGGTCGATACCATTTGCCCAGAATTACGTCTTGACAAAATGTTGAAAAGTGGTAAGAATTCACCAAGACAACTTGATGTATAACTCTTAACATTCTGTTTTGCCGTGTTGGCAAAGTTTACGATACCATGTTGTTAGTAAGTAACAATGTCCTTTTGGTAAAAATAGAGGGGCCGGTTTGGTACACCATCTATCATCATTTACCTGTTGTTAAAGGGGTAAACAAACCCCTCTATTAATCGACCAACCAATGGGAAAAGGACATCTATGGAGTTGTTAGTTCACCCAAGACTCTAAGATGGGTAATTTGAACCACTGAAATGTGGTGTCCTGGCTCGGTGTTACAGTGGTTACAGTGCAGAAATCCATGGCTTGGGGTTTAAAGCCGTGTCGTGCTACCTGTGCTCGAAGTTCACCGAAGTTTTTCCTCAGGCCATGCCTTCAGGTTGGATCCATTTGCCCTTGTAGCCGATCTGATCCTGCATGGGCATGGGCCTTCATGAACTCGGCGAAGAAGAAGAGGTTTTCGCAGAGGCCCAGGAGAACGGCAGCCGCTGCCACGCCACATGCGCTAACCAGCGCGGCGCGAATCCCACATCGCCTGAGCGCCTCAGGCGACATCCAAGTCTCAACCGCCTCAGGCGACATCGATGCGGCATCGAAGAAAGCCACATGGAGGCAGGTGCGGTAGGTCGTTCTATCCGGAGCGCTTGCCTCTGCAGCTGCTGTCGCTTGGTTTTCGCCGGCGTTCCCTGTGTGATCTCCTTTCCTCTTCGGGTCACTTGGCAGATCTTCGAGTTGCGTGGAGGCTGCAGTTATGGCCCGAAATACCAGTTATAAGTACTAAGAAAACACCATGTATAAAATGTATAATCCAACAGAAATCACCAGTTATAACTTTCATAAATGGCCATGTCATTGTGCCTGAATCTGCTTGAACTGACAGCAACCACTGGCTACACTGGCCACACAGCTTAACCGGGAAAGTCGGAGTTTGCACACACGAAGGACTCTTCAATTGCTGCAGTTATGGCCATGACTATGAGTTACAACTGGTTATTTCAGTGGGATTATACATTTTATAAATGGGGTTATAAGTACTTATAACTGGTACAGGGCCATAACTGTGCAGGTTGGATCAAACTTCAGAAACACTGAAGGAACCGTTCCATTTAAATGGGAGGTTTGTAGCTGGGAAAATCCTCGAACTATTGAGGATTTTCCAGCCATGTTTGATGACACCGGAGGGTAGGTTTTGGAAAAAACAACCAGCCATGTGTGAAAGAACCGATCAGTTGAATCTCATAAGGATCCTTTTGGACAATTATATAAGTGCGATATAGTGCGATATATTGTTTCCATGTATTCCACTAGTACCGTTGTGATATGCAGCGCTATGAATTGGTTATCGGTTCAGTAAATGGGAATATATATATATATTCAGTGAATAACCCAATAGCATCCAAGCTATGTTATATGCATAGTTTATTGGGATAAGCCTAAAAAAAGAACGATACATTGTTCTGCCAATCATTTCAGATACCTTCGACCCCAAAATCATCATCTCCAGGACCAACTCAGTGATTTCGCCGCTCAGCAGGGTTTTTTTTACAGTTATGGCCCTTTTTCAGTTATAAGTGCTTATAACCCCGTTTCAAAACATGTAAATATATATATGTATATAATTATATAAATGTGTATTTATATTATATATATATACACATATAATTATATTTGTACATTTATATAATATATATATATAAATACATGTATATATATATAAATAATCCCATAGAAAAAAGCAGTTTCAACAGCCACAGCCATGGCCAGAACTCGAAGCGAAATGGATCTCCTTGGACTTCAGAAGAGAAGTCAACAGCAGATGCGGAGCTGTCATGGTGGAGGCATCGGACACCTTGGCGCCGGTTGGGCGAGCGAGCGAGCTATCGTTGTTGCCAGCGAATACACAAATAAAAGAGCAGGTGTAACAGAAATTATACATATGATCTTAAGATATCTTAAGAAATTCTATAACCATTTGGAGATTTCAAGAATTTGTGCAAAAATTCAATGTAATATAATGTATAATAATAATTGATATCAAGAAATCCAGACTGCTCATCAAAAGGGGTTGCGAAGGGATAAATGTTCAGCTGAAAAGTCAACGTTTCTCCATTTACTAACAATGTGGGGCCCCCCAGTGATGGAACGACGGTTTATAAACCCCATGAATACTATAGTTATAGGTACTATAAACCATAGTTGTTGGAATTATAAACCAACGATATCCTATTCCCATGCTGCTCTTTGTGGACGGCCGCAAAAAAAAAACATGGCCCTATGGTCCGTTCAATGCTGAGCATCGGAACAATTTACAATATTTCTCAAAGCGGCAAGAATCCAATTTTGGGAATTTTCCAATAATCCAAAAGTGGTATGACAATGACAAATATTGTAATGACAAACATGTAATAATCCATTTATCAACTATTCCAATGACAATATTTCTCATTTATCCGCTGTAATGCCACTATTCCAATGTCATTTTTCCCCTATGGAATGCATAATGGAATTCGATAAAAGGAAGAAATTGAATAAATCCGTCTTTCCCAGTTTCTGTCCCATATGTACATTAAAAAAACATCAGGCTGACATCTTAAAGCATGTATCCCTTATATTCCCAATATTCTAATATGTCATATATGTATGTGAAATATATAATGGTAAACGGATAATATGGTAATATAATGTTATATATCCATATCATCCAGATACGATATTATACAATGTGGGGCCACCCGGTGATGTTAGATGGTTTATAATCCCATGGCATGAATACTATAGTTATAGGTACCATAAACCATAGTGAAATTGGAGTTATTTGCACCAACTGAACGCAATTTCGTCAACGGGGGCCCCACTTTGTATGTAGTCCACATATATTTTATACAGTTATGGCCCTTTACCAGTTATAAGTACTTATAACCCCATTTATAACATGTATAATCCCACTTGTAACCAGTTAAAACTAATAAATGGCCATAACTGTATCCACTCCTGGCTGTAAATATCCCATGCCCTGGGGCGGCTGCCATTCGTTCGGCTTCCACCTCAGCTGGGACGGTGATAGGAAAATGGAGGTTTGACCACGCAAAAATGAGGTATTTTTCATGGGATTTATAGGCTGATTTATAGTAAGATTTATAGCTGATTTAATGGGATTTAAAGCTGATTTATGATAGCTAAGTTGGTTTTTCACTTGGTTGACTAGCGTTTATGGAAGATACTATACGGACATTTCGTCAAGAGGGTTTATTTTCCACAAGCTTGTAACTGGGGGCCCACAAGGTAGAAGAAATTCACCAAACTATTGTTTTGACACTGATCAAATCATTGATTTTTGTCTGGCGAATCCTGTTGAACAGGCATTTCATCATATTTCCAGAAATATTTCGATTTATGGACTTTTCACACTGATCAAACGATTCTTACTGTTGCTAAACGTAGGGAATGAGGGCATGATCCATAATCACTAGTAATGTCATCATCCCAGCAACCCCCAGCAACCCATCCATTAACCCTAAGTTTAGCACCAGTAAGTATTTGACACTGATCCAAGCAAAATCATGGCTGTCCAACAATGGGAATATGACCAGCCGGATCAGCGGAGGCCATGCATCATGCGAAAAAAAGGCGTGGCGTAGCTCCGCAAATGAGCGAAACAAAATTCATATTCATAGAGTTATGGCCCGAAATACCAGTTATAAAATGTATAATCCCACTGAAATAACCAGTTATAACTAATAAATGGCCATAACTGTATCTTATCATATCATTTCATGTTATTGGTTATGAGCTACATATCATCAGCTAGTAAACATGTTAACTAAAAACATATAATCAACCGTAGATATGCTAAACAATCAACCATAGATATGCTAATCAGCTGCTAATACACGATATTGCCAGTTTGTTACCTCATCATACAATATGTGTGTATGTGTGTCTCTGTCAATAGTTATGAGCCACAGCAAACCGATGTTTAGAAACAAACATACATGTTACATATATAAACAGGATAACAGGACACATCTTATACTGACATCAATGGCAGTTACAATAAATCCTAAGCCAGGAATTAAATTCAGAATGTTCAGCACTAATGTTCTTCCTAACCAACATTTGGCTTGAGGTCGATACGAGTTCACTCTAATCTGCCGCGCTACGTGGCAATGTTCACAGAAATGAATGAGGTGAAGGAAGTGACGCAGAGACTCAAATGCTAAAATGTAAGTAACCCCATCCGCGTAACACAATTTATTTCGTAAATCAGTGAATGATTGGAAAATGCAGTTATGGCCCGAAATACCAGTTATAAGTACCAAGAAAACCCCATTTAAAACATGTTTTTTATCCCACTGAAATAACCAGTTATAACTAATAGCCATGGCCATAACTGTGGTGAAACATGTTCAATCATGGTTAATGGCTGAAATACGATGCTCTACCCGTTCACCAAACATTCCGGGACTTGGATATCTCTGTTCTTCAAGCAGCCATAAGGCCCATGAGAAGTTGGTGAGTCTTGGAGCCACGTTGATGGTTCAATATGTTTTCTTCTTGTGGATACCTAAAAGGTTGATATCATGGATACCTTATAGTAAGTTATAGTTGATATCATGGCTAACCTTAGGTTTTTCTCAGAAATCCGTTGCTGCTGCCAGCTTGGGGTTCTTTAAACAACTCAATGTTTGATTGAACAGGAAACGTTTTCTCGATAAATCTGAAGGTTTCCTGAAATGGGGGTACCCCTAAATCATAAATCATTCATTGTAATAGGATTTTCCGTCATGAACCAACCATTTTGGGGATCCACCATTTATGCCAACCCCCATCTTCCGGTTTTCCAATGCATTCCATGGTGCTACGAGGTAGTGCCCCATAGTTAGCATTGGATCATATATATATATATATATCTAAATATGTGTGTACATATATAATTAAATATATATATATATACACACATATTACATTACATTACATGACATTACGTTACATTACATTATATTATATTGTATTATATTAAATCATGTCATGTTATATTACATTATATTATATTATACTATATTTTATCTTAAATTATATAATATATTATTTTATACTATATATATTATTATATTATATATTATATTATATTATATTTTATTATATATTATATTAAATTATATTATATTATATTATATATATATATCATATATTATATTATATTAAATCACAATATATTATATTACATTACATTATATTACATTATGTTGTAAACATATATTAAATCAAATTATATTATATTAAATGTTATATGTTACATGTATTATATATACACGGTATATGTTCCACTATAGATCCATGTTTTTGGCCAACGGCCGCACCCTCCACGCTTCCCCATTGGCGACTGGGCGGCAACGAGATTTTCCCTCGATGCCTCGGCCGTTTGGCGCCAGAATTCGCTGGAGATTTTACGGTATAGATGGCCCATTGAAAGGTGTGATATATATATATATATATATGCATACAGTTATGGCCGTTTATTAGTTATAACTGGTTATAAGTGGGATTATACATGTTATAAATGGGGTTATAAGTACTTATAACTGGTAAAGGGCCATAACTGTAGGGGATTTGCCGATTCAAACAACAACAACAACAACAACAAGAACAAGAAGAAACAAACAAACAAACAAAAAACACGAATAGTAAGAAGAAGAACAGCAACAAATGTGATTGTCCAGTTCGCAAGCTGTTACATTACCAAAGGCTACACCTTGAAACAAGTAACATGGAAACCCTAAAGTATCAGTATTTACTGAGGACCAAAGAGGATTAAAGACAACATATCGGGATTTACGCCTTTAATGTCAAAACAACAAAACAATGGATTTAACCAACAAAAAATAGGTTTACATTGTTTGAATCAAGATTGATGAGATTAGTTTCCCTATTCAATTTCGTTCTTATATAAAAAACAATAGGATTGAAACTTAAACCGGAAAAATACCAATCAAATATTGGACATCATTTTTCATCGTGGGAAATAATAGGAATGTACCCAGGCAATGTCCCTGGAATTGGAACTAGCGCTGTGGGGATTCCGATACTTCGTCTGTTTTCATTTCCCCAAAAAAACAAGAAAAATGTAACACACTCCCCTCAAAACCATTGTTATATCATGTATATCATTGTATAAACATTGCTATATCTTCTTATATAAACATGTATAAACATGATATATCATCTTATATCATTGTTGATGGCCAAAAGCCTTCTAAGAATTTCTAAGACTCAAAGAGATGGTTGAATCCCTGCGAAATCAAGCAGAGTTCTTCAAACTGCTTTAAAATGAGTCTGAATGATGGTCATGAACTTGCTGGAAATCTTGATTAAAAAATGGAAATCTGAACATCTCCTGGTTGGTGGCTTCAACCCCTCTGAAAAAAATAGTCAGTTGGGATGATTATTCCCAATATATTATGGAAAAATGTTCCAAACCACCAATCAGTAAACATCTGTAACTTCTAATTTCCATTTCGTCAAGATGGTCATCTCTGTTCATGGCTTCCAATTCTTCACTTCGAAGGCTGTCAACTGACATGAACCATGGCCCATCCCACCATCTCGGGTAACTCTAGTTTCTAAGTATCTACTTACAATATCTATGTTCGATCAACTTCTCAGTATATAATCCGTATATAATCAGGATATAATCAGTATATATCCCCTTATAATCCCAATTATAATCAGGATATTATCAGTATATATTAAAGTATATACATATATAAACAGTATAGTCCCAATATACTAACAAATGGTTTCATCCCACAGGTCAACCTCAACGCTTCTGGCAGTCTGGGTCCATGTTCAATCTATGAGACTCATAGAGTTCTAATAATCAAATCCTAGATTCTTAGATATTAATGATATTAGTCCTAGATCTATTAATCACTATAATTCCATATGATATTAAACATGAATGATCATTAATCATCATGAATCATTGTCATTATTAATCAATCATACTTGGTCATTACTAACCCCTAGTGTCCCATGACCAACCAAATCATTGGGGGTTCCAAGTAGTGGACCTTCGCAGCCTCCCAGCCCAGTTTGCGGCAAGAGGCAAGTGCTGCGAGAGGCGTGTCCAGCCCCTGCAAGCGATGGAAAACTTGATCGCGGTTTTTTTCCGCGCGTTTCTCTGGGAAATCCAACACAAAGCATTTCAATGGGAAAAAAACAACATAAATCCTCTATAGAATGGCATTTCAGTGGACAAAATCATCCATAAATATGAACAAAAATTGCATTCCAATGGGAAGATCAACAGAAATTCACTATAAGTACCTATCAATGGGCATTTCAATGGGAACAGCATCTAAAAAATGTTATTTTCCATTGCCATGTCTGAATTCCAGAAAATAGTTTTTCTCTCAAGCCTAGTGTAGCAAATTGTGTTCCTGACTCACTGTCTGCAGGGGAACTTGAGACCACAATGATCCCTACAGCGTGGGGCGCTTCAGATATAAGTTGGTTTACAAACCCATTCAACCATTGTTCTTGGTAAATTATAATATTTCACTAACCTGAATTAAGGCCATTTGGGGATGATTCCCCTTACTGACCATGATTCCGGTGAGGTCGCAGTGAGGTCGTTGTAATTTAGCCAGATTGATATATTCAGAGTAAATCCTAGTCATTGGATTTGTTCACCAACTTACCCTGGACTTGCCCTTAGCTAATTATCTTTGAGCCACCTGCAGGACAATTGAATAGCTTGGACAAAATTGAGTCTTGACCATAACTTGCTGAAACTGATTTGAGAGAGAAACAAAGAGAACACTACAGGAACTCAAAGGAATAAAATAAATGGAATCCGGCAATCTTGCATTTGTAACAGTCCATGGAATAGATAAGGACCGTGCCATCTGGTTACTGTAAGTTTACGCGACCCTGTTGAATGTAAAAATAGCGGGCAAATGGACGATTCTTCCCCCGAATACGGTATTGTAGCTTTAGACCCATCCCAATATCAAAACATCATCATAGTCACCAAAAATAAAACAAACACTTGCTACTAAAATACAGATGAATTTCTGTTCTATCCTTAGTCTCTTAGTTACTACTTTTCATTGTTAGAGTGGTGATGTTTATTACTTTACTAGAATAGTGCTATAAAACAATATGTTTTCCGGAAGGTTGCGATTTTCACTGCTTGGAACAACAACCATCTCCAGCCTCAAGCTCAGCATCGGACTCTGGAGGCGCCTAGACGGAAAACTCAAAATCAAACCAAACCACAGTTATGGCCATGGCTATTAGTTATAACTGGTTATTTCTATGGGATTATACATTTTATAAGTGGTGTTTTCTTAGTACTTATAACTGGTAAAGGTCCATAACTGCATTGAATCGATAAATCAACGAATCGATGAATCAATGCATCAATGAACGGATCGATGAATGAATGAATCGATGAACGAATCGATGAATGAATGAATGAATGAATGAATGAATGGATGAATGAATGAATGAATGAATGAATAAATGAATGAATGAATCAATGAATCAATCAATCAATGAATCAATGAATCAATGAATCAATGAATCAACCAATGAGTACATGAATCAATCAATGAAACAATCTATCAATCAATCAAAACAATCAACTCAATCATTCAAATAATCAAGTCAATCGGGATGGGATAAATGATGAGAGCATGACAAAGGAACGAAGCTGCTCTGGTGATCCTGCGCCCCCTGGGACAAATCTTTAAATGTACAATGTGGGGCCCCCAAACATTATGTTTATTGGTGTATAAACACCATGAAAACTATGGTTATAAGTATCATAAAACACAGTTATGGAAGTTATAAACCAACTTAGCTATCGTTTGGGGGCCCCACTTTGTATGAATGAATATGTTTCATCTTTAATTTGAGGCTAGTATCTGTTGCTTGGGAAATTTAAGGCTTTGTAAGTTTGTATTGGTCTAGTATTGGTGATTCAGTGATGTCAGATTGGCACTCAAAATGATGGGATGATCTTTTTTGCTTTTGGAGCACTGAGACGCACAATGATGGCTGTTGGATGAGACCTTCAAACAACCAGATTTCACGCTTAATCAGTGATACCCACTACAGAAAACAATAGCTAGGCAAGGTGTCCCAGTCATGACAAAATCGAAAAATCACTATATACACCACCAAGAATTAAACAGAAAATGCAGATGTAATTGGGCTGTGATCAAGCAAAGGTGTGTTCTTCCCTGTAGCTCTAAAACATGCGTATGTAATGTATGTATATGCCTATAATTACATGGATTCCGGTAGTTCGTTGAAAGGGTAAAACATGCAAACATGCATTCACAGTCTTGGCGATATAAGATCATTTGGTTATTATACGTCATTGATTCATAATATATATATATGGCCAAATTATATTAATTAACCAAGCTGAAAATCATTGAAATGTTGGGACTGATGTCCTTCTACTTGCTAGCCATCATTCCGGTGACGCCGCAATGAAGCCATTCCAATTTATCCAGATGTAATCGCCATTTTCGTGGATCAAGTCCCATTAAATCCCATTACATCACGGTAAATCCTATTAAACACCCATCAAACTCCCAGTAATTCCAATTCAATCCCATGTTTGCCATGAAATTCCAGATAACCTCTGGTAATTTAACATAGCCCATTTAGTTCCTTGGTTTACCTACTAAAGATGGTGATTTTCCAGTTCGCTACGCTATAAATTACCAGGGGGTATGATTTTCCATTTGAATAGCCTTGTTGTCATCCATTTGAGGAGTTTTTTTCATCATAAACCTTCCAGCTATTGGGGATCCCCCATTTACTGGACACCACCAGCCACTGGACTGGTCACACCTCAATAATGTGCTCGTCCACCTGTGACAAGACCTGGCCAGTGACATTTCAGGGGAGAATTCGCAGTAACGATTACTACAAGCCATAGTTATGGACATGTATTAGTTAGAAGTGGATGTTTCCATGGGATTATACATTTTTATAAATGGGTCTATAAGACTTTATAAGTACTTATAACTGGTGCTTTGCTAGGTTGGTTACAGTAATAACTCCAACCATGGAGATGGCTTATAGATATATTACTATGGTAGATACTGGATCTATTTTATAGTAACATTTAGTAACTATATAGTATATTAGATAAACCCTATAGCAATGACTAGTAACTATATATCTATAGTTACGCTGGTTTATATAGATCCACTAGTGATTACTTGGAGAATCATCCGCCTGATTGGTTAGTGAAGCGTTGATGTGGTTATAACCTACATGTGGTATGACTCTAGGAATTGGGGACCTACTATTCAGGGAAATACTAACCAGTTACAAAGTAGGAGGATCCTCCAAAAAGTAAAGTACGTACGTACAAGGTCGTGTACCACACTTCTTGCAAGGCATGCCCTAGCTTAACTGGTAGGTATATGGCGATTACAACAGTAGTTTTATTGGGGTTAAAATTATAATCCCATTCTCGGTTCATATTTTAATTAAAAGACCCCATGAAACCATGGTGGAATGTAGGGGATTTACACTTATTTGGGATAATATCATTGGGATAGTTCATATTTGGGCAATGGGACTACTAATTACCAAGTAAGGCACAAAGTGGTACCCAACCAATGCTCATTTGAACTATAGACCCAATTATCTGAAGTTAGAATCACCATATGGCCTACAGCGAATGAAGTGCTATTGGTAGATCACCACAGTTAAGGCCCGAAATACCCGTTATAAGTCAGTTATAACTTACCCCATTTGTGGAAATAGTATAACCCGATAGAAATAGCCATTTAGAACTAGTAGCCATAGCCATTTCATTGTATAGTATCCCATTATTATCCCATCAACTATAGTTATCGAAGGAAGTTTAGAAGTCAAACTTCCGACAATATGCACAGATGAAAAGCAGAGCAGGGAAGAGGCAGAGAGAAGAGAAAGATTAGAATTAGAAGAAAGAAGAGTAGAAGAGAAAGAGTAAGAAGAAAGAAGATGCAGATGCGTGAAAAGGTAGGAAAGTCGCAAAACACTGTGTTTTTCCAATGATTTGGGGCTCCGGAGGGTCGAAAAGTAGGCTCGCTAAAGCGGCGGGTGCGGATCCAGCTGGCCAGATGAGAGATGAAAAATTGCACGCCGTTGTGGCGGGAAGCACATTCGCAAGTCAAAATGTACAAAACACACCAGGTTCGGACCGCTTTTGGAAGTTGAGATGTCGAAAAAGTGCACGCCGTTGTGGCGCGAAGCACATTTCCAAGTCAAAATGTACAAAACACACCAGGTTCGGACCACTTTTGGAGGTTCAGATGTCGAAAAAGTGCACGCCGTTGTGGCGCGAAGCACATTTCCAAGTCAAAATGTACAAAACACACCAGGTTCGGACCGCTTTTGGAAGTTGAGATGTCGAAAAAGTGCACGCCGTTGTGGCGCGAAGCACATTTCCAAGTGAAGATGTACAAAACACACCATGTACGGACCACTTTTGGAGGTTCAGATGTCGAAAAAGTGCACACCGTTGTGGCGCGAAGCACATTTCCAAGTCAAAATGTACAAAACACACCATGTACGGACCATTTTTGGAGGTTCAGAAGTCGTTTCGCGTGGCAGGCGCAAGGGATTGTGGACCTTGTCAAAAGTGAGCAAAACGTGAGGGTTTTGTAGCTTTTTCAACTACAACTACCACTACACTACACCCCAATACATTACACTACACTACAGCTACAACTACACTTCACTACATTCTACTACACTACACTCCACTACACTACACTGCACTCAATTACACTCAATTACACTACATTACACTACATTACACTACACTACACTCCACTACACCACATACCACGACACTCCACTACACTACACTACATTACACTACATTACACTGAATGACACTGCACCACAGATAGACAGGTAGACAGATAGACAGATAGACAGATAGACAGACAGATAGATAGATAGATAGATAAATAGATAGATAGACAGATAGACAGGTAGACAGCTAGACAGATAGACAGATGAAAGAGAGAGAGAGAGAGATAGATAGATAGATAGATGGATAGATGGATAGATAGATAGGTAGATAGATAGATAGATAGATCGAAAGGTAGTTGGATGAGAGAGAGAGAGAGATAGATAGATACATAGATAGATAGGTAGGTAGGTAGGTAGATAGTCAGAGAAAGAGAGAGAAAGAGAGGAGACCTCAACGACCTTTCGGTCCATCAGTGGCTTCGCTCTGCCATCCCTGATTCACAACAACCAAGCTCTCCTATAGGTTTCCTATTTTTGAAACTTGCGCCACCGCCTTGTGCGGTACTACTGGTATAATTATATATCTACAATAAACCATAGCTAAGTCACTTACAACTGGTAAAAGGCTTTAAATCATCCAAGACGTCTTCCCGAAAAAGGACTGGCAGCAGAGAGGTTCCGATTCACCAAGCCGCAGCAGCGAAAAATGGCCACAGAGGGGTTTTCGTTTCAGCCCATGGGCCACTATACATTTTTAACACAACAGTTAGTTATAGTTATTAGGTAATATACTAGTATAACCACCTATTCAATATACCTATAGTAATTGTTTTAAACACAACTCCAATATACCTATTAAATATGATCAAATCCTATTCAGAAAGTAGAAGTGACATGTGAGAGAGGTGCATTGTAATTGCCGTAAATCATATTTATTAATCTGACCCCAACTATATGACACCTTTATGACATATGACTGATCTATAATAAAGTTTATGGTCGATACCATTAATAAACCATATGCTAGTTAGGAAGCCATACTTATACCATATAACTTAGTTTAAAGGTTATTAAGCTATACTTAGTTATATGGTAGTTATTCAGCTGTTAGAAGTTATCAAGAACCCAACAAAACAGACAGCCATCTATCGTGCCAAGCCCCACCTTCAAGCCGGAGGGGAGTCTCTGTCTGTTAACTTGTCACTGCTACAGTTATGGCCATTCATTAGTTAGTTTTAATGGGATTATAAATTTTATAAATGGGTTACCAGTTTTAAGGGCCAAAATTGTATGGAAGCAAATTAGTCCATGTATTGACATGTACAAATGATATACCTAGTAGATCAACGGGGAATTCTTCAAATGGGGGATCCCCAAAACACATTTCAATACTAAAATGATATAATTACTTGGATGATCTGGGGGTACCCTGCAGTTTAGGAAACCTTCAAATGTGATTTCCATTGCGAACTGTTAAACTACCATTAGGCAGTCTGCAATAGTCTGCAAGCGGTTGCAGAAACACCTCGTCAGTTTGACTCCGCTTGTCACTCACACAGTCCCGAAGCACCCAGCAATCACCTGAAAATTCACACCTCATATACTCGATTTTCCGGAATCTGTGTCCTGTATAGTCCTGTCCCGCATTCTGCTGGTTATAGGTTATATCATATCCCACGTACTTCCAACCTTAAACGCACCAATTGACAGTGCAACTAAATTGGAAACAACATGAAACAACCACCCGAGGGAGCATCCAATATTGCAGTCCACATGGTCGGACCGGTTTTCGTTGTCACTGTTAAGGCCGGACAATGTGATTGAGCTGTTCGTCCCTGAGCACTCCGGGCTCGGTGGCTGGCGCTTCTGAGAATCATCTGCGTCCATTGCAAGAGACAGGGCCCTGCCGATCACGAGCAACTTACCTTCCTTGCTCGTCTGTAGGCTGGCTGGCGCTTCTGAGAATCATCTGCGTCCATTGCGAGAGACAGGGCCCTGCCGATCACGAGCAACTTACCTTCCTTGCTCGTCTGTAGGCTGGCCCTGCCGATCAGGACGAACTTACCTTCCTTGCTCGTCTGTAGCCTGGCTGGCGCTTCTGAGAGTCGTCTGCGTCCATTGCGAGAGACAGGGCCCTGCCGATCGCGAGCAACTTACCTTCCTTGCTCGTCTGTAGGCAAACGGTATGACGTGAATCATTTCGAGTGATTGTGTTGGTTGTATGAATGGATACATCTACTGAATACATCTGAATACTATCACCTGAGGCATGTTTGAACCGTTTATCCATATGTGCGCCCTCTGGTTATATAACAGCTTGTTATGGAAGCCATGACCCATTTATTAAATATAATTTATAACGGGTTAGCAAACATGATGATATTATCCACTTCGCAAAGCGTGAAACATGACCAGAGGAGCTGGCGGAATGGGCATTGAATGAACCATCAAGTGAAGACTCTCTACAGTTATGGCCTTTTATTAGTTATAACTGGTTATAAGTGGGATTATACATGTTATAAATGGGGTTATAAGTACTTATAACTGGTCAAGGGCCATAACTGTAGAGTTCGTTGGATCATCAAGTCAATTCAATTTATAAAGTACCTTCATAAAACACTACTTCATGAAGCAACCGTTGATACGTTATCTTTATCATTTGATCAGATTGGATTCGTTTAAAGATCACCGACGATATCAGGGCCAATCTCACTCAAATAGCCTGCAAGCAACATCAATTGACTAGCATATACAATACTCCCATGACTGATGTTGGACACACTGGACCAAATTTTCTTCAGACTGCCTAGCCAATATCCCCGTTTAAAGCCAATAGAATGATGCACTAGAGCATTATAGTATATTATACAGGATGGGGCCCCATAGTTAGCTAAGTTGGTTTATAACTATAATAACCATAGTGTATGATACTTATAGTATATTTGGATGGGGTTATAAACCAACTTATAACTGGAGGGCCCCCCAAATAGTCCCAAGAAACAACTACTTGGAGATATCCCTTCCAGAAATCAGAGATGAATACTATATGGGGCCCCCCAGTTATAAGTTGGTTTATAAACCATTGTAATCCCCATTGACTATAGACTATAGTTATATTGTCTACCATAAACCATTGTTAAGCCACTTATAAAACAACTTAGCTATCTTGGGGGCCCCACCCTGTACCCTGCATTAATGTTGACCTAGAAATACATATATACAATCGCTCATTTCTGGATGATTCTCCCTAATATTTACTAAACATGTCCATGTCCCCTCTGGTAAGAAAAACCATGGCTAGCTGGAATTCTCCCAACAAAATGGAAGTTTATAGCAGGGAAAATCACATTACTAAATGAGGGGATGTGTCTTTTCATTTCCATCTTAACTTACTACAGTCAAAGCCTTTTACCAGTCGTGAGTCATAAGTCAGTTGGAACCCCATTTCTAGTTCATGATAACCCCAGTTAAAACCATGCATAGTCATTTAGAACTGGTATTACACTCTGGTAAACTAACACAATGGAGAACAAACATCATAGGTACATCATCTATAAATGGAACCCTCTGGTAAACTAACATAACTATGGAAAGATCCACCATTTTCAATGGGTAAATCCACAACAAAAATGCTCGATTTTCCATAGCTATGTTGGAGTGGAGGTTATCCCAGTACCATTTCTCCGAATCCGAAGAACTCTGCCTCGCCGCGCGAGAGGGGCGACTCCTATCGCGCGAGTTCGCGCGTTCACACGAAGGAGGAGAAAAGGCGTGACATCATCAATCTATGACCAGCCTGAGATACAAAGTGGGGCCCCCTATGGTGGAAAACCAAAGGAAATTTGCAATCTATTCAAGAAAATAGGGAATTCATGAAATTTATAGCTGGTTTATGTTAGCTAAGTTGGCTTATAATAGCCAATAACTATGGTTTATGGTACGCAAATAACTGTAGTACTCATGGGTTTATAAACAAATTTAAAACGTTTGGGGGGTCCCACATTATAGAATATGGATTTTCCATAAATCACTGTTGTTGGTGGTTAATCCATGATATTCCCATCATATTCCCATTATTATCCCATGAATGACTTCAGTTCTGGCCCGAAATACCAGTTAGAAGTACTAACAAACACCATTTATGGAATGTATAATCCCATAGAAATAATCAATTATGACTAATAAATGGCAATGTAGCAGTAGAATACGTCTTCTCAAAGAACATTAGCATTTTAGTGATGATTTGTGGAAATGTTCAGATCCCATCTACTCCAGGATGACTATCATTTGGGCAAGTAATGGTACAATTAATTCACAATTCTTCTGGATAAGTTAACATGTATTCCTCACCAACTTGAAAAAGGGTCATTTGGGCATGGTTCGCCGCGATCTAAACCTGATTCCAGCAACGTGACAGTGAGGTCACTAGAATTCATCCAGATTATTGGATTCATGATAGGTATCTGATAGGGACGCTGTAAACGATAGGAATAGCACGGATATCACCAAAACGTCCAATTGCTCCAGGTATTGACCATAGATTCACAGATGGCCCTTTTGGACATTCCCAGCCAGAACCATGGCTCCAATTACGCCACACCTAGAAGGTGGGCGGCACCCTGAATAGCGTTCAGTTGGTTTATAACTCCAATAACTCTGGCTGATGGGTGAATATAACTATAGTAATACGGTGTGTAAACCAACGTATAACTTGGGGGCGCACCACATTGTATGCATTATATTCTTATATTATTATATTCAAAGCCATCCCAAAAATGTGTTTATTAACGGATGTGGTAAACGCAAAAAAAGCATCCTTTTATGTGGAACGGTTTTAAAATCACCCAATTACCGAATGGTAGAAAATAGTTCATTCTGCTTAGATTTTGGTTCACCAAATTATTAAAGTTCACTACATGAGTTTATTTTCTCGTAAATTCACAATCAAATGTACCAATATTTACCAGGAATACATGAATTTATCTTTGCAGTTCATATTTTAGCTATAATTCTACAGTTATGGCCCGAAATACCACTTATAAGTATTAACAAAACACCATTAAAAAATTAGAAAGTATAATCCCATTGAAATAACCAGTTATAGTTATAACTAATAGCCTGACAAGCCTCAATGGAGAGTATCACCCAAGAACTATAATCATCAACCAACCATCATTTATCAATTATGTATACCATTGTATACCTATACCGCAGGTATCATCATATTAAAAGAACACAAATTGACATAGTAGTTTAAAACTATGGTTTAACTACAGTTACGGCCCTTTACCAGTTATAAGTACTTATAAACCCATTTATAACATGTATAATCCCACTTATAACCAGTTATAACTAATAAATGGCCATAACTGTATGGTATTTTTGATATCAAAATACACCTTACCCATTTTGGTATTTATTAAACAATGATGTTTAAATCCCCATGGTTCATCATTCATCAACCCATCCATCAACAGTGGTTTTACACTGACATGGCCATTTATGAAAGTTATAACTGGTGATTTCAGTGGGATTATACATTTTATAAATGAGGTTTTCTTAGTAATTACTTCTAACTGGTATAACTCGGGTCATAACTCTAGCAGCCACTCGTGGCTCCGAGTTTCCCCACTTCCGACGGCGCCATCGAAGCTGCGGACATCGCGGGCGCATGGTCCGGGTCCTCCTGGCGTGGCAACGTGGCAACGTGGCAACGTGGCAACGTGGCAACGGGAGACATCTCACGACGACAACGATGAGGGCATCTTTCTAAGGCTGACAAGATGAGAAAACTTAAAATCATCCTTGAGGGAATCTGAATCTGAGCTACATATTACGTATACTATTTTTTTTTACGGCTTCAAATTGAGATTCTAGCAAGAAAACATGTGGATTTCACCAAACATCGAGATATCATGAGATATCACCACCAAACCAATGTAATTGACCAACTAAAAATGTGGACTTTGAAAAACAACATGGTGATTTTCGTCAACCCAAAGATGAAGCCACTGGGACGATCACAACGGGCCGTGGATTTCTCCATGGGTTTGGCGATTCAAATGGGAACATCCTCGACAAACATGGGGAATCATGAGGATATCAGGGGATATACAACTCGTGGGGCCCCCGTTTACGAGAGCGTTCAGTTGGTGCAAATAACTCCAATTTCACTATGGTTTATGGTACCTATAACTATAGTATAGCGGGGGCCGCAACTTAGGAGTTGGTTTATGTTAACCATTGCTAACCCATTCAACCGTAGATGTAAAATATGTGTGTACGAAGTGGTGCCCCCCCCCCTCAGTTATACGGTTGGTTTATAACCCCCTTTCACTATGTATACATCAACATTAAACCCTAAAGTTAACAACTTAGATAAATATGGGACAGCACCTTGTATATACATACACAGATGCATCCGAAATCTGCCAATTCAAAAATGTTGATTCCACCGCGCCAGTCGACGTGGTGCTTGGAGGCAGGATCCCTTGCCGTAGAGTTTAGTAAGACTCCTGGAGGGGGTCTGGGCCCCCCAGGCGTAGGCTACATGCCGCCATGCGTCGCTGGCTCCCCACAGGCAGTTCCGAATGGTTCCGGAGGTCGTCTTTTTGGGCCTTCAAGTCATAGCAATGTTGATGTTTACCCCAAAAAGAAACTCGATTTGCTCTGAGAAACTGCTTGATGCGCTCGATGTAAGTTTTTGACTTCCAGCTCAGGGCACTTGTGGCCATGGCTCTGCAGAAGCTGTAGTTTTTCTGATCATGGGATTTTTTGGAATGGGAAATTTATGGGACAATCATTGGATTTTGTTGGGATTTATATATCGGGACATTTATGAGAATAATGGAATTTAATGGTAATTCATGGGAATTGTGCAAATTTTGGGATACATTTTGGGACACATGTGCAGACAAAACCATGTTGTAATCCCTTCCCTCTAGTCTTTTTGAACATGCTGGTCTTGCATCCAAATTAATTCCCATTTCTATTGAAAACGCTCAAATGATATTGGTTATACAATGTTATACAATATATGTATATATATATATAGTTCTTCTAGGCCATAAAGTATGTATCCCCTATTTGTAAAGTTATGTTGTGTTTATCTTCAAAAAACATCAAATCATAAACATAACATAGATAGAGAATCCACCATTAAAATCATCACATAGTAGTCATGACCATTCCTGTTATGTTATCCCCCGATCTGGGTAAATTATAATATTTGACTAACCTGAATAGTTCTGCCATTTGGGGAGGATTTCCCTATAACAAACCATGATTCCAGGGTTCGGGAAAACAGTGAGGTCGTCATAATTTGCCCAGATACGTGCATGTGGAATGACCCTAGGAATTGAGGACCTACTAATCAGGGTTACTAACCAGTTACTAAGTAGGAGGATCCTCCAAAAGTAAGTGTTATGTTATGCTATGCTAATTTCCCCCCCCCTAAGATCCAGCAGCTCATCATCTCCAGCAGCTCGGAATCGTCCTGGCTCACAGACTTCTCTGCGGCCTCCAGGGTGCAACAAAGGTGGTATCAATAGGAAATCTTCATAGATGTTTCCATGGAAAATGATGGGAACATGGAGATTGAACCAACAGAAATGTGGATTTATTATGATTTATGGTGAAATGAACTTAACTAAGTAGCTTACAGCTCATATAATTCAGGATGATGCTACATATACAGAACTCGTTGATGGAGTCTATGACCAATTTACAACTTTGGGGATATCACTGGTGAGTAACAATTTCATGGGAGTTTAATAATCCAAATAACATGCATAATAGGGGCGCATAATCAACAGCTAATGGGAATATTGTGGTGGAATTATATATGGAATATACATTTTCAGGTGGCTTAACAAACAACATAATGCAGCCTTAGGCAAGATAGGGGGGCATTATCGGACTTTATGGCCTTCGGTGGGGATATGAAACAAACAATGCAGTGATTAATTGGTTTCAACTTTTCAACAGCAATGAAAAGGCATGATTAATTATCACATGTGCAAGTAGGAATCTCATATTTTAGTATCGGAATATTACAATATATGGGATATATGATGGTTGGTTGGTAAGAGTCTCTAAAGCAACACTCAAGGGAATATGATGGTGGTATAACCAACAATGAAAGGGTATATTATATACTGTGAATATACTTGGAATATAATGGGAATAAAACAAATACCCTCTGGGAATCAAACATGGCAAAATGCTTCATAAACCTGCTTGGTTAGTAGGTTCCTCAAGTGGGTTAATGCGTGAACTAACTATGGTTACTAATCTGTTGCTAAGTGGGATGATCCTCCAGGTAACCAACAGCTAAGTTCATGTCCGCAGGTGTAAACATGCACAACCATTGGAAAAAAAACATGGGGAAACCATTGAAATTGAAGAAACCCTGATCCTAGTGGCACAAGTTGCTACAGCTCGTGGGGCCCCCAAACGTGATGGAACGATGGTTTAGATTCACCCCATGAATACTAGTTCGTTATAGGTGCATAAACCATAGTGAAATTGGAGTTATGTGCGCCAAATGAACGCTATCGTTTGGAGGCCCCTCTTTGTACATGGGATGCAAATCTCACTACATGTGCATGAAGCCCATCCTTTGCCTCCGCCGGCGGGCTCGTTTGCGAAGGAATCGCCGAATCCACCGATGCCTTTCTGTGTTGCGCTGCGGCAAGGAAGCCGGTTGGAAGTTGGCGGCCCCCGACAGAGGTTGGTGAACATTACTTGGTTAACATTTGGGTTGAAGGGGGATACAACTATAGTTCACTTATAGTTCATTGGGTTTGTAAGCCAACTTTTCACTGGGCCCCACCTTGTACTAATCTGGTGGCCCATCTGTATACAGTCGTACTTTGACACCCCGGAGACTCTCAGGCTTAATACCTTGTCAACCCGGATGAACAACCCCCTGGGCTGTATAAGTGAGGGCTTACCAATGTAAGAGCCGATTATCAATCACTACTTGGGGCTAAACCATCGGATTCTTGATCAACCTAGTTGTTGAACAGCCTTTGTGCCTGCAGCGGCGGGAAGCTCCACCAAATATACGTTGGATTTCAACAGAAGCATCCCAATCACACCAGGGTTACATGGGTTTGTCTGAACACAGGGCACCATCCAAACTCCACTTGTTGACCATCATTTTCCATTTTTATCAATTTGAAAATGAAGAATTTGACCCCAGACACACCATACTTTATGGATATTTCGGTCGCCGACGTCAGGGTTTGTTTGAATGGCTTCCTTTACTCTCCTTACAATGTGGGGCCCCCCAGTTATAACATGGTTTATAAACCCCATTAACTATAGTTATAGGTACCATAAACCATAGTTATTGGAGTTATAAACCAACTTAGCTATCGTTTGGGGGCCCCCACTTTGTATACATGGTCACAGGAAGACTGGCCATAGCAGCCAGTTGTTATATTTTTTGTGGGCTCACAGGTGCCACAGCCAAGTCGCACCAAAAAATACAGAGGCAGGTTGCCAGCACCAGATAATATATGGCTAATATATGGTTAAAATATGGTTAATACTGTTAATAATGGTAAATAATAATTACTGGTTGGTGGTTTTAACCATCTTGAAAAATATGAAAGTCATCGGGGAGATGACATTGACATCCCATATATTATGGAAAATAAAACATGTTACAAACCACCAGCCAGAATATATAGCATCCAGCATGTAGAGCATAGAGGCTCCAATAAAAATAGCTCCTCCTGGCAGGTTGCCAGCACCAAAGTTACAAGTCCAACCAAAGGGGATGCAGGTTGCAAGCCCTGACACTTTATCTGGCATCCAACCTCCACACAAAATGGGTCTGCCACCTCTGGAGCTTGGAAAGACCGTGGTAAGCTGCCTCCATCGCTCATATCGGGGCCCCGGCGTGTAGCTGGCGATCCTGGCCGCAGCTTTTGCTGTTTCGCTGGCCGCAGCTTTCGCTTTCGGAGCCATGGTGCTGCCCCCCATGGCCATGAAGATCATGAAGCAGCGGAGGCGTAAACTTGGTGCAAATTCCACCATTTAAAGCATCCCCCCGGGCCAAGCCAGGAATTCGGAGGATGCAATGTCCCAATCCAAACAATCCAAACATGCTTCTACTCCGCAATTCCAACTGATGATTCATCCTTTTTTTTTCCAATGTACTCCAGCCGGTAGAACAATTTTGCTGCAGCTGGGTTCCCATTTTGCCCATGACCAACTGCGTGTGGTTTCATGTGTTGAACCCATGGAACTCATGGAACTAGGAGCTCATGTTTCTGTTCCCACTAAAAGCACATGTAAATTGAGGTTCCCCCTGAGTTTTGGACTACCAAACGATTTCTTTTCGATGAGTTTCCTCTTGTTGATAGAATAGATCCCCCATTTGTGGCTGGCAAAACCAATATGAGCCAGGATCCCTTGTCCGTACTATTGAATCCAGTCCATGACTGGGCCGTTCAATTTGGGTAGTACTTCCTTTAATCTGGGCAAGGCAAGTCATGGGAAAAGTCATGGCAAAGTCACGGACATATCAGGATCCCTCCAACCCATCATAGAGGGATTATCATTCTTTATCCACAGAATCTTGTACCCCCTGGTAAACTAACATAGCTATGGAAAATCATCATTTTTAATGGGAAAATCATCTATAAATGGGCCATTTTCAATAGCTTTTTGTTAGTTTACCAGGGGGTACCTGACATCCGAATCCGCATTAGTCTGCCAACACAAAAAAGCGTCACCAGGCTGAAAGGTGAAAGGCCATCTATATAAACATATAAACCATCTATATAAAGATGGTTTATAAACCCCATGAATACTATAGTTATAAGTATCATAAACCATCTATATAAACCAGAGGATCTTCCCATCTATATAAACCATCACTCCAGTGACATTGAGGTGATATCGTTGTAATTTCTCCGCCAAACATGGTCCTATAAAAAACTATATTCCTATCACATCCCCATTACACTCTCACTACATCCCCGTTATATCCCAATTGTAGCCCCATGATATCCCCATTATTCTTTTATTGTTGGAGGTTGAATCATGTTTTTATTACACCTATACCACTGGATATTTCAGTGGGATTTTACCAAATTCTATACTCTTGGGGTTGCTACAGTCTCGAAAATTGTAAACAAAATAGTTCTACCATTATCATTTTTCTGGTTGGTGATATACCTACCCTGTTGAAAAATATGAGTTCGTCAGTTGGGGTGGTGAAATTCCCAAATATATGGAAAAATAAAATTAATGTTCCAAACCACCAACCAGTTATATATCATATATCCTGAAAAGTGTCCCATCATATCCTATGATTATCCCATGACCCGATCAGAAACCTCCAAGGTGGTGCTTTTCCAGATATGTTTGTTGGTTCATAAACCATAGTGACTACAGTTATGGCCATTTATTAGTTATAACTGGTTATTTCTGTGGGATTATACATTTTATAAATGGGTTTATAAGTACTTATAACGGGTAAAGGGCCATAACTGTAGTAGTTCGACATATCTATCAGAAACCTAGACGTTATCAGAGTTAAAAACCAACTTAGCTCACTATGAGGCACCAGCTTGCTCAGTTGCCTTATAATAAGGTTTCCTATACTAGCTCCACTATTGTCCCTCTAAATTCCTATCAATGTGGGGGCCCCTAGTTATAAGATGGTTTATAAACCCCATGAATACTATAGTTATAAGTATCATAAACCATAGTTGTTGGAGTCACTTGCACCAACTGAACGCTATCTAGTTTAATATGGTTTAATATGGTTTAGTATGGTTTAATATGGTTTAATATGGTTTAGTATGATATGGCTCTTTTCCATTGATAGTCCATCATACATCCCACAGAAACCCTATCGTCAACGGGGGCACCGCCTCGCTTTCGATGCCAAGGGGCCACTGGACTGGCCGCTTGCCGCCACTTCTGCGAGGCCGTCTTCACGAGCTCCAAGGTCTCGTTCAAGGCCTCAGATGGCGCGGGAGGCCGTTGTTTCTTTAACGAGACATGTGGTGAAACACCATCAGAAATGGCGATTTGGTATTAAACACCATAAGAAATGGTGATTCAATGTGATTTAGTATGGTTGAATCATTTATCAATCTAATCATCAAATCTGATGATTTAACAAACAAATCAACGCCTTGCCAGGATGTAGCAAGGGCCAATGGTGGAAACAAATACCTACTGTTTGATTTAACCTGAACGTAGGGCAGTCATCAACGTTCTATAACACGAAATGACAAGGGGATGTGAACCAACCAACAATACCCATATGCTCCATGTATGGCATATATTTACCAACACTTGCCCTGAAAATCACCCAAATGTAGGTAAATATCACATACATGGAGCATATGGGATATGACCAGGTGGCCAATAATGCTGCGGATGCGAAGGCCTATGGTGATGCCGGCTTTGATAGGGCCACAGATGCTGCTCTCTTGGCTCCTGCAACGTGCTGAACCGTGGGATAGTACTCCGGTCCACGGACTTGCCAAGAGGACGCATGCACGTCGTGTCAACCGCAGGCTGTTCAAAGAAGGAAAGAACATTGCGTCAGTGTACCACGCCCTGAAGTTGAAACCCCAAATGGGTAGGTCCAGCAGTTGGTCGGCAGCTCACATGATTGGTAGTCTATCAACATGCTGCTGTCATGGAGAAAGGCCAAGCATTGTGACACCCTCATTGGGGGTTCCAATGACAAGGTGAAAATCATCAGTTGCTTTTCCTGCGACTTACTTGTCATATCTTCAATCTTGTTGGTGAAACGATTCTCGTTGATTAAATTGAAATCATACCGGTTTCATCCATTCTTCCGGCCTTGTGCTCCAATTTATTATTGTAGTAAATCCTCCCAAGTCTTGGGAATGTGTAATCCAAAATCATCATGGTTAATTACAGTCTTATGGTCAAAAATACAGGAATATGATTAACAAAAGGATTGTGGATAATCACATCATCCTTCATTTCTGGATAGTTACACCATTGCACTATCTATGGCAAACTTTAGATATGCTGCATTATGTTAAATCTGATTAGTATACCATGATCTCCATTCATGGCACAAACAAAAAACTGCAAGCAACCAAATCAGTTGGGTTAACTACTTACACACCTCACCACTATATATCCTTTCATTGCTGCTTCTGCTCCTTTGTTTGATGGTGACGCCGGATATTTAGCTGCTTAAACAATATGTCCCTATTTTATCCCCACCATCTCCCCAACCACCCAAGAAATGCAGAAAAGACTGAATTTACCACTCTGTATGTAAGTGAGATTTTACGAACTTATCCTTTTGGGGCAGGCTACACTTACAGAAATAATGATTATATAATCATTTTTTCTACATGATTATATCACATTCTTATCAGTTATTGATTTAGTGTATCATGATTTCCCTATAACTTTCCCATATTTATGCCACTAGGATATCTCGTCCCCCAGTTCTCACATGTTCTCACAACGAATGATGGGACGATCACATTTCATACACATTTTTTAAGGCCCGAGTTATACCAGTTATAAGAGTTATAAGTCAGTGAAACAACCTCGAAATTATCCTATGGTTCATGATATATATATATATGTATATATATATGTGGCATCACTGACCTCCTATTTATATATATATATATATATAGAAATCACCATAGAAATAACTGGTATAACTCGGGCCTGAGAACCTGTAGCCGACCAGAAGTGCCGTTCTTTTCAGAACTTGGATGCCTTGGATTCCGCGCCTTGGCCGAAGACAAGGCATCACGGATCAGCGTCACGTGCGGATGCATGGGGGGAATCTCCAAGTCTTTCGCTTCCCTGACAGCGAAACGGAGGATTCGCTGATGGAGATTTACCAGTTATAAGTACTTATAACCCCATTTATAACGGTATAATCCCACAGTTCAAAAAACCAGTTATAACTTTCATAAATGGCCAAAACTGTGATGGAGATGTAAGTTATAGTCTAGTTGGGGATGTTGAGGTGGAAAAATATAACAAAACATGATGACTGGAAACCACCATAAGTTGGGATATAAGCCCTATATATATACTGGTTGGTAGTTTCAACATGTTTCAACCCCTCTGAAAAATATGCTCGTCAGTTGGGATGATTATACCCTATATGGAAAACATAAAATTCATGTTCCAAACCACCAACCAGATGAGATATATCTATATACCATAAAAGTCATAAACATCCATAAACCATAGTTAACCTAACCTCTATTGTTGATTATTGCCCAATATTATATATAATGGCCCTACATTGACTGAAAATCATGAGTTTCGACTCGTACCTGATTTGAATAAGGTACGCAGCTTTTGCTGAAATTTCCACCATGTTTGGTTGCCTATAGTAAAATGCACTGGCAATTTTTGTAGTGTTTATAGGATGGGGCCACCAAGATAGCGTTCAGTTGCCTTATAAGTGGCTTATAGTAGTAGTATTCATGGGGTTTTTAAACCAACATTCACATCACCGGGGTGGCACCATCATGTACCTTCACTTCCATGATTTCTCCTAGGAAACTGTCCCAAAAAACATTGCTCTTGCAGAGATGAAATTTTGGCGCATTTTGGTCACCATCTGCTAGAAAATCATGCACTGCACACGACAACATTGAAAACAACAACGACAAACACATGAAAAAGTAAAGATATGGGGAAAAGAACATGTTTGTGGGGGGAAAAAACAACTACAAACAACTACAACATCGGAAAAACATATGGAGGTTGTACTCATGTTTGATCTTCGTATCACCCCCATCTGCCCCAACTGACTCACACATAGAAGGTTTCAGATGCTAAACACACCACCTTCAGCGCCGAGTTTCGAGACACCCAACAAGTGGGTGAGGTAGCCAGGTGGAACTGCAGCCAAAGCAGTGCTGGTGAAAGGTGGGAAAATCGACCGGGAACCATGTCTTTTAACCCCCAAAGTTGTGGCCATTGCTATTACTTATAACTGGTTAATACATCAGGGTTCAGATAAGGGGGGAGAAGTTGTGCAATGGCATTTGGTAGGTACAAAGCGGAATGCATAGGGTGCGCAACTACACAATGCAGTGCATGTTACTTTTTTTGCAATTACAAAATGAAGAACATAACTCTTTCTGGCTCGGAAAATAATTCAAAATCAGCACTACAAAATCCAATGCATCTGAAGTTAAAAAATAGCTGAAAATCGGAATTGCTAACATGATTTTTCCCAATGACATTTTGTAGTTGGGTCTATGCCATCCAAAGTTCCGACCAACATACATTCTGAGAACATCACACATACCAACAGGGGATCTTTCCATACAAATGCAACTTGAAGACTTAAACACATCTGGCCTCCCAACAGAATACCCAGATTCCAAATTCTCAAGCTTCAACAAAGTGAAGCCGGATGTCCGAATGACTCGAACGAGGCACTCTGCAAAAGGATACCCTCTTGTAATCAAACATGGCAAAGGAAAATATCTTATGAATGTTAATTAATTACATTTTATGAATGTTTCAACTTCCTCAACATACATCAACTACAAATGAATGCAAATACAAAAAGGGGGGCCCAACCCCTTCTGTTTGTACAAAAAAAATCCTGGCTGGCAATCTGTACTGTAGCCCAAGTCCTCCCCATTTCGTAGCTGAAATTTGAAGGATGATGTTAATACCGGTTATTTCTATGGGATTATACATTTTATAAATGGGGTCACAAGTACTTATAACTGGTATAAGGGACATAACTACAGAACTGTAGGGGTTTCATCACAGTTTTCCCTTAACCAAATCCTATGAGGGGGACTGAAATCAATCAAAAATATGGATATGGGTCCAAAAGTCGGCACGAATGGACCAAGATAATTCTTCATTTCAGGTATAAAATACCCTCTGGTTATGACTAACATAGCCATGGTATAGATGACCCATAGAAATAGATGGTTTACCTATTAAAAATGGTGGGTCTTTCCATGGCAAACTGTTAGTCATAACCAGATGGCAGGTATATCCATCTATAGTTGATTACCTATGGTGCCATAACCTCCATTTACCTACTAAAAATGGTTTACCAATGGTAATAAGCAGATGGTATTCCATGGCTAGTGGCCTTGAGAAGTGGTAAAATCGGCAGCTCCACTGCTCCACTCTTCAAATTCACGGGGATCTCACTGGGCACAATATCAAACGCATCCATAGCAATCAATTCACGACTGATCTTGCCATAGCACCATTTTGGCTGGTGCTTTTTGTTTTAGCAATGTGGTACATCAATTCCCCATGAACAAGTGGGTCTTCCATCGCTCAAAAAGAACCAGCCAAAAAAGAACACATTCCTTCAGCAGTCAGTTTACTCAAAATATCCGACGGTAAACCTTTACATGTGGGAAACCCATGGTTTCCCGAGGAACATGATCTGCATTTATGGTATTTATGGTGGGCAAACTCCACAGGTGCCAAAACGTTTACACAGTTATGGCCCGAGTTATACCACTTATAGGTACTAACAAGTCACCCCATGTATGGTTCATGTATAATCCCATTGTTCAATAACCATGCAGTTATAAGTAATAGCCATGGCCGCCATGGCCATGACTGGAGGGTCCTCTGCCTAGCCACATCTTTCTGGATCCGCATCGGGATGTCTACGGCCCATTTTGGCAACGTTGCTACTACTTCCATGGACAAAACATGCCCACGTTTAGAGCTCAATAGTAATCCACTATGACTAAAATATCCCAATTGTTGCTGATAATCGATATATATTGCTGATAATACATCCATTGTTGTTGGACGAATTCCAAACAGTTGAATGTTTGTCCTGTTCAAGCGCAGTTAGCTCAAACAATCTGGGTGTGATTTTTTTTACCAGGGAAAGTCACGGTTAATGATCCATCACGAGATTCTGGGTACCATGTTTCCAAACACCCAAGTACAACACTTGCTTGTCCCACCAAGCTGTACCTACAGTACACTGTGGGGCCCACCACTTTTGAGTTGGGTTAAACTCCCATGTAACTATAGAATACAGTATGTATTATATATATATTATATATATAAAGACATATCAACCATCCAATCGTTATCCTAATTCTTCCAACAATCTCACCCATGATCTGTTTATACTTCCCCATCAATTGTGGCCTCCAGGAGGCCAATCTTCCCATGTTTTTCAGCGGATCTTCCCCTGTCGAAAAAACCTCGGGACCACATGGGACAACCACATTGTGCACGCCTGGGTCCCGCTTCTTGGCCATGAAGTCGTTTTCGTCCTCGAGATCTTGCAACCGTCGCCTTGAGACACGTTGCCGGGCGCGCCCGTGTTTGTTTGTCTTTTTAGGGGGAGGGAAAATTATCATGGAAAGATGGTTGGAACACAAGTGGATTCGACTAACTAAGAACATGAATGTGAATATGAACTTGAATTTGAATATGAAGATGCATATATATATAAATATATATATACGTATAAATATAATATACACGTATATATATATATATATATGTGGTGGTTTCCTAAAATGGGGGTACCCCTAAATCATCCTTTTTAAGAGGATTCTCCATCCATTTTGCGGATCCTCCATTGATGGAAACCATACATATCCAGGTTGGATTGTGGGATAATTTTTGTATCAGTTGTAAGGAGCTCGAACCAGCAAGAACAGCAACTACTAGTCATGACCTCTATACAAGTGACTTTTTAAGTCTTTTAATGCTTAGATGAGATGTCACCAGAATTGTGGTATATACTAGCCACTTCTCCAGGTGGATTCCTTACGCAAATTCCTCATGGTCCTAATGTCTCAGAGCGAGAAGGCTTCCATAATTTCTAGTGAATCCACTCACCAAACATCCCGTTATACTCATACTCCCATTCTAAGTTCATTGATTGCTTGCTGAAAGCTGCATTTTTTGGATGGCTGAAGCGCCCATATGTTGTTGGGCTACCCTAAATCCACTGGTTGATCATCAGTTTCCACTAATTAAAGTTGCAATAACAAGTTATGAGGGACAAACTCCCAATTTTCAGACACTGTCATATCATATCATTTCATAATCTAATCATATCATAATCATATCATATCATATCATATTATATCATATCATATCATATGGTTGTTTTTACATCCATGATATCCCCACTCTAGTTATGGTTCAAAAAAGAACAAATCTTCACGTGATTTTCCGCAAAAAAAAATCCAGGAGATATTGGACCAAGCCACACCATTCCTCTCAACTGCAGAACCTTGGAGCGAAAACGATGCATTTTGCAGCTAAAAACATGTTTTAATCGACAACCAATACATGGAGTTGAATGTTTGAATTTGAGTGATAGCACCCTATTTCTGAGTTGGTACTCCATGATTGGAATTGCTTCATCCTATCACAAAGCAGTTTATCAACCATACAGAGTTGTCAATCTCCATGTCTGGGTTCAACCGGAAAGCGTCTGGTTTTTTCAGCTTGGTGAATTGGAGTAATTCAGTTCAATTAACCAAATGAATGACGTTGTCAGAAAATTGGGTACCGCAAATTATCCAACGTCAAATGATTATAAAACTAGAATTGTTCAAGCTTGGATAAACTTGTCATATTCACCACACATGTGGTAAATAGAAATGCCAGTTCCACATGGGTTTTGACCGAAAATAAGGTATATATAAACAAATCCAATGGTCTATAATGATGTTCCCATATATTCCCTAATACATATTTGGTGGATTTTTGTTGCCATACTGAGACACACCCAAATATTCACGATCACGATCATGATTATGTATCCCAATTACATCTATCGAACTCCTATGTACATAAGTTTCATTAGACAATCACTAAAAATCCTTATGAATCCCTAAAGCATAACTCCCTAAATCACAATAAATCCCAGAATAAATCACCGTGAATCCCAATACATCCCATATATAGTCCACAGGATGGGGTCTCCGTTCGATAGCGTTCAGTTGCCTTATTTCAGCGGCTGAATTCTATGGTTTATGGTAGCTATAACTCTAGTATTCATGGGGTTTATAAACCAACTTACACTAATACATCCCTGGGGGGGCACCATCCTGCAGGGACATCACTACAGTTATGGCCCAAAATGCCAGTTATAAGTATTTATAGCCCCATTTATAAAATGTTTTTTTATCCCACAGTTCAATAACCAGTTATAACTAATAGCCACGGCCATTTCAGTACATAATATCCCATTATTATCCCATTAACTAGTTCGTTATATATCTACCATAAACCATAGAATTCAGCCACTAACATTTCACTGTATATATCACCAAACCAAACAGGATGGGGCCCCAGTTCGTTAGCGTCCAGTTGATTTGTAACTATAATAATAACCATAGTAGTGTATGATACGCAAATCTATACTGGTTGGTGGTTTGGACCCCTCTGAAAAATATGCGAAAGTCAGTTGGGATGATTATTCCCAATATTTAGAAAAATAAAAAATGTTCCAAACCACCAATCAGTATATAACAGGATGGGGCCCCATAAACCAACTTAGCTAACGAACTTGGGCCCCATCCCAATCAGGAACAACTCGCGATCCGATCCCAGGAATCCCAGGAGTCCCAGGAACCAGTTGCTCCGTCTTGGCCTGGCCGTGTTCCTCGCCATTCACCAAGGCCTGGTGGGCTGAATTCTATGGTTTGTAACGGTTAGTACAGTGACATGGCCATGGCAGTGGCTGAATTCTATGGTTTATGGTAGATATATAACGAACTAGTAGTTAATGGAATAATAATGGGATAATATATACTGAAAATATATTAGTTATAACTGGTTATTGAACAATGGGATTATACATTTTATAAATGGGGTGACTTGTTAGTGTTTATAACATCTTATGACTGGTATTTCGGGCCATAACTGTAGTCATTTGGGTGATGAATTGGTGAACAATGGTTGGTAACGCTTAACGTTTGATAGAATGCTTGATAATGGTGATTTTTGGGAATCTTACCAACCATAGTAGGGATATAATGGTGATATTGCCAGCGAAATATGGGGTAGTACCATCAAAACATAAAGGTAGAACCAACAATCCATGGGATTATAGTGGGATGTAACGGCTATGTATCATAAGGTCAATGGGAATCTCAGGATCCTAAAATGGAGGTACTGTACCATATAAGGCAATATTTTCTGGTGATATTCTCTTACATAGGCCTAAAAAATAGGCCTTATATATGGTAGGTACCTACAATTTAGGTTCCTGAAATGCCCATTGATAAGGCTTCCAAGCAAATGCTATTTATAGTATAGTAAACCTCATAAAAAGCCGAAAAGTGAGAAACCAGCTTGCCGCTTCGATGAACTTGACCTATTTCTTGAGGTGTCCAATTGTTCCGTATCTATTTTTGGTGGTTTCCTAAAATAGGGGTATCCCCAAATCATCAATGGGAATTTATAATGGGAATAATGGGAATACCCCATTTTATGGAAATTTATAATTTTCCCCAAAATTGTTTACAATGGGAATTTCCCAAAAAGAAACCATCCAGCGAACTTGGGGATACCACCATTTATGGAACCCAAGGATATGTTTTCCCATGAGGTCGTGCAGGTAAGCTGGTGGACCATGATGTCCTTGTTTTGAGTCCCGATAGGGGTGCAGTTCCATTATAGTTAAAGGGTTATATAAGGATAGATCTGCCATGGTAAAATTATCATATTTCACTAACCTGAATAGTTCGGCCATGAATGGGGATGATTTCCCATAAATAAACCATGATTCCAGGGTTCGGGAGAACAGGGTTCGGTCGTGATGAAATTTACCCAGATAGATGTAGGAGTTCCATATCCCAAGTTATGGAGGTTTAAATCCCATATTTCTACTCATATACTCATTAATACCCCAAGTACTCAAATAGATAGGGTTTTATCATATCCGATATATCCCCAAATTTGTGGTCAATGTCTCTGTATTCGTTGGCATGATGTGTGATGATCAATGATTTATGTTGCAGCCCCTACCATGTTTGTTAAGTCGGAATGCTTTTAGTATTTGTGATTTCTATCCTTTCAATTATCTAAAATAGGTGTCTCAACTATCCTCTCAAAAATAATCCGAAACATGTTGCAATCATCCCAATTCTCCAGCAGTCATCCAGTCAGCATCCAGTCAGCATGTCATCCCAAACTAATTCCAACTAATCATGGCAAACCTTAGATACCCTGCAAAAGACTAACGTGTTAGCTGGTTAGTGAATATTCCCAGAGCAACATATTCCAATGGTCATTTCAGGTACGTAAATTGGAGGTACCTACCATATAGAAGGCCTATTTTTCAGGCCTAATTTTCAGGGAATATCCCCAGAACATATAGCAAAACATATGGTACTCACGTACCTTCATGTTATGATCCTGAAATTACCATTGAATATTTGCCTGGTTTAAACTATCCATCCAGTTGGTTGATTCAGATTACCAACCACTACCAACGATCCTCAACCTTTATTCATAATTATCAACCATTAAGTTAATAAGAAATTGGGGTATCATAATTATGATATTGCATTCTGATATAATAGATGAAGACAACCCAGTTATTAATTACAATGGAGATTAGTATTATTATTCCACCATCTATCAACCGTTTTATGCATCCACTTGGTTGATAATGTTGAGTCAAGGTCATGATGGTTGGTCTTTTGGTCGATGATGTTGGTTGATCATCCCATGAACCATGTGTTAACCATTATGTTGATTTAACACGTTGGTTATTTAACATTCATCACCCCAAGACACATTTACTAACCCAGAAACATTAATTAAACATGAACCATTGATCAACCCATAAAATGATTTAATATTGATTAACCATTGCGAATCTGCTTAGTACGGTGTATTCATACCCATTGAAATGTTTGTTCTTTTGTTTTAACCATTGATCAACACAACACTAACCATTAACCAATGGTTGAATTGTTAAACCACCCTGCACCCTGTTTGATCAATGGTTGAAAAAACCGGATATAACCTTGGTTGAATACTCATTGTTTTATTGGCTGTTGGGCTTCATGTCGTCTTTAAATACTGATTGATCAACAATACACCATTAACATCCATTAACAATTGATGTTTAACTAGTCAGCCATGTGTGGTTAAATGGTTAATAATAGCGGGTTCGAAAACATACTATTAAATGTTAATAACCATGGATTCAATAAATCACCAGTAACATGCATTAACCGTTGATTGGCCATGAGTTATTGGTTTTTAAATGGAAGTTTGCTGAAATAGTTGTACCCCCAAATCGCCCATTTTAATGGTATTCTCCATTACTAATCATCCACTTGGGGATACCCCCCATTGATGGAAACCCCCAAATATCCATCATAGATCCCAACTATATACACTATTAACAGTAATAGTTCAATTATATATGCCATTGGATTTTAGCAACCGTTAAAAACCATTGATTAACACCTGTTTATAATAACCATTAAACACCATTAATAGTGGTTATTAGCAACCATTAATAACCATTAAACACCATTAATAGTGGTTATTAGCAACCATTAATAACCATTAAACGCCATTAATAGTGGTTATTAGCAACCATTAATAACCATTAAACGCCATTAATAGTGGTTATTAGCAACCATTAATAACCATTAAACACCATTAATAGTGGTTATTAGCAACCATTAATAACCATTAAACACCATTAATAGTGGTTATTAGCAACCATTAATAACCATTAAACACCATTAATAGTGGTTATTAGCAACCATTAATAACCATTAAACACCATTAATAGTGGTTATTAGCAACCATTAATAACCATTAAACACCATTAATAGTGGTTATTAGCAACCATTAATAACCATTAAACACCATCAATAGTGGTTATTAGCAACCATTAATAACCATTAAACCATTAATAGTGGTTATTAGCAACCATTAATAACCATTAAACGCCATTAATAGTGGTTATTAGCAACCATTAATAACCATTAAACGCCCCATTAATAACCATTAAACGTGGTTATTAGCAACCATTAATAACCATTAAACACCATTAATAGTGGTTATTAGCAACCATTAATAACCATTAAACGCCATTAATAGTGGTTATTAGCAACCATTAATAACCATTAAACACCATTAATAGTGGTTATTAGCAACCATTAATAACCATTAAACACCATTAATAGTGGTTATTAGCAACCATTAATAACCATTAAACGCCATTAATAGTGGTTATTAGCAACCATTAATAACCATTAAACACCATTAATAACCATTGATTAACTATTGATTATTGATTCTGGGGACACATTCTACACCTGTTTTAGCTGTCATCGGCGCGCCTCCAAGGCATCCAGGGTGTCGTTGGAAATGGCCTGGAACTTGGGATTCTACCACTGATTTTATGATAAAATTGTCGGTAGAATTGAAAAAATTAAACATAGGTTAATTGCTGTGAATTTGAACATTGGTTTCTGATATACATATGGCTAACCACAATGGAATTTATTGTTGGATGACATTAATATCAATTAGAATTCGTTTTTTATAATGAAAAACTGTTAAAAAAAACAACTGGGATTGAATCAATATTTTTTGGAATTATAATGAAAATTGAACGTACCAAGTTGGTTTGTAACTGACACAGCTGTCATAACTAGGGCGAGTAAACCCTAATAGGGTTGGCTGTCATTTATCTATCATTTGTTTCTAGCACATTTTTGGACTGGTAAACCATATGAACAATCCCATTATAATCCCAATTGAGCCTATTAAACCCTATTAAATCCCATTAATTCCTATAAAATCCCGCATTGGACATTGAATCCCATCCCTATTAAACCCCACAAACAACACTATTAAACACCATCAAACCATCAAATTCAACCATTCAACCAATGCCGTTGGGTCTGTTTCCAAGGCACCACCCCGCCTGCTGCAACTCCAGTCGGAGTTCTTCCGTCAAAATCGCAAAGATGTCCTCCCGAGGGATCGCTGCCACGTCCTTGGCGATGGCACAGGTGGCACGAGCCAAGCAAAAATAGGAAAACCATGGTTTAATGATGGTTCAAGTGTTATTAATAGTCATTAATAGTGGTTTAATATTGGTTCAAGGGTCATTCATAGGAAAACCAAAAAATGGAAGATAAGGCGTCAATCATGGTTTAATGATGGCTGAATATTTGTTCAATGGTCATTCAAAGGGGTGATTGATGGTTTAACGGTGATTTATGGTGGTTTAATGGTGGTTTCATGCAGGGTGGTATACCACCACAGGGAAATGTTTGTTGGCATAACCCACAAGAATACTATAGATATAGCTACTAGCATCTACCATAGACCCAACAGCTAGTGGAATTATTCTCGCCAATTTACCTAACGAACTGGGTAACCACCTTGTATGGTGATATAATCGAGAAATGCTTGGTTCATAATTGAGACAGTTCGAAAAGTGGCAATCATTTACAAAGAGTGCCCCCTCAGTTGTAAGTTGGATTTACTGTGTAGATCAATTTGTCTTAGTTATCAGGTTGATAATCAGAATGACTCACGACTGATAAATCCCTCTTTACAGATCCTTCTAGTGAGTCTAAGGTGATGTGTATATATATATATATTAAAAAACAACACAGCATTAACAATCACGATTGTTCAAGATTAATCATTAAATTGTTTACCACTAATCACAATTAATGGCACTCAATCCCATTTGTCTTTTCTGTTAATCACTATTATTAATCATAAAAAAACTACTAATCCGTACCAACTCGTATTAATGATAATGAATCAATCTATCTATCTATCTATCTATCTGTCTATCTATCTATCTATCTATCTTATATGTCTATATCTATCTAGCTATCAATCTCTATCACCACTGAAACGCACCACTGTATACAAAACACTACATATATCATACATATATCATGTCGTCGTCTTATCTCTTCTCGGCCTTCCATCCTCTCATCCGAGGCCCTGGCCTTTTGCCAGCACCTTTTGGCAGCTAAAAATCTCCACCATCTCCATCTCGTTGTGATAATGGCAGTTAATCTGGTTGGTGGTTTCAACCCCTCTGAAAGATATTAGTCAGTTGGGGTTAATATTCCGAAAAATAAAAAATGTTCCAAACCACCAACCAGTAATGGCTGTTAATCACTAATCACTGCTGACCCTTATTAATGATAAGTGATCACTATTCGTCACGATTATTCTCTATTAATCCAAACCAACCCATGTTAATTATATTTGATACCCATTATTCACGAATTATGTCCACTAATACTCACCATTTATCCGTATGAATCACTCAAAATCACTAGTCATGTCAATTAAGTGCTACTAATCACTGTTAATCCTTGTTGATCATTATATCAACTATTAATCCCTATTGATCACTATAAACAACTTTTAAACATTGATTATCATAGTATTTCACCCTTAGTTACCGTATTACTACTAGTACCGATACTCACTATTAATTACCATTATTAATCACCAATCACTATGAACCCAATCTTAAAATCAATTAACCGCTGTACTGTTATAACACTACCTCAAATAGTGACATCATTATTTCCACTATTAATCATCAATCACGATTAATGACTTAAAATCACTACCAATCACAATCAAACACTGTTTAAATTAAGAGCCAATAATCACTATTAATCACTCTAAATGACAATTAATGTCTATCAATCAATGCCAATCACTATTGATGGTCCCATTTTATTGCACCAGTATCAGTATGTATATATATATATATCACAAAGATGCTACCACAGATAATGATATTATATCAATATATATATATATTATACATATCTATATACATGGTAGCCGACCCAAAATCAGTGGTTTGAGTGTATATAGTTGGAGCACGGCCTTTATCTGGCCGTGCGTTTTCGTGCACATTGGGGGGGTGGCGTGGGGTGGGGTGGGGTGGGGCATGTGTTAACGTTCATGTGAACTTGCTAGGGTGCATGTGGTGTACCATGTGTCTTCATGTGTTGCTAGGTCCTCGTTATGTGAGTCTCGGTGTAGCGTATGTGCGTGTAGACATGGGTGGGGTGGGGTGGGGTGGGGCATGTGTTAACGTTCATGTGAACTTGCTAGGTCAGTGGACTCGTCTCTGTGTGTGCCGTTATGTGCGTGTAGACATGGGTGGGGTGGGGTGGGGTGGGGCATGTGTTAACGTTCATCAATACATAACATGTGGAATTACAAAAAAATGCGTTTTCGCCTAGGCGAAATACTTGTTTTTTCATTTCCTGCACCAGAATAAGGGGGTTTCTTGTCTTTGAACTCACATCAAAACAATCCAGGTCGAATTAGTTGGGGAGTTCTGAGAAACATCAAAAATGATAGTTTCGCCTAGGCGAAACGCTAGATTTTGATTTTATGCACCAGAATCACAGGTTTTTCGCCTTTGAAATCACATCAACCAAAATCCTATTGGCACGACCACATCAAACATCATCCATGACACCCCGTTGATCACAAAAACACCACGGCCAGATAAAGGCCGTGTTCCTAGTTAGTATATATTATTGCTAAATAACTCCGGGATATCATGTATGTATATATACACATACGTGTTCTATATTCACAATTAATCCCTGCTAATCACTCTGAATTACCATATTACTAGCCATCACTATTAAGCACAATAAACCCCTATACATATTACTAGTAATCCCTTTGTCAATAAATAACCATTAATCACTATTCATCACTCTGAATGACCATTCATGTCAGTTAATGACTGTCAATCACTACAAATCAGTATTAACTGTTATATCAACTAGTAATCACTATTTATTATCATTAGTCTAAACCAATCACACTAATACAACGGTAATAATCAGTGTTAATCAGTAAGAATCACCACAAAGTATAATCATGTTACTAGTAATCACAACAAATCACCATGAACCACTATACATGCATCACCACTGATACCATATTATAAATTACTACTTGCCACTATTACAAATCACTATCAATTGAACAACTATTACAAATCACTATTAGTCATGATTAATCACTATTAATCACCAGAAATCCCTATAGGAATCTTAATAGCGATCCCTATAGTAATCCCTATTGATCAATGTAGTGATATAAGTATATAGTAATCCCTATAGGAATCTTTATAGTAACCCCTATAGTAATCCCTATTGATCAATGTAGTGATATAAGTAGTGATATATATATAGCCTTATCAATCACTATTTCACTATTGATCACCTTAAATATCACTACTAACTAGTCACTACCAATCAGTACTAACCCACTATTAACCACCCATCACTCACTATTAATCACAATAACAATCATACTAACCCACTATTAATCACCCATCACTCACTATTAATCACAATAAATCACCATAAATATCCCATTGCATATGTATTCTATATACACTATTAATCCCTATACATCACCATAAATATCACAACGCAACCCTACTAATAATCACTAATAATCTATACTAACCCTTTTTAATCACGATTCAACTAAGTACTCGTAGTAACTATTGATCGTCCCATTTTGATCATTTTCCCATTAATCATCTATTAACCATTTCAACATTTTACTAATCACTATATATCCAATTATGATCCCAATAGAAAGATTCCAAATCATTAATATTGTCACCAATAATCTCCATAAATACTCCAATAATCACTATTAATCATTATTAACCAATCGAAATGTCCATTCATGTCAATTAAATCACTGTCAATCACTACTAATCATGTTTAATTGTATCAACTAGTAATCACTATTGATCATCATTAGTCTAAACTAACCACACTAAGACTACGGTAAAAATCATTGTTAATCAGTACGAATCACCATTAACCGGTATAATCATGTTACTGGTAATCACTATAAATCACCATCAAAATTCTTCTGTGCATCTTCCATGTACATCTCCATCTTGCTGTAGAGAACGTCATCAGGGTCGAAGTTGACCTTCGCCTCTTTCAGGACCTCTTGATAGGCTTTCCTGTGATTGACGTAGGCACGGTTGATGTAGAAGAATTCACCGGATCTCATGTCGTATGCAATTGATGAGAGCCATGTTGGTGATCCAATCTGGTGAGAGGATTGCCTCATCCGTTGCAAAGAGCTTGAACCCATCTGCATCAACAGTTCGGTGTCGAAAGCGATGGCGATTGGCCTCCCGGCCGGCGTGCCCTGGAGCTTCTTCATCTCGGCCTTCCAAGGGGGCGTCGAGTTGAAGAAATTGTGAGCACGGCCGGTCTTGTAGGGGAACCCCCCGGGCACCAAGCCATGGCGGATGATGGAGTTGAAAGCTGCCTGATCACAAGTGTGATAAATCACACGAGGAAACTCGTCCCACATAGGCGATCCTTCCTATACATCACCATTGATACCATATTATAAATTACTACTTGCCACTATTACAAGTCACTATCAATTGAACAACTATTACAAATCACTATTAGTCATGATTAATCACTATTAATCACCAGAAATCCCTATAGGAATCTTTATAGCAATCCCTATAGTAATCCCTATTGATCAATGTTGTGATTTAAATATATAGTAATCCCTATAGGAATCTTTATAGTAATCCCTATAGTAATCCCTATTGGTCAATGTAGTGATATAAGTATATAGTAATCCCTACAGTAATCTTTATAGTAATCCCTATTGATCAATGTAGTGATATAAGTATATAGTAATCCCTATAGTAATCTTTATCGTAATCCCTATAGTAATCCCTATTGATCAATGTAGTGATATAAGTATATAGTAATCCCTATAGGAATCTTTATAGTAATCCCTATTGATCAATGTAGTGATATAAGTAGTGATCCCTAGAGTAGCCCCTGTTCATCACCATAAGTATCAGCCTTTTTCCCTACGTCCGCGCCAAGTCACCCGTCCCTCCAAGGCATGCGCCGCCAGCTGCCTGGCCTCGTTGAGCGCCAAGCTCTGACAGCTCAGCAGCTCCACCAGCTCCACCAGCGCCTCGTGTAACGTGGGGAAAGCCTGGGAAAACCCTAAGAAAATGCTGGGAATCCATAAGAGAATCATGGGAAATGTGAGAAAATTATATGGGAAAAGATAGGAAATGTGAGAAAACCCTGGGCAATAAGTAAAGCATCCAAAACTAACTTGACAATTTTCCAATGCTATTAGTAATAATATTGCCCCTTACGGTTCCATTTTCAATTTTTTAGTCCCATTATTTTCTCATTTATATCACCATAAATTGCTATTGGTGGTGGTTAATCCATGATATTCCCATCATACTCCCATTCTTTTTTAATCATAATTCATCAATCATTAGAAAATCATTATCAATCACATAAAATCACTAATCACCATATTAGCCATTTAATACCCATTGTTCTCTCATGCTATTCACATCATATTACCATGTTTTTTTTGAGGTCCCGCATGGCTCCATTTCTTCCGTCTTCCGTGGCGTGTTTTATGGCCTTCCCCAGGAACGCGTTGTGGTGCTGGTCATCCAGGACTGCACGGTGCACTTTGAAGATACAATCTTCCACCTGGCGGCCATGGCAGAAAACCAGGGGAGCATGTAGGAAAACCATGGGAAAACCATAATTAGGAAAACAGTGATGGCTTCTCCAAGGTTGATGTCAAACGACCTGGGGTAAGTCCACGCAGCATGAAGGTCGTAACTGAAGTGGTGGATCCAGCGGCGCTGGAGCCGTCTCTGACTCGGTCTCTCCATGGTGCTGCGAATAGTTGACACTGATATGTGCCACGGGATACACATAACATTTTTTTGGAGTGAATGATTTGGTTAATGATATGTTCCTAGAGTACCAGTAGTACCGCACAAGGCGGTGGCGGAAGTTTCAACAATAGGAAACCTATAGGAAGGGTTGGTTGTTGTGACTCACGGATGGCAGAGCGAATCCGCTGATGGACCGAAAGGTGGTTGGAGTTGTGTTTTCTGGAGTGGTTGCAATGGTTGCAGTGGTCACCTCACCTAGTGTTGTGTGGCATAGCGTAATGTAGTCTAGTGTAAGGTAGTGCAGTGCAGTGTAATTAGTGTAGTGTAGTTCTAGTTGTAGTTGTAGTTGCAGTTGTAGTTGTAGTTGTAGTGTAGTGCAGTGTAATTACTGTAGTGTAGTGTAGTGTAGTGTGGTGTGGTGTAGTGTAGTGTAGTGTAGCGTAGTGTAATGTAGTGGTAGTTGTAGTTGTAGTTGTAGTTGTGTGATCGATCGACAAACTGCAAAAAACACATTACATATAATCACATCAGAAACTTGGTCGAAAATGAAAGCCTGGAGAATAATTAAATTGAAATACGTGTGGAATGGTTTATTGGAAAAACATATCGGTATGATGTGTCAAACATTGATCCCCCCCATCCTCCCAGAGACTGGAAATCACACGCCATGCAACTGGTGATCTCAGATGGGGGTGTGTAGCCATGTGTAGCCATGTGTAAAACCCAAACAGACGGGTTTTACACGTGTAGCCATGTGTGGCCATGTGTGGCCATGTGTGGCCATGTGGAGCCATGGGCCATGTGTAGCCATGTGTAGAACCAAAACAGACGTGTTGTACACGTGCAAAACGGAAAACACACAGTTTTACACGTGTTTGAACAAAACCAAAAGTGTAGCCATGTGCAGCCATGTGTAGACTTGTTTTTCTGAAAGAAATATATGATAAAATCATGCTCTGTGTGTCTTGTAAAGACCATGTATATTCATGAGCCCCTCAATGAGCCGCTCCTCTCTCCATCAAAGACCATTTATAGATCTAATTCTGGTTGTTTATGTATAAGTATACATATATTATATGTGTATTATGTGTGTGTGCATACTATATTTACAGAAACTATATATCCTCCCAACTTGCAAGAAGACCAAATGAGTACCAAGGAGCCGCCCGTCCTGAAGACACGATTTTACCCACCTATATTATATGCATCAACTATTATCAACTGTTGATCACTACCAATCCTTATCAATCACTATATCAACTATTAATCACTATGAAAAGTAAGATATATCCAGTTAATCACTATATCAGTTGTTAATCACTATCCAATAAGATATTGCTATATCAACTGTTAATCACTATTCACCACTATTAATCACTATTCATCACTTGTTATCAACTGTACCCAGTTATCAAACCCTGGCCTTTCCGTTTCATTTGACGCCTTGTCGAAGGCCATGTTGCGACGAAAGACCGTGTCCAAACGTTGCTGCAAATCCAGGGACTTCCTCGGCACGGCACCAGTGGTGTCAAGCATGAGAAATGTGAAAAAAATCCTGGGAGAAATTGGGAACATGACTGGTTGGTGGTTGACCTAGCCATCTTGAAAAATGATGGACTTCGTCAATGGGAAGGATGACATCCCATATATGACATGGAAAATAAAAAATGTTCCAAACCACCGACCAGATGATGTTTGTTGTTTTTTTCATGTGTTTTACCAAGCTATTCAATCATGGCAAAACACGAGTAAAAAGTATACTGACTATGGAAACATGAGTAATGATGGAAGAAACATGTCTTTGTTTACCAGAATAAGGGATTTAAAAGAGCCGGAAAAAGCCTGTGCGCACGGAAGTGAACTAAAGATTTACGTAGCGGCAAAAAAAACTGACGATGGAATAATCACAGTTGAAGCCCTTTACCAGTCAGGTTCTTAGTGGGGTTATCATTCCATAAACGTGGTTTGTTTTAACTGCCTGTAACTGGTAAAGGGCCATAACTGCAAATAACTACACCCGTGTTTGATAGTTGTTGTAAGTTGCTTTCCTACAAATCGATGATGTTGCGTGGCCATGCTTAATTTCCAGAGGGCAAACAGAACAACTGAAGGAATTTAAAGCAAGAAGTAAGGGATTAACCAAGAAACATGCGGACTTTGACTGAACATTGTGATATGAGCCATGGAATATGCACACGAAACCTTAAAGCGATCACATGCTGATTTTAGCAGCAACAGCTGGGATAGTGATCGGCAATCAAAGGGGTAGTCACCAAAAAAAGCTGGAATTCATCCGGCAAGAGTTCGGGTACTAACGCCGGGAATGTAGAATTGATACAACATAAATCTTAAAATGGCAAAGGGGGTTGGTGTGGATGCACACTTTGGGACATCATCCTTGGAACCACGGGTCAAAGCAGCTCTTTGAGTTTGTATCTAGTGCACAACTGCGAAAGTTGACCCGCACCAGGAGCTTCCCCAGTTTTTCAAGTTGGTAGATAGAACCCATCATGTTTGTAATCAGCGATGCATGTTGAACCGTGGATAGATAGCAAATCGGTTTGATTGTAACCACCAATACTGATTACCTATGAATATGAATGGTGATTTAACCAAAAGACATGGCGATTTCTGATGATTTAAACCAACGCAAACGATGATCAAGTGGCATGCATTGGCATGCTCTGCAACATTACTTATACAAAGATCAATGTCCGGAGATGTTTTGGAACCTTTCCAAGTTTTGATTCAACTGATTCCCAACTGTGATGGGATTTTTCAGCGTGTCTTTGGTGATTTCTCCAACTTAACCAGGTAAATATCTATCCATGTCTTCATGTCGGCGTTTTGGTCATGTTCTACCAACTATACCCAAATAGATCAAGATGGTGGCTCCAAATCTTAGAATCAGAAAGTGATTGTTGGTGTCAGCCTTCTTCGGGCCCAATCTCCAGCTTTCGTTCTTGTGGCGGAAATTGCTGAAACTTGCGCCTCCTCGAGTGCTTGCACATTGGCACGAGGCTTGCAGCATATTGAAGCTGGAATCTCTGATTGGAACAGTATTTGCTGCATTTTCGTGCCGTATCTGACTGGTATTTTGCATAACTTTGATTTTTACTTGTGTCTGCGCAATAGTTGCAGCATACTGCCAAGAAACCACGAAAGCCAACGAGCCAATAACAAAAGCCAAAAAGCCAGGAAGCCAAGAAGCCCTGAGGACAAAAGCCAGAAAAGCAATGAAGCAAAAAAACACAAAAGCCAAGAAACCATGGCCTTGTTTGCGATTTTCCAACGTTGGGCCCGGCGTGGAAGCTCTCGTAGATTTCCTGCCATATCTGTTCGGTGGTCTTGAAGTGCTCCTTGTACGGCCGAGATGGGCGCGGGCGCAACCGGCTCTGCAAAGGTTCTTGGTTCAGCAGCTGTGGCCTTGCGTGATTCGAATGTCAGGGGCCGTGAACTTGACAGGCCTCCTCTGGTGCCATGGGCTTGGGTCGTTCTGACTTAGAACGCTGCTATGAAGTGCTCCCACGCGATTTTGGTGATTTTGCCGCTGAGGCATTTCATATTTTTTGTAAAATGCAGTTACATGTTTTTGGATAGAAGGCCTAAGGACATATATTCGAGAAATTTCGAGAAAATGTGTCATTGCTGCAAAGCAAGAACCGCTACAAAGTGACGAACCATCTTATTTCAAAAGAGTCACCATTCCTCAAACATAGACCTTGTCAAATAAGGGTTTGGAAGAGTTGTTTCCTCCAAACACAGGCGATTCTCACGGCCTAAGTCTAACAAATCATTCTGAAGGATAGCCCAGTAGGTTGCAAGCCGTTTATGGTGAAACCTGTTACAAAAAGTTGACATTACAATGAGGTTCAGTATACATGGACTACCAACCGTTTTTTAGCGTCCTCCGGAGATCAAAATATCACTACTGAACTACTGATATCACACGGGCCACAACTGTGATATCAAAAGATGGATAGGGGCCCACTTTGAAGGGTCAAAGGATCCATGGCCAGAGGTTGAAGTGTCCAAATGTGTCCAAATGCGCAGATTTCTCTAGTCACAAGGAGAAACCAGGTGAAACCCCCATTGAACATCATTGAACCAGGTGAACCCCCATTGTTGGTGTTAAATCACCATAAACCACCATGTGACCATGTATTTTTGGTCGAGGTGCCAACTTCTTGGCGTGTTGTTCATATGTTTTTCCACATTTTAAGATAGTCAAACCAAGTTAAACCACCATTATCCCCCCCATTCTTGATGGCTTACACCAGCATTTTTCATGGTTAAACCAGCATATGTCATGGGTTAAACGTGGTAAAACCAGCATTGTTCATGGCTTAAACCTTTATTTTCTCTGTTAATGACTATTAATCCACTATTAATCCACTAATAATCACTATTAATCCATTATTAATCACTATTAATCACTGTTAATCACTATTAACCCATTATTAATCACTATTAATCACTGTTAATCACTATTATCCATCCACCATTAATCCACTATTAATCCATTGTATCTATGAATCTCCCAGAGGAGATCGCCGAGTGTCTCCCAGAGGGACATGATCTCTGGCAGTGGCGCCTGCAGATCCTCGAAAACTTGGGATTTCGCCAAGGAAAACCAGGGTAAACTTGGGATTTCCATGAGAAATGATGGAATTATGATGGAAAATGATGGAAAATGATGGAACATGATGGGAAATGATGGAAAATGATGAAAAATGATGAAAGATGATGGGAGATTTTCCATGGGATGTTTGATTTATGATAGCTATAAATTAGTTTATGGCTAGGTAATTTCTAGGCTTTATGGATGCTTATGGCACACATATCAACCTAGATAGAGTAAAACAAAAAACACCGTATAACTCCGGGCACCACCTTGTTGGACATGTGTTGAAGCAATAAACAAATATCAAAAAATCCGGATCTATAGTGTTCACTGGCAATGTCTCAAAACAACTTTGACTACAACGATTTTGACCTGTGAAGTTGGGTTCAGATCGAACTGACGCTTTGAGCAACTTGCCTAGGACAGTTGGTCTAGAATCAAATTGATATATATATATAATTATATGCATATATGTAATTATGTATACATATATAAACATATATATATATATATTCACATATATAAATATATGCACATAAAAAACGTCTATATATATATGTATGAATGAATGTATGAATGTATGTATGTATGTATGCATGTATGTATGTATGCATATCACTTGTAATATCCAAGAAAATAGAAAAAACTAGCAGCCATTGATGCAGCAGGATTTTACTTTTTTGTTTTTTCGCGGTTTGATGTCAATCCTGCACGAAAATCTCCGGTTCTATTGTTCAATGAAGCCCCTCAATGAAACCCATCAGTTTTTTTTAATCAGGGGTTGAGACAACATGAGGCAATTGCTGGACGTTTTTCTTATTTTCCAGAATTTTGGGATACAACAACACTGTACTTTGGACTATGCGAGAGTTTGTCTCAAATTAAATTGAGATATACCGGAATATGCTGAATCCTTAGTTAACACCATGGATGGAATGGGTTCTCCCAAACACTTTGAAACCAAACCAAATTATATTGGGTATATACAACCATACTATTTATGAAAGTTTGTTGGTTATAAGTACTATGATATAAATATATATACTGATATATGGCTAGTATGATCATAAAACCTACAACCATTATCTACACGATAATTATATGCCCATTCAATCCCAGCTGTATTCCAATCCCCCCAAGAGTTTCATCCCCAGCTAAATCAAAATTTTGGTTGGTAGGGATCCTCATTCCCCAACATCTGCAAACAAGGCCAAATTATATTGGTTACACAAAAGATGTCTATGTATATATATATATGTGTATATCTACCTATCTATCTATCTTATCTATCTTATCTATCTAATCTATCTAATCTATCTAATCTATCTAATCTATCTAATCTATCTAATCTATCTAATCGATATATTCTATCTAATCGATCTAATCGATCTAATCGATCTAATCGATCTAACCTATCTAACCTATCTAATCTATCTAATCTATCTAATCTATCTAATCTATCTAATCTATCTAATCTATATAAACTATCTAATCTATCTAATCTATCTAATCTATCTAATCTATCTAAGCTATCTAATCTATCTATCGATCTAATCTATCTAATCTATCTAATCTATCTAATCTATCTAATCTATCTAATCTAACTATCTACCTATCTATCGATCTATCTATCTATCCATCCATCTATCTATCCATCCATCTACAGCTATATGCAGACATACATTTATATATATATATACACCTATATCTAAATCAAAATCTATATCTATAGCAACACATATGCACACATAACATATTTATGTATAAATATCAATAGGAAGCAACCTAATTTGTACAGAAAAACAATATATATATATATATACGGTATACATACATACATACATACATACATACATACATACATACATACATACATACATACATACATTACATACATACGTACGTACATACATACATTACGTACATACATTACGTACATACATACATACATACATACATACACACATACATACATACATACATACATACATACATTACATACATACATTGCATACATACATACATTACATTACATACATACATACATACATACATACATACATACATACATACATACATTACGTACATACATTACGTACATACATTACGTACATACATACATACATACATACATACATACATACATACATTACATACATTACATACATACATGCATACATACATACATACATGCATACATACATACACACATACATACATACATGCATACATACATAAATACATTGCATACATACATTACATACACACATTACATACATACATTACATACGTACATTACATACATACATTACATTCATTACATACATACATAACATACAAACATAAATACATACATTACATACATTACATGCATACATAGATACATACATACATTACATTATATTTTATTACATTGCATTACATTACATAACATACATACATTACATTACATTACATTACATTACATTACATTGCATTACATTGCATTACATTGCATTACATACATACATACAAACATACACACATACATACATACATACATACATTCAGGCATACATACAGACGTACACTCATACATACATACATACATACCTACATACATACATACATACATAAATACATACATACATACATACATACATACATACATACTTGCATACACACATACATACATACATACATACATGCATGCATACATACATACATACATTACATACATACATACATACATACACATACATACATACATACAAACATACATACATACCATTACATGACATTACATTACATTACATACATACATTACATTGCATTACATTGCATTACATTGCATTACATTGCATTACATTGCATTACATTGCACATTGCATTACATGACATGACATGACATTACATTACATAACATACATAACATACAAACATAAATACATACATACACAACATAACATTACATAACATTACATACCAATACAGACCATAACATGACATACATAACATACATAAATTACATACATACATACATACAGACATACATACATACAAACATACAGACACTCATTCATTACATTACATTACATACAAAACATACATTGCATACATTAGATACGTTACATACATACATACATACATTACATACATTACATACATACATTACATACATACATACGTACGTACATACATTACATACATACATGCATACATTACATTGCATTACATTGCATTACATTGCATTACATTGCATTACATGACATGATATGACATGACATTACATTACATACTATACATAACATACAAACATAAATACATACATACACAACATAACATTACATAACATTACACACCAATACAGACCATAACATGACATACATAACATACATAAATTACATACATACATACATACATACAGACATACATACATACATACAAACATACAGACACTCATTCATTACATTACATTACATACAAAACATACATTGCATACATTGCATACGTTACATACATACATACATACATTACATACATTACATACATACATTACATACATACATACGTACGTACATACATTACATACATACATGCATACATTACATTGCATTGCATTACATTGCATTGCATTGCATTGCCTTACATTACATTACATACATACATACATACCTACGTTACATTACATTGCATTATATTACATTGCACTGCATTGCATTGAATTGCATTACATACATTACATTCCATTACATTACATTACATTCCATTCCATTGAATTGCATTGCATTACATTACATTACATACATACATACATTACATACATTACATACATTACATACATGACATACATTAGATACATGACATACATTAGATACATTACATACATTAGATACATTAGATACATTAGATACATTAGATACATTAGATACATTACATACATTACATACATTACATACATAACATACATGACATACACTACATACACTACATACACTACATACACTACATACACTACATACACTACATACACTACATACACTACATACACTACATGCATACATACACTACATACATTTCATACATGACATACATTACATACATACATAGATTACCTACATGACATACATTACATAGATTACCTACATTACATACATTACATACATTAGATACATTAGATACATGATATACATTAGATACATTAGATACATTAGATACATTAGATTCATTAGATACATTAGATACATTAGATACATTAGATACATTAGATACATTAGATTCATTAGATACATTACATTACATTACATTACATTACATTACATTGCATTACATACATTACATCCATTACAATCCATACATCCATACATCCATACATACACACATACCTTACCTTACCTTACCTTACATTACATTGCATTTCGTTACATTACATTAAATTACATACATACATAATCAAATATGGCAAGGCTAACCCACAAAGTGTCATTCTCCAAAGATCTAGCAGTTCCCACATCGCCCCAAAAAAGGCACTTTGTGCAACTCAGACTCTGTCTGAACTTCCATCTCTCGCACTCCAGCCATAGAACCTGATCTGGGGAAATCATACACACAAGGTCACAAGGTGGTGCCCCATGGCTAGCGAAGTTGCTCTCCAAGTAGGCGCACTGTTGTGTTTATGCTAGATTATGCAAGATATAGATATCAAACTAGTTAACTTTTAACTGGGAACACCACTTAGTAAAAATCCCGGGAGCAAACCATTTTTGAGATGGGTGTGTCTGAACGTGCTGGAAAAATACCCACAAACTATGGCCATTTACACGGGGAAACTCGGCTCTAACCCTTTGGGATTTTTGATGTTCCATAGCTTTCAGACAAATCCAAATGTCTGCTCAGTATGGCTTTTAGTTACAAGTGGTTATAAATCCATGGGATAAAAACATGAACCATTTTTATGGAATGACTTCTTAGTACTTATAACTCGTATTTCTGGCCCTAACTGTAGTATAGTGGCTATAAGCAAATTATTACTGAACTGTTATGGTAATCACTTTTAATCGCTATTAACCATATTAAAACCTTTTGACCACTAAATGAATGGCTAAATGTCTGCTGGAAATGCTGCTCAAAATCGGCTAAAAACATCAGCATATTTTCCAGCATCACTTCGGACTAGTCCGCAATCTCAGGCCGGTCTCAAACAGCCCCATACTTAACATGATTTGGCACAATTTTCGTCTTACCACTGCTGTTGCCACAGTCTGTGGAGGCTCAGCAGCGGGCTACGACAGAGGCTGATATTCCATATGTTCCGCACCTAGGATCTGGCTTCGGGTATAGCATCGCCTGGTTGTAAAGCTGAGCATGCAGGAGTTCTGGCGGCGACAAGCTATGCATGTCTCTCACCATGCGACTCTGATGGCCAAGGAGACCACCTGCCCGGGCTCGTCCCTCAGCGCAGCCACCCATCACACTTCAAAAAATGACATTGCCAATTTTAGATACCCTGCAAAAAGCCAACAAATTGGCTGGTCACTTAGCAGATATTCCTAGAGCTGTTCCTAACATGGACAGACTCCGGCCGGGTACCGCCTATTGAGTTGTCCTGGATTGGAATCCCAGTATCGCAGATCTGAGCCAATTCTAAAGCAATACTATCCCGGTCATCTGCCAAAAAAATTAAAAACAAAGGTGGGCTCCGTATTTTAGAAGCTGATATCCCCATCATGGTTTGTTACAAAGTGGGGCCCCCGTTTACGATAGCGTTCCGTTGGTTTACATAACTCCAATGTCACTATGGTTCATGGTACCTATAACTATAGTATTCATGGAGTTTAAAAACCATCGTTCCATCAATGGGGGGCCCCACATTGTTAAAACCCGCATGTGATCATCAAACCATAGTGGGAATCCAAACATCGGCAAATTCCCGTGGAGTGATGACCATCGGTGCATATGGTCCAACCCTTGACAGTCCCTTATTTGATGGTCAAACATGGTTAAACCCCCATCTGGTTGGTGGTGCAATAACCATCTTGAAAAATATGAACGTCAATGGGAAGGATAACATCCCATATATTATGGAAAATACAAAATGCTCCAAACAACCAACCAGCCATTGTCTGCTCATTCTGGTGATATGGTACCACCCTTGAAAAGAAACACGCTTCCCAAGATTTTGCTGACCTTTCCACAGTCTTGTAAGTTTTATTTAGATATGTTGTTTTCATAAACCAAAGTTATCACTTAAATGAGGCTATACGCCAGTTATATTATGTTATATCTATATTTATCCCCATGAATGCGTTAATGATAGATAGATATACATATATATATATATATATATATATATATACACATACATATGATTGATACATAATTATATATATATTATGCATATATCTTATCCCCATCATGTAATCGTAATCTTACAAACACCCTTTTCCCATCAGACTCCTGCAAGCTTTGCCCATTTTGCCCATCGCTACCCAGGCGCTCTTCCGCCGGTCCTGCGGCTCGCGCTTGGCTTCGTAGGCGCGCAGCTTCAGGCGCTGCATCTCGATCTGCGCCGACACGGACCGTGCTAGGTGGGATAGATGATGGGTCACTAGTCAGTAAAGAAAGTCTATCCAAATATAGATATGGTATGATGATACATATATATATATACATATTATGTACGTATGTGTATATATATATATATACATACATACATACATTACATTACATTTCATTACATTTCGTTACATTTCATTACATTTCATTACATTTCATTACATTACATTACATACATACATGACGTTACTTTACGTTACGTTACGGTGACAGTTGCAGTTACAGTTACACTTACATCACATACATACATGGATACATACATCACTATATGGTGCATGAAAGTACATATCATTTCAGGAGGATTTGAGTGTCCTGCAAAGGATGACAGTTTGCATTTTCGTCTTTTCCACGGGCAAACGGTGAAGGGGCCACCTGTGGAAAATGAGTTGCCTCAGTTTATGTCCTTTTCTTAGCGTGCTGGAATGCTCGAGAGGCCGACAGTGTGCAGGGCAAGACAAAACATAAGTACATGCATTCCCAATTTTAGCATTGATAGGAGGTATAAACATGTATAAACCATCAACAACACACAGTCATGGCACTTAACAGTTCTGGCAATGGGATGAAATAACCCCTGTAGCCAGCTATAACTGCTAAGGGCTATAACTGTATATGATGGGTCAACAAACTAAGAACAGCATCTGTGAATTTCATGCAAATGGTGAATATGATGTATGCTAGTAGCAAGGGCAATATGTATGGATGTAAACAGATCTAGAAAAATACATATATATATATATATATGGCCCCGTCCTCCGTCTCTCCACCCCCCCCATGGGTTGGGTCCCCAGGTAGCACCCCCCTTTCCCTTCTATTTGCAAGCTATTGGCAGCATTTCTGAGGTCCAGCCTCGTATTTGCTAGGTCTTTGCAGCATTTCTGACTACCAGCCTCGCATTTACTAGGTACATGCTACCTTTTAGGCGACCTACGTAGCACACATACTCCCTCAAAGTACCTACGTGCCACCTATAGTCATATATACATGTGCTATATATCTACTTCCTATTTACTACCTGTGTACTCTCCCACCACTACATGTGTTGAACATATGCCATACATTCCAATGATGCCATGCGTACCATACCTATGATACCTATCATACATACCACACATACCATACATATGAAACATAATTACCACACCTATCATACATACAATACCAAACATACATGCGATACATACCATACATACCTTACATAGGAAACATTCCACACCCATCATAGTAACCATACATACCATACCTACCATACCTATCATACCTATCATGCAGACCACACATACCATACATATGAAACACAATTACCACACCTACCATGCATACAATACCAAACATACATGCCATGCATACCATACCTACCTTACATTGGAAACATTCCATACCATCATAGTAACCATACTAACCATACATACCATACATACTGTCATATCAAACATATCATACCCAACAGACTTACATACCATATTTACCATCCATACAATAACAACCATTCATGCCATACATAGCATACCTACCATACATACCAAACACACCATCCTTTCCAGACATACCATACCAGACCGACCATACACACCATACATACCCAACATACCATACCACACCCCCACCACACCACAGGGGGGGAGGGGGACAGTACCACACCCCCACCACACCACAAGGGGGGAGAGGGACAGTACCACACCCCCACCACACCACAAGGGGGGAGAGGGACAGTACCACACCCCCACCACACCACAGGGGGGGGAGGGAGAAGATCTCATATAGGGGCCGTATATGGGACCCATCCCATGGGGGGGGTGGCAGGGCCTGGTGCATATATATATATATATATACACATGTAAATAGCTATATAATATAAACATAGACATATATTAGAACACACATATATATATATACATACAAATAATGTTGGCCGCAGATAAAACTGCCAAATGCCATGCGCCAGTCGCAGCTCTCTCCCGGGATGAACTCCACCCACCGATTCCACGTTCGACCCAACTCCTCCTCCGTTTTCCCACTCAGCTTCATGCATGTCCCCACGAAATTGGTTCTTTATTAATAAATATATATTTATATATATATACACATAGATATAACTATAGAAAAAAAACACACATATATATATATATACTATAAATATTGATCAAACAACCCTGCCAAAGGAATTACCCTGTAAAGCGAACCTAAACAAATAGCCCATCTGGACCAACTCTGGCCTCCCGAATGTAGTCCACACCTCGCAAAGTCTCGAAGCAGCTGGATGAATTGTACGGAATGGGGCCCCCGTTCGTTGTTGCGTTCAGTTGCCGAACATGGAAGTGGCTGAATTCTATGGTTTATGGTAGATATAACTATAGACAACTATAGTGAATAACTAGGTTAACTATGGTTTATGGTAGATATAACTATAGTTCATGGGGTTTATAAACCAACATTCACATCACTGGAGGGCACGAAATCCTGTATGGACTGTCGTGGAAATCTATGAGCTCCCATGGTGGATGTTCATGGGATGTTCCATATGGTTGTTAAAAAGGAAGATACGGGGAATAGTTTCCATGGCCTGGAAAATCCAATCATTTGAGAACATGATATGGTATGATAATCATTAAACTAGTTGAATTACTGGAGGGTAGATTTCCACCGTGGATGAATCTTAACCCCTTGGCCGATCGGGAACAATGTACATTTTTAGTAACTGCCGACATTTTGGGTGTGACCCCGTACCCCGTGATGCTCAACCAGGGCGAGTTGAACCATGGACTGATGGAGACACGACCACGATGTGTAAATTCTCCAGATTTTTTGTGTCCTACAAGCTGTGGAACTATCTCTATATATATATACCATAAACCCTGGTTATCTATGTATAGTCATGATAGTTATAAACCAACTTAGCTGTCTATGGAGCACCACCTTGTACTTTAAACCATTGAGCCATGTTCCTCCGATACCAAATATGTTTCGTAAGAACGTACTTTGCCCTCCAGGAATCAAACATGGCAAGTGACAACCCTCTAAAAATGGAGGTTTGTACTTTGTAGCTGGGAAAATCAACTGTATATATATATACATGTGTAGAATTATATATATATATAAATATAGATATGTATAAATGGGAGAATTTCCAGCAAGGCATGATTGCCAGATGGTATTCCCACTTGTGAACGGCCCCTGACTTGAAAAGTCATGAAACGACGAAATATCCATGGAAATATCCGTATGTTGTGAATGGTCTATATAGAGCTTCCATGGTATGACCCGGTATGATTCATATTGCATGATATCCAAATAGATGTTCACCTTCGTGGAAATGGCCCATGGATGACTTCTGATGGGTAATCAATTATACGCCCACGATGTGTTGGATGAATTACCAACATGCAACCATACTAATTAAGCAATTTATCCCAAGCAGCACTAAATATGTTATTTAAAATTGTTAAACACACAAGCTAGCCAAAATCACAAATTAGATTAACTATACGTTGGATGATTTACCAATATCTAAGATCGTCTAACACAATTTAAGCAAAAAATAGAGCGTGAAGAATTGAACTATGCAAAAATAACTATACTATACAATTGAATTGAATTCACCAACCATTCACCAACCATTCACTGGCTTCTCCCGACGGATGTTTTGCAACTTCTTCTCCCAGCTCTGCTTCTCCTGCGACGCCGTGAGGTTGGACGAAATCATACGAAATCCATCGCAAGTTATTAAAAAGAGAAAAGCAAAGTTGGTTTTAGTTGGTTTTTTTAATGATATAACCATGGTTTTGGGAAAATAACATGGCCAATATATTTTGAAAATATAACCATGGTTTTGGGTTATGACTCCAATAACGTTTGGGATCGTTTGGGTATATGATATCGATATTCGCTTCAAGGGTCATATATGATATATGGGTAAAGTAAATATGGGTATTTATATGATCCATTAACGTTTGGGTATATGGTAGTATATCAAACTAGAAACACTTGCCAAGGGCCATAAGTGTTGAATACCAACCATTGCTGCTACCCAGCAATATCCTGTGGTAAATCCAACCTTTGCCCATGGCACATACCCTCTGGCAGTGCAACGCGAGAATTGGAACTCCCCAAACCAAATCTGGTTTGTGGTTTCAACCCCTCTGAAAAATATGACAAATCAGTTGGGATGATGAAATTCCCAATATATGGAAAAATAAAAAATGTTCCAAACCACCAACCAGAAATGGAGCTTTAGTTCGCTGAGAAAAACATCTAACAATTGCCCGTTGATTTTTCAGCCTTCGCCATATTAAATGACACCAGAGGGTATTCACCAATATTCCCATTACATCTGCATTAAATTCTAGTTATATCCGCAGTGAATTCCTATTATTGGTTGGCTATAAACATCCGTAATCCCTCCATGATATTCCCGTTAAATCATCATACGAGGGTCTCTCATATTAGGGTGGAGGGATTAGATTCAATACTATCATGGAAAATAACACTATTCTCCAATCATATATCCAGACGGTATGGGGGTATGGTTGATTCAATCAAATCTAAATATATATAGTAAAAAAACAAGTATCATACCCTGCGGTTAACTCATTCTATGTATAACAATTTGATCTTAACTATCATACCAACTAACCATACCCTCGATATCTATCATATCATTGTTCATTTACATTTTGGTTAATATATGGTTGTACTTCCATCAAAATCCCAGTATAATCCCACTATCCTTGGAAGCGTAGATCCAGTCTTCGTTTACGGATCCGTAACCATAGTTGTAGGAATTGAATCCCAACTTGTAAGTTTATAACCATTCCTACAAAGTTTATAACCATGTTTATTAGTTGTTTATTAAACCATGTTTATCCTGCCATAGTTGTATCATGTTTATAACCATGACTGTACTCACAAGTTGCTGTGCGTCAAGGTAGTCTCAATCAAACATCGCTTGTCAAAAAAATCCACCACAAAATTTAGTTCGATGATTCTCCCAGCTAAACTTCATTGAGGTCGGAGATGTTCGAGCTAAAACCGTATTTTGGCATCCCAGTAGTTATAAAACCTATGGTGTAATTAATTACTATAGTTACTTGGTATCATATAGTTGTGATATGTTGTACTTAACTATAGCTGGTTGGTGGTTGACCTACCCCTCTGAAAAATGATGGAGTGAACGTCAGTTGAGATGATGATTCCCGATATATGGGAAGTCATAAAATTCATGTTCCCAACCACCAACCAGGTATGGATACCCTCTGGTAAACTAACAGTTTGCTATTGAGCATGGCCATGGAAATAGTTGATTTACCCATTAATAGCATGGTGGATCTTTCCATAGTTAGTTCCATGGCATCCCAGTAGTTATAAATGTATATATATATATAAATTACTTTACTTCGAGTTATCCCCATCATGACATTTATACGTTTTGTTACTGGCAAATCTTCTGGCATTCTATCTGACATACCTTCTGACATTTTATCTGGCATATCTTCTGGCATTCTATCTGGCATATCTTCTGGCATTCTACCTGGCATATCTTCTGCAATATGTTCTGGCATATCTTCTGGCACTCTATCTGGCATATCTTCTGGCATATCTTCTGGTATTCTATCTGGCATTCTATCTGGCAAACATTCTGGCACTTTATCTGGCATACCTTCTGGCATTTTATCTGACATTCTATCTGGCATACCTTCTGGCATTCTATCTGGCATATCTTCTGGCATTCTATCTGACATTCTATCTGGCATACCTTCTGGCATTCCATCTGGCATTCTATCTGGCATATTATCTGGCAAATCTTCTGGCATTCTATCTGGCAAACATTCTGGCATTTTATCTGGCATATCTTCTGGCATGCTATCTGGCAAATCTTCTGGCGTTCTCTCTGGCATACCTCCTGGCATTCTATCTGGCATATCTTCTAACATTTTATCTGGCATATCTTCTGGCATTCTATCTGGCATATCTCATGGCATTTTATGTGGGATATCTTCTGGCATTCTATATGACATTCTATCTGGCATATCTCCTGGTATTCTATCTGGCCGTTGAGGTCCAGCGGCGCACACTGAGCTGTGCATGTCCCAGGCTGAGGTCCAGCGGTGCACACTGAGCTGGGCAGATCCCAGGTTGAGGTCCGGCGGTGCACAGGTCCCAATTGAGCTGAGACGGTCCCTGGTTGAGGTCCAGTGGTGCACACTGAGCTGGGAAGGTCCCAGGTTGAGGTCCAGCGGTGCACACTGAGCTGGGAAGGTCCCAGGTTGAGGTCCAGCGGTGCACACTGAGCTGGGCAGGTCCCAGGTTGAGGTCCCAGTGCACACTGAGCTGGGAAGTTGGCAAAGATTTTGGCGAAGAGAGTTGGCAAAGAGCTTGGCGAAGAGTTGGCAAGGCGGAAGTGGAGGTGGAAGTTGATGCAGACATGGTCGAGGAGAAACTAGAGGAGAGGAGGAGGAGGAGGACAGCTAGCCGAGGAGGAGGAGAACAACTCTGATAAAATCTAACAACCCTCACCTGGCAGGTGGGGAATAAAACTATTATTAAACATCATTAACCATCATTACCCCAGCCAGTCTATCTTTTGGGCCTATTCGCAACCAGTATATCTCAAGCTAATATTTGTTCATCTCCCTAAATCCCATCTGTTGAGATCAGCATTTTCCCTCGTTTTAGATGGAGATTCAATCAATGGGAACTTCAGGATCCTAAAATGGAGGTACTGTACCATATGAGGCCATATTTTGTGGGGATATTCCCTTACATAGGCCTGATATAGCCCTTACATATGGTAGGTACCTCCAATTTAGGTTCCTGAAATGGCCATTGATTCAATGGGGCCTCACGATATTAATCCGCTGGTATTAATGTGAAAGATGAAATTGAAACAAGTGTTATTCCTAGTATAGTTCCATTATATCATTATCAAATATTGTCAGTTTTCCAATATAATACGAAATCGTTGATGTATGAAATGGATATATATCAACTATGAAACACAACTAATCACGATTTATCGCTATTAAATAGATTTTAAACTATCCCCATGAAAATCGAAAAACTAGTTTCCATATTCACGGCTGTTTTACTTCCATTAGATTCACATTCTAACCTACATATCTAAATGACTATATATGAAGTAACTATATATATAAATATTCCACTACTGTAAATGTTCATTACTGTAAATGTCCATTGATTCCATTTATATATATATATATAAATCAAGTAACTATATGGTTCTGGGTCAAAATTGGGTACCCCTAAAAAAATGGTTAATACTAAACATAGGCTAGCATAGCCATGGAACATCAAAATGTTAATTGCCAAATCCACTATAAATGGACCATTTGTCATAGCAATGTTAGTTTACTAGAGGGCAAAACCTATGGTTATTTTACAGTATGGTTATTACAATAAAAACTGTATGATAACCATATGGTTATCATACTGTAATCATCTATAAATGGATGTGTTAAAAACAGTAGAACCAATAATAACACCATGATTATTGGGAATTCTTCCCTGAGATGGCCAGGTCACTCCGCCCGCAATTCGTCCGCCTCTTCCATCTGCTGACAGCGCCGCAAGCGCTCCTGCCACTCGCCAAGGCGCTGGAAGAGGAGTCCTTCCTGCGGAAAATGCCGGGGTATCCAAAACCAAAATCCGTCTATGATATATCTTAATATTCCAGATGCTCCATGTATGGAATATTTACCTACATTTGGGCAATTTTTGGGGTAAATGTAGGTAAATATTACATACATGGAGCATCTGGGTATGGATTTACAATATGTTCATATATGTCAATATATGTTAAAATGGATGTACGCGGGTTTACCACATTTCAATAGATGTTAATATATGTTCAAATGGACTTACATGGATTTATACATGTTAATATATTTCAGTACATGTTTTTATGGTAAATCCATGTGAATCCCGTTTTTTGCTGTTTTTTGAAGAGCAAACTTTATATATTAATCCCTACTGCAGATATTTTGAAGTTGAAACGGGTGTTCCCTTAAAATTTCATTTCAATATTGGCAATGCCCTTAAAACGCTGATTTTAATTGGAAAAATGATGATAAACAATTGGTTACGGGGAAGTTTCCGTTTTTTCAAAACCCTTCAAGGTGGTGCCCCAGGGTAAAAGAGTCCAAGCCAAACTGGGGGCACCACCTCGCAATGATTTCATTAACCTGGTTATAGATGGTTTCCAAATGTTTATGTACATATTTTTACGCTAGTGTTTTTTTGAATGCAAAGTATAATTGTATGATACGAGTAGTATAGGTAAGGACAATTAATTGGCATAAGTATAGGCCTAGGTTGAGGGCTTTTATATGGTTCAATCCTCTAATCTCCAGTAAGCAGTATAACTCCCGATATTAACCTATCAATATCTATCAATGATGGTATTTTTAATGACCTTAATGGGGTCAACGACACTCAACCAGCTCCTTGTGGAAGAGGATCTTCCCAAATTTCCCAAGACCCGAGTTCGCAAGTTCGGCCAAGTATCGATCAAGAGCTCTTGGCTGGAACACATCTCTCCCTGGGAAACCAGGCAATGGCTTCTGGACCAAAGAATATAAAGAATGATGTTCGAATTGAGACTTAAATTGAAAACATGGAGATGTAACTGATGTAACTATCTAGAAATTGGAATCTACTTGCCATATAATTACTTGGGATATAGGTTGGATGGATATTGGGTCCCAGTGATAAGTTGCTTCTTATAGATCCAGTCACCTAGTTTGAGGCCATCCAATGTGTGCTGTTGAAAAAAGACCGAGGAAACAAATGCTGTCTAAACTGCTGAAACTATCTTAAACCCATTTTCGGGTTGCTGGTTGACCTATCCCTCTGAAAAATATGATATATCAAATTCCCAGTATATGGAAAGTCATAAAATTCCATGGTTCCAAACCAACAAGCAGATTTTGGTTGAAATCAAATCCCAGTGTTTCACACAAAAATCGGTTCATGGAGTGCCTTATCAGATCCGTACATTCCGCTACTCCTGGCTCCCATTTTCATATGGAGGTTCTTACAATGGAGGTACCCCCAAATCATCATCCATTTGATGTTTGCATTTTCCATGAAATAAACCATCCAGCTATTGGGGTACAGTTATGGCCATTTATGAAAGTTATAACTGCTTATTTCTATGAGATTATACCATCCATGAATGGGGCTTTCTTAGTACTTATAACTGGTATAACTTAGACCATTTCACTGTACCTTCATTGGAAAAATAAAAGTTATACCAGTTATATACCAGTTATACCAGTTATATCCAGTTAACTTATACCTTCCATCAATGGGGCTTTCCGAAACATTGGAAACCGAGTTTCGCTTTAACCTTCCCCGAATCTTCTCCGCCGATCCCTCGCCTTCTCCAAGGTGATCAGGTCTTTGGATCTCAAGGCTTTGCGAAAATCATTGATGCACTGCAGTAGCTCGTCTCCTTCCTACGCGGCTTGGTGCGGGTTGGTGCCCCGAAGTGGCGCGGTTCAGCGCAGGCGAAAAGCGAAAATCATGGAAGATCCCCAACTGGCTGATCTTTTCAGTGGGTTTGAAAAATATTAAGGAATTGGGCCAAAAATGGTGGCTTTGCAAGTTATAATGATTTCACAACTAACTGCACGCGTTTTTTCCATGCTTCTCTGCTGGTTTCAAAGCATCGCTGCAGCCTGCAGTCAAGTCTAACCGTCACGCACTGTGGGACAAGCATGCATGGCAAATCATCAATTTCCTCATGAGCCCGGCTGAAGTAGAACTGTATCCCACCTATTTTTGTTCAAGATGGTCTAAGATTTCTGGTTCAGGCACGGCTTCTCAAATGCCCATGGCTCGTATAGATGAGCGTATCATTTGGCTAGTCTTAGACTGCCAAGATGAAGGGAAGAATGCAAGCTTTACATCTTTGGATTTGGGCCTGCTTGCTTTGAACGCACTATTATAAACATATTCAATAATGATATTTGATTGAAAAGCTGTGTTCCGAACATACTTTCTAACGTGAAATGCCAATGATGTACCGATGTCCGAATTGTACGGGGGAGATGCCAAGCACAGGGATTCAAAAATGGTGACTGCGTCCGCCTCCAAAAATTTGTTGACTTGTTGGGAAAAGCTAAGAAAGCTTATGCTGCTATATCATGCAATATGATAAAAATGATATTTGTGGGAATCAGCTTCTTGTTAAAGAAAGAGATGGGTTTTTGCTATTCCAGACTGTCCAAATCCAAAGCAGCTATAGGCGGCGATAAATGTCACAGTCACATGGAGCTTAATGCCCGGAAAGACAAGGAAATCACAAGACTCTATTGGGTAGCGCTTAGTATATTTTCGCATTGGCTCGGGGATTCCCACAGGACAAACACCATCGCCTGCCCAAAGCTAACACGTATCTACATGCTTGGAGCCGCTTGCAGCCACTCCAGCTGCTTCAGCCGTTTAGCCGCAGGAGCTGCGCAGGAAATGCGCAGGAGCAGCTGCAAGGGTCCTTGAGAAGCAGTCAGATTGATTCAGACAACCCTTCCATGCAGGCAAAAGACGCTTGGATCCCACATCCCTTCCCCAGATCGCTTGGAAGGGTCCAGGCATTCCACCTAAGGGTTCCTTTGCTCTTTCTTATTCCTCCGTGCGCAGCGAAGCTGTCTAAACTACAGTAACTACACCAATCCACGGGAAAGACGTGCCCTGCAAGCCGGCTGAAGCAGCAAAAGTGCCTGAGCAGGGGAAACCCCACGACCCTTTTGTTTGTCATCTTTGCCCCAAGCGTTCCATGTCACGGCTCATTACTATTTTATTTCAATACTGCTTGGAACCTCTGAGTTGTCCAAACCACACCAACCTGGAAGTGAGATTGCAAAAGGCGGCGGTGAAATAGCAAAAGTGGCTGATCAGACCGAAGCAACCCTTCAATCTCTTGAGAATACCATTCCGTGTCCAGTTTTCTGCCCAAGTCGTTTGGAAGGGTCAATGCGTTTGATTTAAGGGTGTCGTTTCTCTCTTTTATATGATGAAGGGTCCAAACCTTAGTAACCCACCGGGAAGATTGGCCTCAAAGCCCGAACAAGATGGCACTGCAAATTGGGCCTGGGAGCTCTCAAAGTGAAAGTTACAATGCAGCAGCTTCAACGAACCTGAGATTAAGTTTGTTGAAGGCGAAGATGCGTAGAGGTAAAGCCTGAAGGCCATATGACACACTTGTGATGTTTTGGCGCACGGTTGGGAAGCTCAATGCACACCTAGCAAATTGGCTCAAAACAAAATCGGCTTCACTGCATGTTGGTGAAAGCCGCTGAGCCGCACATCCAAACAGCCAACCCTATCCTCACTCACCGGTCACCTTGTCCCCTCCTCAGCAGGCAAGTCATTACAATCCACTTAATAATTGCTAGCCTCCTTTGCAGGCTCAATGTGCTCGTCTTCATCTTTCATGAGCACAAACAACAAAATGGATCCCATGAGATACCAATTAAGTTGCGAGCCCGTTTTCAAAAGCTACCTGAGAGGCTCTCATCACCAGTAGTTGATGCGCTCATGTAGGGCACACATGGGCGTTAATTTTCTTGCCGCCATAATGCTGTATGTTCATTAATGCAAATACAGGTTATTATATTTCAAACAATTATATTAGTACATGAAAACGTATGTGTATATATACTATAAATGTATACACATATTATTGTATGCATAAATGAGGTTGTACAATTGATATCTAAGTAGAAATTTTGTATATAATAGAGATCTCTCAAAGATAGGTAGGTAGGTAGGTGGGTAGTTGATATGATAAGATATCTCTGTTATATGCAAAACCTTGGGAGGTTTCTGCAATCATTAGGATATCTATTAGTGGCTTATTAGAGGCTATTAGTGGCAAACGGAAAATATAATATATTAAATGTTCCAAAGTCGAAAAAAGGATACATTGCTTTTTCTCCGCACAGCTCCACCTCAAGGTAGCTCATTCAATTTCATTTAAGTTGCCAAAGAGTTCCGCCGCTTTCGCCTCAGATGCTCGACGCTTCGCATCGGTCTCAGGCACGGCCTCTGCAACTCGTTTCTTATCACCATCGGCTGCACCTTTCGGAGCAGCTTCAGTTCCTGCAGCCTGTTGGCCTGGATCCTTTGGACCATTGGCACTTGGCTCACCATATTTTCGAACTGCAGCTTTATCGAATTTCTTCACCTCACCCTTACTGCTGCCCGTCATCATGTCAATTTTATATTGCTTGGCCAAAATGCCTACGATTTTCCCCTTTTGTTCATTCAGGGAATCTTTGAATTTTTTCGAGGATGTCATCACTATGTCACCTACGGCCAACTCAGGAGCAGCCTGCTCATCAGATGGTTTCGCAGACTCTGGCACAGCATTGCCAGCCTGTGGTTGCACCTTTGGTTCTGTAGTCTCCTTCTGTTTCTTTTGTTCGGGTTTTGCTTCCGTAAAAATTTCGTATGTTTCCATTCCCGCTTGAAGAGTCATTGCATGATTTTGTATCTTCGATGATCTGGCTCTGATCAACCTCTCTCCTAAAGATGCATCGAAGCTGCGCAACCTCAAAGCCGCTTCGTCATGTATATGGCATAAAATCACAGGCTTGGAAGCTTCGTCTGTTGCAGCGTCCATTCGGCTCACCGCGTCTGCAATAATGTGACCAGTATTCAACTTTATGAGCTCTGCAAAACAATCGCGCCCAGCAGCAATGCTAGTGGCAGAAATTGTTGAAACTTCAACGTCATGAAATTCCCTACAAAATTGCTCCAGACTTCTTGGAGCCACAGTAGGATCACCAAGAGATGCGCGTACAAGCCACATCCTATTCAACAAACCGTGACTTTTGACACCTGAAGCATCTTTCAGCTGCTTTGCTAAGCTCTCACATTTTTTCTTATAAAATGCTCTTTGTACTTGCATCTTTCTCAGCGATGCAATTTTGCCAACTGAAGCCTTCGGCTGCACATCGAAAGCTTCTGCCAATTCTTGCGCAGCCTTACTCAAAGATTCTTTTAACACATGATGTTCGCCAGATAACGTATTAGCAAATCTCGAAAGGTCATTATGTAATTTCTTTGCCGCTTCATCCATCTGTGGCCTTTTCCAACTTCAGCAAAATCATGTTGATCATCCCCAAGCCCATGCCATCCAACATTTGGATGACAAAAAAACTGACTCGTGCCGAAACGCATACACCAAAGGACGAAAAGACGAAATGACGGCCTTTCCATTGGAAATCAATCAATTCAAACATGATGTCTCTCCCAAATCAAATGAATCTATGGGTTCAAAACTGCACTTCACATATATTTAATTATACTGCTAGCGGTGCAATATAGCCATTATGAACCACTAATCCGCAAAAAAGATAGGCAACAAGAATGATGCAAGCTCCCAAGATCATACACATAATCTCTGTATCATAGTATCATAGGTAGAAAGATAGATAGGCCGATCGAAAGATGGGTAGATCGATAGATAGATAGATCCATGGATAGATAGATAAATAGATAGGTAGATAGATGGATGGATAGATAGAT